TAAATGCTGTGAAACCCTGCGGTACCAAGACCCGTGGTTCGATCCTTTCCGAGCTGATGACCATCGTGTCGGTAAGCCTCGATTTTGTATGGCGTTTAACGCTAATGAAGGGCCCTTTTCCCGCTTCATCTTCCCTGCGTCCCCCCCTTTCAGCTCGTACCATGAAGAGGGTTTCCAGTAGCAGGGGTCTGCGGACGCCTCCCTCCGTCTCTCGGGGATCCAACTCGTGACCCAGCCTGGCCAGGTGATGACCCATGGGTCAGGGGAAGAAGTGAGAAGCTAGGGCAAGGGCCAGGCAGACAAGGCTTGGGGTGAGTCCCTCACTCAATCGTCCTTATCGCGTGCGACGTCGCCACCCCTCTTCCTCACCTGCACATTCCCTCGTTAAGTGCACCCCCCGCCTCCTAAGTTCATCTCCCCCCCATCGGGCTTCCCGCACCGTATGATGTAGTTGACGGCCGACGCCCCCAGCAGAAAGAACACCAGCCCGTTGATGCAGAAGGACAGCACGTCCCAGAAGCTGTCGAAGCAGCCGGTGCGGCGAGCCTTAGGGGGGGAGGGAGGATGGGGAGGAAACATTATATAAGAAATTGGGCAGGAGGGGGAAGGGAGGAGGGAGGGGTGCCATGCGAGTGGGAGAATATGTAGGAAGACGTGCAGCAGGGCCTGTGTGTATGGATCCAGACTGGTTCGCAAACCCCTTTTTTGCCCTCCTTAACTTACTTCACCTCCCTTTTCCATAAACCCCGGTAACCCCACCCCAGACCCCACCCCACCCTGCCCCCCACCTGCGCCGAGATGCCCCACTTGCTGGTGGCCGCGCCACACAGCCCGAACACCACCACCGCAATCACCCCGGAGGCACCCATGTAGGCGTTGGTGACGTAGAAGGTGAGGTAGGCGGCCGCCAGAGTGGCCGCCACCTCCACCGGGGGAGCCAGACGCCGCCACTGCAGCAGCCGGAGCGCATACCTGCGGGGAGTGAGGGGAAGGGAGGGGAGGGGACAAGGGAGCAAGGGTTGAGAGACCATCCCGCTCTCGCACTCCAGCCCCCCAAACCCACAGCCTCCTGCCACACCGCCTCCCACACCACACCACACCGCTCCGCCACCTCCCACCTCCCGCCACCCACCTCATGCCCCACCCCGCCAGCAGCCCCCCCGCCAGCCCCCCCGCCGCCAGCCAGCTGAATTCCCGCACCAGCCCCCCCAGCTCAGGCAGCAGCAGACCCAGCCAGCGGGGGAGCGGGGGGGCGGCAGCGCCGGTAGGGGGCCAGGGGGAGGAGGATGAGGGGGAAGAGGAGTGGTCGTCGTAGTCGGAGCCGTGCGGACTGCCGGCGGCGCTGCGTCGGGCCTGATGAGGTGGGGAAGGGAGGGCGGGCGGGGTGGAGGAGAAAGAATGGGGCGGGATGGAGGAAGGCAGTCCCGTCTCTTACTACCACAGATTCCAACTGCAGCACCCTATCTGTCTAGGAGCTAAGAGCCCCTTCTGGCCAGGAGCCCACCTCGCCCATGGAACCCCTAGATAGCTGTCTAGCACCCGGCACGCTATGTTCAAAGCCCCCTTTCACCCAGCCCTCGCCTATGTAACTCCCCAACCTCGCTCTACCCACGCCGCCCCACCTCCCTCCCTCACCTGAAGCACCTTGCGCAGGAAAATGTCGAACAGCACGATACCTGGCAGCGGGGCAGGCGTGAGAGCGGCGTTGGAAACTGTAGGAGCTCAAGAAGTGGGATGAGCTGATGAACACTAAGTGCATGGCGCAACTGTGGAGGACGCTGAGACGGGGTATGGGTACACACATGCATGGGCAACTAGTTCCGGACCAGCTTCCCCCCCTCTCCCCGCCCTCTTTTCATACGAATCATACCCGATGCATCGTTAAACAGCGACTCCCCCTCCAGCAGCACCCCCAGCAGCTCCGGAGCCCCGCCAGACCGCAACACAGAGCTCACTGGTGACCCATGGGTCGGCGCGGGGGAAACGAGGGAGGCTTGCAAGCGTGTGGATTGAATAAGGGAATGCGTAAGGAGATAGAGCGAAGGCTTTGCTAAGTTGAGTTACCTCTTCTTAGACGACTGTAAAGATGCTGTCCAGCTCATGCAAGAGTGGACGACTAAGAGCGGCCATGATGCAGCATCATAAGTCTCACCCGCCCCTATTTGCCTTACTCCTACACACCACCATACACATACCGGTGTATACCCTCCCCGCCCAAGCCTCACCCGCCACCGCATCCGTTGACGCCAGCATGGCATTGAACAGCGCCACATCAGCCCACCGCCAGCCGTACCTGCATGGAGGCAGGGAGGGAGGCAGGCAGGCAGGGAGGGAGGTAGGAAGAGAGGAAACTGACGAGCTGCATGACGGAGCTTGACCAAGGGGGAGGGAAGGAGCAAGGGCGGAGGGCGGAGGGGGTGTTGTCACTTCGCACGGGCTTTGCAGTAGTTTGGCACCGGTCTAAAGGCGGTCAGGTGCTCGCCCGGGGTACGGGGAACGAAGCAGCTGGGTGCGAGACCTGCAGACGGAGGGCAGGCAGGCTGGCTTACCTCGGCCCCAGCCTGAGCCCCCACAGCATGAGCGGCACGGCGGCCAGGGTGGAGCTGCACACCAGGGCGAAGGCGAACAGCAGCGACAGCAGCAGCACCTGGGGGAGGGGAAAATAAGATTAGCGCAGCAACGGAGGGAGGGAAAGAGAGGGAGACCAGAAAGCTTGCAACCCATTGTATACAAAAGCCAAGTCACATGTACGGTGTGCTAGTTTCTTCCTCTTTTCCATCCCACCTTCTCAGTTCTCGCCCCCACCCCATCCCGGCTGTTACCGGTGCCTACCTTTTTAAACACGAAGAAGTCCAGGCGCGCCGCGGCGTCCAGCAGCAGCGGCGGCAGGAAGGTGTAGAAGAACACCTCGCCCGGCTGGATGCCGCCCAGCCACAGCGCCAGACTGTTGCCCAGGCGACCCAGGTTCACGCGGAAGGAGAGGGCCTCACACAGGGCTCCTGGGTTGAATGAAGCGAGGGCGGGGGAAAACATAGTTAAGGGCATCAACGGAGTCCCAATCCCGAATTGGGGAAGGGATGGGAGGGGCGGGGAGGGGACGAATAGAGATACATGTTCCGCATTGGGCTGGATGCCGGTGGGTGGGATAGAGGGGAGGGGACGAGGTGTGGGATGGATGGGCGAGGGAAGTAGGGAGTGGATTGGGCGAGGGCGAAGGGGGCTCCACGGCGTCCAGGGCGATCATGCATGCAGGTGCTGTCCGCGGCCGTCTTCGAGCCCATGCTAGATTAGGCAGCCTGCAGGCAGATGCGCTGCTGGCGCAGCATGCGTTCGGGCCGACACCCTGGACACACCGGGAACGCACATGGAGGTTCTGGGGCTGCTTCATGCATCAAGGCCAGCTCCTCGTCCCCCTCCCCTTTTCCATGCATGCTACCCCTTACCCCACCCCACCACCCCATCATCCCATCCTAACCCATCCCATGCATCCCGCACCCATCTCCCCTGCCTCACCCGCCACCAGCACCCACACCGCCGACAGCCGCCCCGACACGCCGCACGCCACCAGCAGCGCCACTCCCACAAACAATACCGCATCGTAGGCGGAGTTGGGAACCAGGCACCAGCTGTAGCTGGCTGCGAGGGGGCGAGGGGTCAGGTACTCAGGTTGCTTGGAGGGGGACGCATGCATGCCGTACCAGCGGGGTAGGTATGTTAAGCCAGGTATATGTGGGGGCCGAGTAAAGCGAGGAAGTGCACTGCGCAATCTGAGCTCGCAAAGCTTAAAGCGCGAAGATCGGGAGGAAAGAATGGAGTTTACTTCTAATAATGTACCAAACTTGCACGCATGTATAAGCACTTATTTTGTACCTGGGTCATCCACTCGGTGCGCGTAAGTGACATTGGCGTTCGCGCATACGTCATCCATGGCTCGCCGAGAACCCTGATGATGGGCGTTAAGGGCCTAGGAAGTAAGAGCTGGTTAGCAAAACACTGTCGTCGTGCATTCGGCGCTAGCCGTATCGGCTTTCTACATGGGCTTCACTGTGCATGAAGACGAGCGACTAGGGTGTTGCAAGGAAACCCCAAGACGACTAGTAGTTTCAACTATTCAACCTACACCTAACATTAATCAGCTATGTGCGTTAAGCAAAGCGTTAAGTCCCGAGCCGAGGTGCCTTGCGAAGCCCGGCGAGCAGCCATTTCGTATAGTACGGCAACCGTCTCTTTAATCAACAGCGATCACGTGAATCTGGGCTTCTGTTGCACCAGGTAAAAATACGGAACCACTACATAGCGGGACTTAACAGACCGAGGGCCAATCCTGCCGGCACCAACTACCGTACCTTGTCGTCCTAAAGGATTGCGCCGGTGTGCTGCGGTTTCGTTCCTGCTTATTCTGGTACGAACCGATATGCTTTATACTCGCTTTACTTGCTCGTGCGCCACGCCCCTATACTGATGCTCGCAGGGCTCGCAGAGTATACGACTTGCGTTTCGCGAAGAGTGGGAGACGCAGTAGTAGCTGAAGGTGACCCATGGGTCACATGCCCTGGAGTCCTTTGCGATAATTCGTTTCAAACACCGGTAGATGCTCAAGTGGCTGGGTCAGGCCCGTTGGATAACGTTGGGTAGCCTGCTGGGCTGTAGAGGAACATGTTCATGTGTTTTGTGTGTGATGTGGGGTGGCACAGGGCATGAGAACAAAACGGCGGTCTGAATGGGTAGACTGGATGCTCGCCTCTGATTGCATGTATAAACCAGACGGGCCTAGCTAGTTGCTTGGCTGGGTGGTGCCTACTCGTGCATGCATGCACAAGCAACTCTTGGTCTTCCCAACCGCTAGCCTGATCTTCAACGTTGTAGCCCACCTGGCTAGGGGGACATGCCATATACACGAGTACACGTATACGAGTACAACTCTGTACGGCAGGCATGGCGTACCGCAACACAAGCAACTGCAACATCGGATAACACCGAGTGCACTATTCAAAGCCTACCCCCTACAATATATCTCAAGGTTTTCCAAAATTGTGCACCGCATCCGAAGGATGTTCCGACGTTACCAATGTAGTGGCAGATCCACCACTAATCTGACCCCAATCAGCACTACTCAACCAGCACCTAACTGCTACCCAACCGTTCTCGTCACCATCCTGCACTCAGCATTGTGTCACTCAGCGGCCAGCGCCGCCCATCCCCTGCCTCCGTTCACACCGCACGAAGCCAGCGGGCATCCCAGCAGGAGGCAGCAGGCACAAAGGGGGAATCGTGGAATCGCAACCTGGAGTTCCTTTGATTCCCGACACAGTGCCACATGCATTCGCACATACAACAGCAAACCCCTCGCCACACCACAATCCCCATGCTCTCAACCGCTCCCCCATCCATGTACGTCACCGTCTACCGTCCTGGTGCCTGCCTGCCTGCCAACAGCTGCTCGACCGCCTCCTTTACTATCCCTCATCACCAACACTCCCTCGCGTCGCTTATCGCCGTACCTACCCGCTTGTGCAACGTTACGTGCAAGCAAGATGCGTTTGGCCGCTGCACCCCTCACCCACTACCTAAGCAGCTCCCCTGCAGATAGACGTGCACATGTAAGCACCAGCATCAACACTTCAGCGCTTCTCTTGCAGTGTAGGGTTCATAAACCCGTGTTCCCTTTCAGTAACGGTCATTCATTCGCCTCCAGAGTACTTCTCATCTAGCAGTTCCCCATTCCTACACATACCCCAGCAGGGTCAGCCCGCCTCAACCATGCAGTCCAAGTCCAGCAACGGTTGTATCAGCCCGCCCGGCAGGGGTACCCCCGGGGCACCCCAGCCTCCGCAGGCAGTTCCGAATGGCTGTGTCGCCATTGTAGTCAGCTGCCAGGTAGGGCCGACCGTCATCCTGCAGCTCGAGGGAAGGGCGCGGTGATTTTGCATCCTCATCAGGGCTACCGGTACAGGGCCCAACAGGAATGGCAACGGTCATTCATTCCGGATATCAGGAATGACATGATAGAGAGACCTTAAGACTCTCTCGCCGCCGCACCGCATATGGAGGCAGGCATGTGGCCTAAGATTTCTTGATTCCGTGCAAGCAAAACCGGTGTCACTCACCGCTTATGTGTCCCCACGCCTTGCAAGGTAGCTGCCATATTTTTGCTAGCACGCATGCCTCGGCGTAACCACATCAAACAACAGCTGACAGAAGATACCCGAGTTCCCTTTTCGGGCACCAGGGTGACGGTCATTCATCCGCAAAAAAACAGTCGATACCCCAAAAGCTACCGGTATATCCAATAGAGCGAATGGAAGCCTAACCGGTACTCACCCCCATGGGGCAGCCCTGCTCCACCAGCCACTCCAGCGCCTCCTCACAGCCCCCTGAGGCAGCCTCGGCGAAGGTCTCCCCATCCCAGGGGCAACCCCGCTCCCTCAGCCACCGCAACAGCTCCAGGTTGCCCGACTGGGCCGCAGCGATGAACACCTCAACATCCAGCAGCAGCTCATCCCCCATCACCTCCACCAGCCAGACCAGTACATGCAGGTGTCCAGCCGAGGCTGCTGCCCTGACCGTGTCCGCATCCATGGGACAGCCGTGGTCATGCAGCAGCTGTAGCGCGGCCAGTTGGCCACCTGCAGCGGCTGCCCGTCGGCTGCAAGCCGCTGGCGGCCTCATACCCGCCCCCAGCAGGTACTGCAGCGCTTGGCAGCTGCCCTCCGCAGCTAGACGTTCAAGAATAATAAGCGGTGGTAGCGGGTAGCCCCTGCTATGTAGCCACTTCAGGCGATCCTCAGCATCCGCACAAGCAGCCACGTCAGAGCAGGCCATCACTGACTTGGGGTAGCCCCGTGCCTCCAGCCACTCCACCTTGGCCTGCCAGTCGGGTGTGCGGCTGCGGGCGGCCGCCGCCAGAGTGCAACTCTTGTGGATCTCAACGTACCTCGCAAATTGCCCTGCATCTGGGTTGCCCTGCTGCTCTTCCACGCCAAGCCATGCATGGTGTAGCCGTTGCAGGTCAGCCAGGCCACAGCCAACAGCTGCAGCCTGCACCACATAGCGGGCCAGGCACGGTGGTGCTCCCGGCGGGCACAGCTGCAGCAGCCACTCCATGAGCCCCACGTGACCCCCGCAAGCAGCCTCGAAGGCGAAGCTGTCATTCCAGGGGCAGCCGGCAGCCAGGCCCCACTCGCAAATGGCCCGGTGGCCCCCACCTGCCGCGCCTGCAATGGCAGCGTACAGAGGGCAGCCGTGCTGCTGCCACAGCCATGCACATGCCTCCAGATGCCCCGCAGCGCCCGCAGCCTTCATTAAATCGATGCCCAGGTAGGATACTGGTGGCAGCGCAAGCCCCGCACTCGCAATTCCCAGCTCCAGGTTTCGGGTGCTGCCGCTGCGTGCTGTCAGGCAGAGCAGCTGCAGCCGTTGCTTGTGCGTCAGGCCCCGCATGGCACCGGGCCGGCCCCAGTGCTGCGCAAAGGCATGCTCTGGCACGGGTGACGATAGCTTCACGGTTGTGAAGCGAGGGCCGCTGAACTGCGCTGCTGCGGCCTTGTTGATCAGCCGCACAGTGCATGCGACCTCGTTGGGCGGCAGGAAGCTGATGATGTGCTCCGCAAGCTCTGGCAGCAGCTGCGGCCAGAAAAGTGATGAAACTAGCGACGACATTTCACGTTTGCGAAGGGCGCAGACTGGCTGCTATTGCACGGACTCGCGCTTCGACTCAAATGCGGCGCTGCTGTGGAGGCATTTCAAAAGTCGGGGCGTATACTTCTAGTTGTCAAACGCGGTGTGGCTTCTCAGGGACATCGCTTTATTATTAGGGCTTCTGGCGGTGTCTTGGACTTTGCAAACTGTCTTTAGGCAGGCATCACGCCAGATATGCTTGTAACGTTTGGTTGCAATATCATGTGGGATATTGCTATGCTGTGCTGTGTAGGAGCTAGCTTGCTCCGTGTGAGCCAGGATTTCTTTTCTTTGGGCGGTACACCGGTAACCATATCGCGAAATAGAATGACGCGTTCATACGCCATCGTACATGTTGATGCGACTCCCTAAAATCTTATGATGGTTTACCGCGACTCGGGGCACACTCCATCACAAGCATATGCCGTATACCGTACCTTCACGATATCATCGCGCAAAATTAAATAATTATTTTGGAAATTGCGCAGTTTCGCGCAAATTAATTGCTGATAGGGGTGCGCGAAACTGGGGAAACCCCTCGGGACGCACCCCCAACATGCCCCAGCACCCCGTCAGCTCCGCTGCCCAGCCCCGGGCTGCATGCTAGTATGCCCTATGTAACACATAGCGGTATTTGTAAAGCTGTCTTGGCTATCTGGGCTTACATGGATGGGTTCTTACAATGAGAATTAATCGACTGCTCGTCCAACCGCAAGGATCCAAACAGTCGTACACGCCTGAATGAATGTTACTCTACGACTTGTAACGCAACGCTCGCAGTGCGCTACTGTCCGCTATGCTTAAGTGACAACACAGGCACCATTTCTCATCCCACTACGTTGTCGCTCACTGCGCCAGCCAAAGATTTTTAGCAGTCAACACCGCAATCTAGTATATAAGGCTTCTACTTATCACCTGGAGAACTCAACGGGACCCGAGGACAAGACCGAGTCAAGACCAAGTCCGACCGCCTACGCCCGTCAAGATTCAAGACGCAATGATATGGCTCCCTCGCGAGACGCCTGCTAGGTTACCAGAGCTGAACTTGGGAGGTCATATTGGGCAACTAGGGTCCAGGAAGTGCCACTAGGCTCGCGAAGAGAACCGTAGGAGCCTACCGGCGGGTCAACATTCGCACCACCGGGCAACCCGTAGCTTCCCGCGAGCAGACCGGCCCATAGCAGTCTTATATCTATCATCTCGTTGCTATACAGACTGCTCTGCAAGACCACCGTCTGTAGTTAGGAACCTAGCCAACATTCCTGGCTTGAATTCCCATTGACTGACCTCGAGCACTCAGGACCGGGCCAGCCGACGCCCTGCCCCGCGCTCTGTTTCCCTTACCCTATTAACGACCCCGGTTTCCCGTGCACCTATCAGGCCCAACGGCAAGACGCCCTCCGAGCGGCCGCCAATGCGCAGCTCCACGCCGATAACGACCAGCAGCAGGCCCAACGGCAAGACGTCCTCCGAGCGGCCGCCGATGCGCAGCTCCACGCCGATAACGACCAGCAGCAGGTGAGGGGAGCGGGTGCGCGCCCGGCTTGTGTCCCCTGTAGTATGCACTTACTAGCCGCCAGAGGCGATCTAGGTTAGGACCCGGCAGAGGGGCCCTCTTCCATACGGAAGCAGGGGGGTTTCGGGATATCGTTGGCTCGCCTTCAGAGCAGCCCAGGGTAGGACCCGGCAGAGGGGCCCTCTTCCATACGGAAGCTGGGGGGTTTAGTTAGCGGCAATGCGCCACCCAAGCAGTCTCCCAGCGGGGGCATTAGGTAAGCCAGCGCGGCCATAGACGCTAGCCCATGCGGGTGCAGCAGCAATGCCCAGCGCGGCCATAGACGCTAGCCCATGCGGGTGCAGCAGCAATGCCCAGCGCGGCCATAGACGCTAGCCCATGCGGGTGCAGCAGCAATGCCCAGCGCGGCCATGGACGCTAGCCCATGCGGGTGCAGCAGCAATGCCCAGCGCGGCCATGGGCGCTAGCCCATGCGGGTGCAGCAGCAATGCCCAGCGTGGTGATAGCCAGTCATTGCCATGCGACAGCAGCTAGTAGCGCTAACCTGGCTAGAGTTTCCGTAGCCGGCGCGGCACCATTAGGCCGGGATGCACGCTAAGCTACTCACCGACTGAGACCCCGCTCGCACCATTGCTTGGTACCGCAGGAGCAAGAAGCAAGGCTGCAGCCCTCCCCGGCAAGATTCCCTGCTGCGAACCTTGAGCAAGACGTTCGGGAGCCGCCGCCTGGCTCCGTACGGCCTGCATCCGCCCAGCATTACAACCTGCGCACCGGGGGAGGACGGCACCTCCGCGCGGCTCTACCCCGCCGGCTCTAGCGGCAATACTGGAGCGCGACGAACATCCCCGCAACCTATTTCCGGGCGACGGATCGGCCGCAGCGGCCCCCGCGGGTGCTGACCCCCTCCCAGCGAACGCAGCCCTGCCGGCCGAGCCAGCCGCACCCCCACCCGCAGGAGTCCACATGGCCGCCGCCCCGCCTGCACCCTGCGCTTCTGCGACAGCCGTCGCCAGCGAGAGACCCAGCAACCCCCGCGAGGACCCAGCTCCTTCCCTGGCAAAGAACGACCTGCAGGCCTTCCTCTGGCAGGCGCTGCAGAGCATCCAACGCACACGGACGGTACCTCCATCCCCGGCAAGCGGCGACCCGCCTAAGCATTCAGCACCCCGCCCTGCTCCGCGCCAGCACGCCGCCCAGCGTCCCACCCGCGACCAGCATATCCCGCTGAACTGGGCATCCCGTTCTACCAGGAGAAGCCTGCCTCCCGCCTCCTGCAGACACTTCCCCGCACCGCGCAAGCAATCCTGCAAGAAGAGTTCAGCGCTCTCGTTCAAGAGCTGCAGCAAAAATACATCGCCGACAGCGTCCCAGCAGAGCACGCCAGCGTCATGGTGACCAAGGCTATCAGGCGCTTTGCGGACTCCACTGCGGCCAACAACCATGCGCCCGGTCAAGATGCACCTCCGGGCCATGAAGGATTGGGCGCCCCTCATCAATGGCACCAACCCGTCCGCGGCCCGCCGGCTGCGCATGCTAGTCCAGCGAGCCGAGGCTCATTCCCGGGGAGACAACAAGATGGGGGAGATCCGCGACCACATGTGGCCAGCTGCCATCCACTTCCGCCGCGCCCTGGCGGGCATGGAGGCTGCCCGCAACTCTTCAAGGAGCCTGTGATGCAGCAGCTGGTCGAGGCCATGAGCAGGGCGCCGCATGCCCGGGGCCCCAACCACGGAGGCACCTCGCAGCCCCCCCAGCCGCCGGCGCAGCCGCAATACCAGTACCAGGCGCCCCCACCGCAGCAGCACCAGTATGGCGGCGCCCACCAGGCATGGCGGCAGGGCCGTGAGGACCCGATGGAGCCCATCCGCGCAGCAGCAGCAGCATCCCGCCTGGGGCGCATGTCGGATCAGCAGCTCAGGCAGGAGCTGACGGTCCGCAATATCTGCCTGGCAAGGCAGGGGTGTGCGCCGCGCGTGCAACTAAACGCACATCCACCAGGGCCAGCTGGCGGCGGCACTAAGCCAGGACCCCCGCCACCGGCGGCGTGGCCAGCGCAGCCACCGCCGCAGGCAGGAGGCCAGCCCGCGAGCGGACGCTTCCCGGCGGGGCCGCCTCCGGGAGCTGGAGCGGCATCAGCAGGATTCCAGGCATGTCGCAGCCCTGACCATGAGCTCTGGCGCCACGAGTTAGCGCAACGAATGCAGAGGGCTAGGTCCTTGGGGTAGCTTTTTCGGGCGATGACAGGCTCAACTAGGCATAGGAGTGAAGGATGTTACGGGACTACTCGGATACCTTGGCCCTGAGGGGCTATGCAATGGCGGAGATACTCACTTGTTGCGCTGTGTGGCTCTATGCATGCGCAGACATACGGGACTAGGCAGCCGCTCGAGTGCGATGTAGGACAGCGTGTCGGTCCAGGCTGTCTTTTGCCCTCGGATCTGGAACAGGACGTAGCATGGAAGGCATGCGGTGACCCCAGTGAAGCCTGGGACTTGGGCACGGACCCATTGCTGAGCCCGGCGCTGGCCACCCCTGTTGGTAACAAAGCAACCCCACCTCTGACCAGCCTCGTGCCACCAACTCCGCTCCAGCCCCTGTCATACGCACAAAAAGCGCATTGAATGGCGACGGTGACAGACGCCCTCCAGCAGCTAGACCTCCTCCATTCACCAGCTGGCCTCGACTTCACCCCCGACCCGGTGTTCGAAACACAGCTTACAGCCCTCCTGCCCGACACCGACTACTTCCTGCCGGGCCGCCTGCAACAGCACAGCGACATCTGGCGCCTCTACCTAGAACTCGCATCAAACAACAGCCTATCGAGCACCCAACGCGCCATCCTACACATGGTTGGGGATTGTCACGCAAATGCTACAGCAAGCCCTCCCAACCTGCAACCCCGCCGACTACCTGGCGGCGGACCGCCCACGGCCCGTGCATTTCCCTAACCATGCCAGCGCCCAGCAGGACGCAGATTTCGATACACCGGAGCTAGCCAAGTGCGCGCAGTCAGGGATTATCACTGAGTGAACAGCGCCCACGCCACCAACGCTCATCCTGCCTCTCTGATTGGTGGAGGGCAAGAAACTGCGCCTGTGCGTCAACCCCGTGTACCTCCTCCTCCGTACCTCCTCCTGCGGTACGAGCCCTTCAAGTACGAGTACCCGTCTTTACCGCCCCGCATGACTTGCAGTGGGCGGCATTGCCGCAGCACAGGGCGCCTAGCAGCGGGCAAATCGTCTTCCTTGCAGCGCACGACGCTCTAGCAGTGCTGCAGCGGGCGACCCGCCATTTCCTCAGCACTCAGCCCCCTAGCAGCAGGTGGCTCGTCTGTCCAGCAGGGCATGCGCCCCCCCCCTAGCAGGGGGCGGCTCGCCTTTCCCCGCATTGCATGGCGCCCTTGGCAGTGGGCGGCTCGTCTTCCCAGCAGCGCAAGTGGCGGCTCATGTATCTCGTGGCGCCTGGGGGCATCCTCCCCGCAGCGCATGCCCCCCCCCTAGCAGGGGGCCGCTCGTCATCCCAGCAGCACAAGAAGACCCCTAGCAGGGCCGTCCCGTCTTCCAACAGCGCATGCCCCCCCCCCCCTAGCAGGGGGCGGCTCGCCTTCCCGCAGCGCATGGCCCCCCTAAAAGCGGGCGGCTCGTCTTTCCTGCAGTGCATGACTCCCTAGCAGTGCACGGCTCAGCATTTCCTCAGCGCATGGCCCCCTAGCAGGGGGCGGATTGTCTTGCTTGCAGCGCATGACGCCCTAGCACTGCGGCAGCGGGCGGCCCGCAGCACTCAGCCCCCTAGCAGCAGGTACCCTTTTTTTTATCGTGCTGCAGCGGGCGACCCGCCGTTTCCACAGCACTCAGCCCCCCTAGCAGCAGGTGGCTCGTCTGTCCAGCATGGCATGCCCCCCCCCAGCAGGGGGGTATGGTCTTTGACCCCCCCAGCAGGGGGCGGCTCGCCTTTCCCCGCATTGCATGGCACCCTTGGCAGTGGGCGGCTCGTCTTCCCAGAAGCGCAAGTGGCGGCTCATGTATCTCGTGGCGCCTGGGGGCATCCTCCCCGCAGCGCATGCCCCCCCCTAGCAGGGGGCCGCTCGTCATCCCAGCAGCGCAAGAAGACCCGTAGCAGGGCCGTCCCGTCTTCCAACAGCGCATGAATGGCTACCTTACCCGCACCACATAGCCCCCTAGCGAGAGCTGCAGTTTTTCCAGCGACGGATTGCCTTCCTAGCAAGGGTGACTCGCCTTCCGTCAGCATCATTGCCCCCCAGGGCTGCTCGCTTTCCTGCAGCGCTTGGGACCCCCAGAAGAGGTGACTCGCCTTTCCTCAGCACATGGCCCCTAGCAGGCGCGGCTCGTCTTTCCTCAGCACATGGCCCCTAGCAGGCGCGGCTCGTCTTTCCTCAGCACATGGCCCCTAGCAGGCGCGGCTCGTCTTTCCTCAGCACATGGCCCCTAGCAGGCGCGGCTCGTCTTTCATCAGCACACGGCCCCTCGCAGGCACGGCTCGCCTTTCCTCAGCGCAGGGCCCATAGCAACCGGCAGCACCGCTTTCAGCATTGCTTCCACGGCGCACTGAACCCTAACAGAGGCCGCTCACCTTGTCGCAGCGCATGCCCCCACCCTAGCAGAGGGCGGCTCGCCTTCCCGCGAAGCATCGATATCCGCCTCCCAGGGGTGGCTGGCATCCCATTTGCATATCGCTGGTCTAGCAGCTAGCACAGCTCCCTCCCGCAGCACAGTACCAACCGTGCGGCCGTGTTTCCCCGCACAGTGCCGGCCTAGAAACAGGCGGGGTAGTTCCTCCAGCGCAATACAAGACCTAGCAGCAGGCAGCGCTCTGTCCTGCAGCGCATTACAGGCCCGGCAGCGGCAGCTTGCGCCATCTGCATATTGCAGCCTCAGCAAGGGGCAGTGTCCTCTACCGCGGCACATTTCCTGTCCGCTGTCTCTGCCTCCTTAGCAGCGGTCAGCACGCATCCCAATCACAGCCTAACAGAGGGAGTACAACGGCATCTCCCCGACGGCCCGAGCAGCTTACCAGCCCGCAGAACACGGACTCCACAGCATGGTCAGCGAGCCTTCCGGCGTTCTCAACCCGCACATTATTGGCCGAATAACGTCTGCATGCCGATCAGGGGCAGCTTACCTCCCTGCAGTGCATCACAGTCCCCGCAGAGGGCATGCCGCGCCCTTCCCCACGGCTCATGGCACGCCTAGCAAGTGGCAGCTTTCCGGCCCGCATTGCATCGCCACCCAAGCAGCGGACGGCTGGCCATCCAGCAGGGGCCTAGCAGCACATTAGCGGTCTAGCAGAGGACATGCAATATCCTCCCCCACGTCAGGGCGCGCTTGGTCAGGCTACCGGTATGGAGCTATGGACAGATGACCGTGCCACCAGCACGAGGCAACGTTGGCCATGCATTTTCTGAGGCTGCGGGGCAGCGTCGTTGGGAGGGGGTCAGTCTTCCCCGGATAGTAGTAAAGCGGGGACATTAAGCTGTGAGCTGGAAGGAAGGCGGCAGGTCATGGGGCGGGGGAGGCACGGCGACATAAGAGAGGTATGGGAGCGAGACCCACGGGCCCTAATTACACAAGAGGCCGCAGGGCGGGGTAGTTTGGGCGACTTTCCTAGGCGGTGCCCAGGCAGACAGAGCAATAGAACGGGCCCATTAGGAAGGCGCTCGGAGGCGCCCACTCAAAGTCAGCACACTGTACGGTGGCGGTTGCTGCACTCTGACAATGAGAATTAATCGACTGCTCGTCCAACCGCAAGGATCCAAACAGTCGTACACGCCTGAATGAATGTTACTCTACGACTTGTAACGCAACGCTCGCAGTGCGCTACTGTCCGCTATGCTTAAGTGACAACACAGGCACCATTTCGCATCCCACTACGTTGTCGCTCACTGCGCCAGCCAAAGATTTTCCCCCGCCCGGCCCACCCCTGAAGCGACAGCGAGCCCGCCGGCCGCAACACCCCCTTACCGTGCCCAAATGGCAACGCAGTCAAGCAAACCCGCTTAACAACGCAGCCCAGCGCAGCAGGGACTGGTCGACAACACAACCCCAGCAGCCAGCGTCACGCAGCAGCCCGGCAGGGGTGACCGCCACCAGGCCCGCACTGCCAACTGAACCCAGCAAAAACAGCGCAACCCACACAGCCACCCGGAGACGTTCCTGCATGCCAGCGAAGGACAGCGGATACCCCACGCGCACACGAGGCCACCGCCCACTCTCGCAACCCCGCAACTGCCCCCCCGGCCACTCTACGCCAACGCGTCGCCGCCCGGGCCCAGGACCACCGGACCAGCAGCCGGAGCGGCAGCACCAGCAGGGGAGGAGAAGTGGCGGGTGCGGTCCAGGCCGCAGCGTACTGTAGCATGCCGCGACGGAAGTTGTGGCTGGCCTCCTTGTGGTACAGGCCCCAGTCGCACAGGTAGTTCCGAAGCCGCTTCGTCACCTCATCGCTGCCCATAAACACCTTGCCCTCCCCGTCATCGTCGCGGGCACGTCCGCCACCCGGCTCCAACACACTGAGCAGCCAACCGTTGATGGGCTAGCAATTCTCAACGCAGCACGCCAAGTACTCGGCCAGCGCCCGCACAAGGCACAGCTCAGGATCGGTGTGAGGGAGCAGCTTGCGGGCGGGAGCACGTTTGCCCCGGTACGTCTTAGTGTTGAGCTGGGCCACGACGAGCGCATGATCAACGGTATAGGAGGTGGTGGGCGGCAAGACTGGCAGCGGAAACCCGCGGTACTCGCGGCCGGCTGGGTCGGCAGGGCACGGAAGTCGTTGGCCCGCAGGTGCCAGCAGCCGCCCCCTCGACCCGCAGTGTTCCACATGAACATGAAGCAAGCGCGACCCTGCAGCACAAGGAGCCGGGCCAGGCCCCCGAGACGCAGCGCATGACGGTGCAGCAACCGCACGAGGACGTCATACTTCCCAGGCGTAAGAGGAACAGCCGAACGCTCCTCTTAGCCATCCTCCGCTGCGCGCTGCGGGAATCCCCGTCGGTAGAGGCTGACCTCGGCAGAGCGACAGGGGATACCCAGCTCAGGCAGCTCGTCAAAAGCGCTGTCCTCTCTCGGGCGGCAGAACCTGCGTAGACAGGAGGGACAGATGGCCGAGCACGCTGCTGAGGCTAGGCGAACCGGCACCACGACCATGCCGAGGAATTCAGTACATCTCCATGTACACCAGTACCTGCACAGGGGTACAGTTGCGCAGGGTGCGACCGGCACCGTAGCGCCGCAGCCACATGGCAAGCTCCTCCCTATGACGGCTCAGCCGACGCCGCGTGTTGAAGGCATGGGCGCGCCGCTGAACGATCTGCAAACCGTCGATCATATACTGCCCGGTCTCGGCGGCAGGGGCGGCGGCGACGGCCTGGACGGCTGCGGGCACCATCTGCTGATAGCGAAGCTCCCGGAGGCCCATCAGGGCCGCCAGACAAGCCGGTGCAGCAGCAGGACGGGCACGCCAATGCAAAACGCAACCCGACTCACCGGATCTCCTCGAGCGGGGGCAGAGGGCTCATGAGCGGCCACAACCGGAACCGGCTGGGCAGGCACCGCCTACAACCACGGCAGCATACGAGGCAGGACAATTAGAAAGCGGTATCACGTGCAAGCGTGGGCACCAAAATGCAAGGCGTCCCTCTATCGAGAACCCACCGAGAACGCCGGCAAGGCGACGACGCCTTCCGCACCCGCATTGCGGGCAACGACGGGAAGCACGACGCCAGCAGGCATAACGAGTGCGGACGTAGGGCCCTGGCGGAGAGCGTCCGGACCGGTTGCACCCCACCAACCCGGGCACCAAGATACCGCCCGACACGGCGAAGCCGACACCGCAGGAGACACCAAGAGCAGGACCGAGAAAACCCAGTAAGGATGGGAGGTCGGCGGGCCGCGGCGCCCAGGAATGCGAAAAGAAGAACGATCCTTAACATCCGGTAAATGCGAACGGAGAGCAAAGCGCCGACTCACCGAAAAGCTCACAGGCCACATGGCCAGGACGCCTGTGTCATCACTACACTATGACGGCGCTTATAGCTTATGGCGCGACGACGCAATTCGGACCATGCACGTGATGTGACCCAGATGCAACGACGAATCGCCAGGCTGGGCTAATAGTATGCGAGCACTATAGCGCTTTGAGCAAAACAGGACCCGTCTTTGGCGACCGACGCGATCGCTACCGTACAAAGATGCTCAATTCTCGGGGCGACTTTCCTAGGCGGTGCCCAGGCAGACAGAGCAATAGAACGGGCCCATTAGGAAGGCGCTCGGAGGCGCCCACTCAAAGTCAGCACACTGTACGGTGGCGGTTGCTGCACTCTGACAATGCTCTAGCGCCCACAAAGGGATGTCAGTACCGTATTAGTCATCAGCACAAGCGCAACCACCCAAGCCAAGAAACTGTTGTTCGCGGAAAGGGTTAGAATGTGGTCACTATAGAGCTTCTAAAAACGCTCTAAGGGCGCGTTTGGAGTCACAAGACCTCCACAGTGTGCTGTTTGCTCTTGAATGAATGCCCAGCCAGCTAGCCTACGTGCTACGCCCCACCCTGCTATCTATCTACGACTCCCGTGTCGGGATTCCGACTCTCTCCGCACTCTCCCCTCCCTCACTGTCGACCCCCCTCGCGTCACAGCGCTTCCCTCATGTCCTCTGCCCCCGCTACTCCGGCCCCTGCTGTCGCTCCTGCCCCTTCCTCTACCCCTGCTCCCCTCCCGCCCCCTGCTGTCACCCCCGCCCCTGCTCCCCTCCCGCCTCCTGCTCCCACTCCTGCCACGCCTCCTGCTCCCACTCCTGCTGCGACTGCTCCGTCCTCTATCACCATACCGCTCGCGTGCGCCCTGCCTTGCATCGCAACCTCGCTTGCTGTCGTTCACAACGTCGCTGTCGTACCGCGCGCCCCCCCTGTAATAACCCTCCGCCTCCGGCTCTTCACCCCGATCACGATCACGATCGCGACCCCGGTCACGCCCCCGGCTCCGGCTGCGGTTACGTTCCCGGCTGCAACCGCAGCCGCAACCTCCTCGACCCCAGCTGCGCTCAGAGGGGCCTCTGCTACGGCTGCGACTGCGGCTTCGGCCTCGTTTTCGACTCGCCTCCTGGCAGGTGTGGCGGTCGGCGGCGTATGCGCTGCTTGACCTGAAGCCTCGATCGCCGGCAGTGCCCAGGCCGGCATGGGGACCTGCGTCGCGGTCATGTGCCGAGGTACATGGACGGGCGCGTTTGCTGCTACCGCCTTCTGCCACACGGGCCGCCTGCCTCGCCTCTATGTCCTTTACTAGTACGGCAGAAGCACCCGAAGCGCCCGCGTGAGGGAGCGGGGAGGCCGCCTTGTCCCCTTCCATGCAGCGACGCACCGCCGCATCCGCTTCGGTGCTGCGACCCTCTGCCAGGCCTCCCAACTGTCGTCCTCCCGGTGCAGCTGCAGATGCCGCTGCCACGGGCGCCGCCACCGCCGCCACCGCAGCAACAGCATCAGCCTCTTGTTTCCTGCGACTGCTCACCTCACTGTCGCTGTCACTCCCGCTGCCGCTGCTGCTACTGGACGAGGAGGAAGAGGAGCTGCTGCTGCTGCTGCTCCCCGTGTCGCAGTCCACCTCCCCCCGCTGCTGGATGCCATGCGCTATGACGGCCAGGTCGGGTCGCTTGCGCTCCAGCGCCGCCAGCCACTTGCGGGACATCTTGGGCCGCCCCTTGACCGTGTGCTTCCACACCTGCAGGGGTGCAGCACCATCATCATGGCCAGGACATGCGGTGTGGGCACCAAGGCGCCATGCATTGGGTCACAAGGCAGTGGACCGCGTCGCCGTTGTCGAAGATGGCCACGTACCCCTCGCTTTCCCAACACCCCATCCGTCCCTTCCAGTGCAACCGCCTCCAACAATCCTCCCCCCCATCCTGTGCCCTGCCCCCCGGCCCCCCTCACCCGCTCAAAGTTAGCGCTGCCCACGTAGTTCTGCGTCACCGCCACCGTGTCGTCCAGGTTGAGCACCGCGTGCCACCAGCCGCCCGGCACAAACACCGTCTCGCCCGGCCCCTGCAGCAGGTCCACCACGGGGGCGGTGGGCCAGTCGGGGCGGAGGCACCGGGGGTACACCTACATGCGGGGGGGTGGGGGGGAGCAGGAGATGTGAGATGGAGGAGGAGATGCGAGCTTTCGGGGTAGTGCGGGAGGGAATCCCGGTAGAGAGGTGAACAGCAAGAGCAGCGCTACCGGTACTACCAAGTCGAGCATTCGTGGGCGCTTGAAGGCAGGCGGTCGTAGAGGCACACGGCCCTGCAGCACCACATACCCGCACCGCCATACCTCCTCCCGCCATACCCTCCTCACCTTGCTGAACCAGCTGACCGCCTCCCGCTCCACACCCTGCTCGCGAGGCAGCACGTGACAGCGCGGCGTGCCAGGCGGGAACAGCGCCCAGCGCTTGTGACCTGTGTTGTGGGTAAGCCGCGTGGGATGGGGTTAGGCGAAGCCTTTTCCTCAGTGCGAACCCTCCCTCCCTCCAGCGGCCTGCTCCCTCCTCCTCTCCGCACCCCTCCAGCTCTCCCTCCGCACCCACCCGTCAGCAACGTGTTCCAAGCGCTGGTTGCCAGCGGGTCGATGTGTAGACCCGTGCCACTGCGAGCTGGGCCCATGACCAACCACCTCGGGTGAGAGGGGGGAGGGAGGAGCAGTGGGGAGGATGAGAGGGGGGAGGAAGCACGTACATGGAGGGGACTGGGTAGGGGAAGGCTAATGCTGAGGCGAACGAGGCTGTAAACGGAGGGAGAAGTTGGCTTCAGACCGAGCGCACAAACACAAGGGAACAAAGGTGCACACAAAGGGCCAGGGGGACGCCGGGCAACAAGCACCCCATTAGGCTTCCGTATCGGGCCCCTCGGTGGCCATCGTCACCCACCCCCCACCTGTACGGCGGTCTGCGCTTCTCGCCCACCAGTCCGAACAGGTCCTCTCGGAAGTAGTCGGGCACCTGAAGGGAAGGAGAGGGGCAGGCAGGGAGGAGGATGGTGGAACCGCTCAGGACGGGAGGTGGCGGTGGCGGGTGCATGGAAGGCACAGAGCGTAGAGGACTAAAACGCGCTCCTAAGCAGGCACATGCGGATAAGGACGTGTGTAGGACTGAGCACCCAAGCACTTTTGCTGTTACCTCTCGTCCCGGCCCCCACCTCGTAGTCCTTCCGCATGGCCTTGCTGCCCTCCCGGTCCGCAAACGTGCCGTCGAAGATGTACAGCGGCGAGTCGTCCCGGCCGCCGTGCTCCGGGTCGGCCACATAGTCCAGGTACCAGGCAAGCCGCAGCCGCACCGCATAACCATCGTCATCGGAGCCAACCTGCGGGGGTAAATACCGGTAGGAGGTTGATAACTCCGCAGGTCGGGGCGGGCGAAGGGACGGAAAAGGAGGAAGCAATTCTACAATGGCTAGGCGAACCAAACGGAGAGAGGAGCGAGAAGGCTTTGTGAAGTGGCCTGCGCTTGAGGAGGCAAGATGCAAGGCAAGAGGCCATGCGCAATGCTGAAGGAGGATGCACGGGGTTTTGCCGTACCTTAAACTTATGGTCGCCGTACAGCTGCCGCATCCGTTCGGGTGTCCATGCTGTGGTTGCGGGCCAGTGGTCTGCCAGGCCGGTGATGACGACGGGGATACGGGGCCGCTCGAAGCGCTCGATGAACTCCTCAACGGTCAGGTCCTGGGGAGCGAATAAGGGACGGTACAGCAGTGGCACCAGCAGCTCGGAATCACGCGCACAGAACTTCAGCAAGTTGTTAATGTTGTGTGTGGGTTGAATCATCCACGCTATGTGAACGCAGCGCTGCTATCGTTGGTGCTCCATCGCCCATGACCGCCTGTACACCGTACCTTCCAATGGATGCGCGGGATGCTATCCACCAGGCCGCTGGTGCTGCAGATGTCCGAGTTCGCGAAGCCATGCTTATACCTGCAGGGAAAGGGGATGATACAGGCTCGCGGGGGGCCCTAGGAACGGCAGGATGAGGCTGCGGGGCTACATACCCAGCGGGGTGGTGACGGACTAGTGGCTGCGTTTGGGCGCCGGTATGCCCAGGAACGAAGCAACTTCTGTGCGCTGTCATAACCACCATAAGCCCAAATAAACCTACCAATCTCCTTTGCTTATGCTAAGCTCGCTCCTGGCCGCTCGCTTAGCCTTCCTTATCTTCTTTTCGCGCTCGGCGTCACTGCCAAACGGCAAGTAGATTGCAAATTCAGACAGTACAGTATTGTGAGAAAGTCGATGCTGTACAATGGAAGCTTCGGCTGCTCACCCCTCTGCATCGTGACGCTGGTTTACTAGACCAGCACTGGCTTGCCCGTTGTGAGTAGCTGCAATACCCGCTTCACAAGGTGCCATGAGAGCGACGTGTTCAATGCATCTCTACTATTACACAGCAAAGAACGGGCAACGAGCAACAGGCACTTCTTACAGACGCCAAATCGAAGGCAACTAGTTATCCAGAACAGTATATATGCTAACCGTATGAGTTCATGTAAAGTAGTTGGGATGGAATGCTGAAGTATTGGTCATCTCCAACCCACCATCCCGCGATCGGGCCCCTATAGACCTGACTGGACTCCCAGTCGAAAGCATCCCGCTCATCCAGCATCTTTTGGTTATGTGTTTTTAATCTTATTCTCTCGATTACTGTTGGCTTAAGACAGCTTAGGTTGGACCTCAGTCTTTTCCTAGATAAAGCGGGTTATAACAGCTTCCATACAAAGCAATTACAAAGAACATAACGTCTACCTGTTGATCTAGCTCTATTCAGTATGACAATTTCATCGGGATGAGTTCTGCAGCTCGAGGAAGATGGCGGTGGGCAACTATGTACTTAACCTCGTTTCGAGGCGAACACCAACGTAATCAGTTTTATCTTGTTGCTTAGGGTGCTGAGGCGGGCTTGCCGCCAGGCGAGCACGGCGCTGCTGGTAAGTGGATGCAGCGACCGTTAGGTGACCCTGGCGCTTCGCACCTGACGCAACCGTTTGGCCTCGCAGGCCAGCAACCGGGAATAGCCACGCTGGTTTTCAACGATAGCTCGAAGTACACGGGCACGCTTAGAAATGGAACGCCACACGGTCTAGGCACATGCGTATGGAAGGACGGGAACCAGTACGATGGCGAGTGGAAGAATGGCCTTATGCATGGGTTCGGCACGTACCTATGGACCTCTGGGCAGCGCTACGATGGAGAGTGGAAGGTATAGTGTCACTAGAGCCTTGGACATTTGGGTCTCTCAACGGGTGGCGTCTGCCGTATTACCCGCCGGTGGGTGATTTGGGCCGGTGCCATCATCGACCCAAATCCATGTACACCACCTCTATCCGTAATTTACGCCTTGCCTGCCCATGTTTTCCCCAACCCCTCAATAGGATGGCAAGCGCGATGGAGTCGGCGTCAAAATGTACGCCGACGGGTCGAAATTCCATGGCATCTGGCGTGACGGCAAGAAGCACGGCGTCGGCGTGTTCCGGCCCGCCCCACGGGATCGTTCCAAATCGCTTGCTAAGACCAGCAGCGGCAGGAACATTCCTTCGCCGTCTGATGTCGACCCCTCCGTCTACAACCTGCGTGCGACTGAGGGGACGCCGCCGCAGCAGCAGCCACGGGAGACACACCAGCAGGACGCAGGTGTGTGGCGTGGCGTTCAAGCCAAAAGAAACCGTGGGCAGGGCATGCGTGGGTACCCCCCTCCAGTGGGGTGCTTCTCGACCCTCAAGACAGCTAATGCTGCAACCATTCGCAACCATAAGCTCCAGGGCGCAAACACCTAGTAATTGAACATGGACCTTGTCTTGTCATGTTTCCCTTGCCGTAGAGCCGGCGCAAGGTGCAGGGGAGTCCTCCTCTCCGGCGATGCCCACGGCGCCCCACTCGCCTCCAGCCTCTGAAGTCGGACCAGACAAGGACCGAGGGCGGGAGAAGGAGGGGCATCGGGACAAGGATAAAGACAAGGAGCGTGACAAGGAGAAGGACAAGGAGAAAGAAAAGGAAAAGGAGCGGGAGGGCAAGTTGCTGCTGATCCGCGTGTTTGAGGATGGAGTGCTGAAGCGGGAGGAGAAGCTGAGCAGCGAGGACGCCAAGATGATCTTCGGGCAGGCAAGTGGTTCGGCTTGCATGGGTGGGCTTACATGCATGCAAGGGTTGCGCATGGGCGGGTAGATTTCTTGTCTCGGCTTGTGATGACGTGTCCTTTTCTCGTGGTGGCAGGCGCAAACAACGGATGCGCGACGCGGCAGCCGGGCAAAGAAGAAGGTCAAGCGCGCGCTGGGTTTCGGCAAGAAGTTGCAACAGAAGCACGGACAGCTGTTGTACAAGGGCATGCCCGGGTAGGCTTTGGTGCGCCGTTGACATGGTCAAGAAGGTTCGACCCAAATCGCCAGGGGCGCCAGGCGTCTTGTTCCATTCCGTGCCCATGCAAACGTAGCCTGGTCCTTACCCAAGCACCCCAACCGCCCTTCGACGACCCACATCAATCGTTACTCCAGACCCATCATGTCCTGCACACGCAACCTGTCGCATGCATCAAGCATGCATCAAGCCCGCTCCTCCCTCCGATGTGGGTCAGCCCCAAAACACAGAAGATCGCCGCTTACCTTTCTTCTCTTCCCTCTTTTCCCCTTTCCCCATCCCTCTTCCTCGTCCACCTCCTCTCGCCCACACAGGTACAACCTGATGCTGCGGCTGCAGCACGGAATCCGCTGGAGCATCGGCCGCGGCTCCTACAGCGTGCTGCCGGGCCAGCAGCACCCCACGCAGCAGCTGCACCCCTGCCAGGCCACCAATAGCGTCGCCAGCCTGGTTGGGGTGCCGCTGCCGCTGAGTCACAAGCTGGTGGAGGCGGACTTCACGGAGAAGGTCAAGGTGTTCTTCCCGAGCGCTGGCAGGTAAGGAGGAGGAGGCCCGTGCGGTGGAGGCATGTTACTGCAGGAGAGGGCTATACCTGGCTGGCCGGCTTGTCGGACCCGCTTGCGGCACCCGTTGGAATGTATACCGTTGGTACGGTGCTGGCTGTACTGTTCTCTGCCTTCGTGCTCTCCTTACACGGGTGGTGTCCCCCCCCTGAACCTCCTCTGGGCTTCTCCCTCTCTCTCTCTCCCGCTCTCAGCTCCATCACGCCCGCGCATCCCGCCGGCGACTTCAAGTGGAAGGACTACTCGCCGCGCGTTTTCCGAAACCTGCGCAACATGTACGGCATCGCAGACGCGGACTACATGCTGTCGCTGGGCGGCAGCTCCGCGCTGTGGCAGCTCAACAGTCCCGGCAAGTCGGGCTGCATGTTCTTCCTGTCGGACGACGAGCGCTTCCTGGTCAAGACCATGCGCAAGACGGAGATCCGCACGCTGATTGACATGCTGCCCAAGTACTACAGGTGAGGGTTCTCGGGGTGAGGAAGTGGGAGATGGGCAGGTGGGGGCTGTAGCCTGTAGGGCTTGCTCGGGTTTACAGCAACCCTAAGTGTTGCATGCCCGCCCTAACTCACCGGCTGCGGGCCCGGAGTCTGCATGTGCTCAGTCCCCTTGTCCCTACTTGCGTTCCTTTAACCCCCCCCCAAAACCCCAAACTCTACGCGTTCCCTCAGCTACATGGAGAGCCAGCCTGGTAACCTGGTGATCCGCTTCTTCGGTGTGCATGGCGTCAAGCAGCTGCACGGCCGCACGGTGCGCTTCGTGGTCATGCACAACATGTTCAACACGGACCTGCAGGTGGGTGGGGCGCGGCTGGGTGAGGCGCGGCTGAATGGAGGAGATTGTTGGTAATGCAGGGGTCCTGGGACAGGGAGGACACCAGGAACACCTGAGGAGCCCTAGGACTTAGTACCGAGTCTCAGGAGGCTGTGCGAAAGCCTGACAGCTTGCACTCGCTAGTACGCGCGCAGCTCCTCGCCCATGCCCTCCCCCCTTGCGCCTCCTCCGCTCAGATTCACAAGAAGTTTGACCTCAAGGGCAGCACGGACGGCCGCACCACAGGCCCCAAGGTGAAGCCGGACGACCCCAAAACCATCTTCAAGGACCTCGACCTGGACATGCAGGTGGGCAGCAGGAAGGGGGTATCGGGCCACATGCATGGGAGCATGGCCATGGTTGAGGTACGGCAGTGCTGCTGTACTGCGCTGGCTTTCCTTTCGTCTGCCTAACGCAATACCATAACCTGCCTCCTCCCCTCCCTCCCTGCAGTTCCTGCTGCACCCCGCCGCCTACTCCGCCGTCATCCGCCAGATCCACTCCGACGCCGAGTTCCTGCGCGCGGTGGACGTGATGGACTACAGCCTGCTGCTGGGGATACACTTCTGCAACCGCGCCCGCCTGCCACAAGAGGGGGACACCTCCACAGCAGCCGGGCAGTCGCAAGGGCAGCATCACGTGCTGGTTGGGCAGCAGCCGCCGCCGCTACAGCCGCAGCCCTCCACAAAGGTGCCGACGCGGCAGCAGGCGTCGGTGTCAGGGCAGGGCCTTGTGCTTGGAAACGGAGGCAGCCCCGCGGGGGCGCCGTCAGCGTCTGGAGTGCCTGTTGGGTTGCAGGGCTTGCATCAGCTGCAACCAATGGACTCGCACGGCTCGGAGCCGGGGGAGGATGCCTCAGGTAAACGAGGATGGTGGGACGGAGGATTGCTAGGTAGGGGGACCCGTCTGCGTGCTCCAGCTGGTACCGGTACCAATTAGCCGTTACAACTTCCTTAGGAACTAAGGGTGGTGCCGCCGCGGCTGTGCTCCTTCCTCACCATACGCATTGCACCCCCTGTAGGCCACAATAGAATGTCGCCCGTTCGGAACGGCCCGCCCGCCTCCCCTGGAGGGTTCGCGCCGGGTCGGATCAGTTCCATGGCTGGCGGCGGAGGCGGCGGCGAGGACCCGGACGGCGAGCATGTGCGCAACTTTGACCTCTTCTCGGACAGGCTCGGTGAGTGACACGCGCTGTCATGTACTGGGCGGGTAATCTGAAGCGACGGTGGGGGGGTGCGGGCATGCCAGTAGGATGCATGCGGCAGCGAATCTTAGTGTACGTATAAACAGCAGGCGATGCGATGCGTTGCATGGCAGGCAAAAGAAGCATGGCGTCTCGGCGCTTCATTGACCCCCGCCCACTTTGAACCTCTCTCGTCCCGCATCCACTTTGCTCTCCCAGCGCTTGACAAGCAGCTGGTGGTGTTTGAGGAGCGCATGCGCGGCATGGGCTACAGCGAGCAGCGCATACGCGACATCCTCAGCCTAGCGCGACTGCGCATCCTGGGAGACCAGCTCAAGGACAGATCCAAGAAGGCATACAAGGTGTGGTGTGGGATGTACAGTAGTATAGTACGACTGTACGGGCACAGTGCGGTAGTTGGCAGGCCGCCTTATATTGTTTGTTTCCTCAGGTTCCCTGTCCCTAAACTGCCTTCACCTTTGAAGCTCCAATAAAGTGCCTTACCACGGCCGCCCGCCGCTGCCTTATATTGCTGCCGTACAACGCAGGTGTACGACGGCCCCAGCACTGTGCTTCAGGCGCTGGCCTCGCGCCGCCAGGGCGCTGAAAACCTGCCGCGCCTGGAGGAGGCGGAGGACCCCACCTCAGACGACGACGACGAGGGCGGGCCGGGGATGGGCAAGCAGCCGCCCTGCCTGGGCCACAAGTTGAGAGCGCTTGCGGTGCATAAGGTGCGGTGTGCGCGGAAGGGCCGCGGGCATGAGTTATTACGGGGAGGGTCTTCTGCATTTATGCGTCGTAGGACGACGTGCTATGTTGCTTGCAGGGGGTTAGGGATGCGTTAGAGTGGAAGGGCGTCGGTCATGTTACAATCGCGTGAGAGGATGCCCGCGGGTTTGTTCATCTGAGCGAATGCACGGGGACGCAGTTGCAACCGCAAAACGGTTGCGGCACTTATTTTTTCGCCCAAGCTCGTATGCGCCTTAGTTTTCATAAAAGCGTGTCCTGCGATTTTCCCTTGTCTCACGCAGAAGGGGGGCCAGCCACCGGAGGAGGTGGTGTTGTGCTTTGGCATCATTGACATCCTGCAGGACTGGAACATGCGCAAGGTGCGGTTGCGGTCCAGTCAAGTACCTGGGTGATGTTGTGGCCAGATTATACCGGTATTGGGTTAAGGGCACATGGGTTTTGTGACATAACACACAAGGGCATGTACATAAACGATGTGTTGGAAGCGGTGCGGTGAAGGCTCCTCTTGATTAGTGCCCGTTATTTAACCTCTGGCTACAGGTGGTTGAGCGCACGTTCAAGAGCTTCACACACGACTCGTTCGCCATCTCCGTCGCGCCGCCCAAGCTCTACAGCATGCGCTTCGACGACTTCCTCACCAAGACCGTCTTCATGGACCCCGCAGACGCCGCGGCCAAGGGCCTGTATGCGCCGTCGCCGCACGGCAACAGCATCTATGGCATGCCCCACCAGGGCGTTCCCACGATCGAGGAGGAACGGGCTTAGGAAGCGGCTCCAGAAGCAGTAGCGGTCGGCGATGTGTACGGTGTACTGTACTGTGAAAGGTAGCGGTCTTGCTAGTTAGCTGTGATCCTGCGAGCTGTGGTGTGGTCTTGACGTGGGGGTGTGGCCTGATGTGGGGTTTATTGCTTACATCAGTGCGGTCTTGCTCGTAGCCCCCGAGACATAATGTTTTCACAGCCAGCTGTCTGAAGCGGTTTCCTGGTTGCTGGCACTCTAGCGCATTGGTGTATGTGGCAAGTGAGCCATCGGATGTAAGTGGGCAAGGTGTGAACTTAGTTGTGCATACCGGTGCCTGTGCGTGGAGTGCTCTGGATATCAAGAGCTGTGCTGGGCGATGGATATGTAGTACCGGTAGAGAGGCGCCCTGAAGGGGATTCCTGCCTGCTCGCTACTGTTGGTTTCTGCTTGCATGAGCGTCCTGAGCAAGCACGCATGTAGGTGTACACAAACTGTGCTCGTGCGCGGTGATTGGGGCTAATATGAGTGCTGAGTGAACCTATGCAATTTTCCGCATGTTCTCTGCTGGGCACAACACTCCCAGCGTCCTCGTACGGCACATCCGTGTCATAGTGTCGTATACGTACCGCTGGGTACGGCAGCACTACCTTGCACATCCAAATCATCCCGATACAGCCCTCCTTGCTCCTGATTTGCAAGTAACAAGACCAGCAAGCACAACAATGCCAGAACATCTCCTGTACTCCTACACTCCTGGCCACCATGTCCCAGTAACCCAAATCCCTTCCCCTAATCCTTTCAGCCACCAGCACCCAATAGCGGCCTTACTCTTCCTTTTCCCGCACGTCCGTCATCGCTCCGTGCGTGAACTGCCGCCGGATGACCTGGAAGATCAGCACAGTCCAGTACAGGTGCAACACAAACAGCACCATGAGCAGCCCGTTGAAGATCTCCCAGTGGGGCCGGGGCTCAATGCCCATATGGGCCGCCACCAGCACCACTGGCTCGAAGAGGGTTGACCGGATGGCAAAGACCGGGAAGATGGCCACACGGCACACCACCCACGAGATGAAAAAGAGGATGAAGGCAACCATGCCCATGGTCTCCCTGTTGGCGTAGCGGCAGAGCTTGGCCAGTTCGAGGAAGATGTCAGAGACGTCGTGCAGGAGGATGACAATCACGCCCACACGCGTGAAGTTGACGGAGTAGGAGTAGATGAGCAGGCCGGAGGTGACAATGTGGTGGATCATGCTCTCCAGCCAATCCTTGCGCCGCTCCTGCAGGCACAGAGAGTGAAGGGAAGTCAGGTGCGGAAATTGGTGTGGCAAGAACCTACTCCTAGGCCTTCTCGAAGGCCTGGGATAACGCATGCCGCGCACGACAACCAAACAGTGGCCGTAACCATGGCAGTGGGGTACTTGTGCCGTGCTTCATAGCACTACGGGTAGCGTTACTTGAGTCGTACATGGCCACCGCAACCCTTACCTCATGCACCGCCAAGAAGTGAATGGCCTGGAGGTAGAAGCCCGTCTCAGCGCAATAGAAGAGCAGCACCCCACGTGAGACGGGGAGGTTGCACGGCGGGAACCGGTTACATCCCAGCCACCAGTAGCGGCTATCCGTGAACCAAATCTGCAGCGCAAAGCGATACTTGTTCACGCCTTTGTTAAATGTGGAGGACCATGCAGTGGAGACTTCCTTCTGCATGCAGGACAGCCGTGGATTGTTGCACTAGGTCATGCCGCGCACCTCTCCCCAGGACACTGCGAAGGCCAAGGCAGTGAAGGTGATGTACACGGTCATCTTCCAGCATGACTCGTTCCACTTGCGGAGCTTCGCTGCATCCGCGGGCGTGTCTGTGCGCTTGGGGTCGCCGCCAAATAAGACTCGCAAACCCAGTGGCTACGGAGTCCCGGCGAAGGCAGGGAGGGGGCGCAGGGACCCTTACAACGCAACAATAGGTAGCCTTTTTGACACCAGTGCCCCTGGAGCTTACAGGCTGCGCATGAACAGCCAGAATGAGCGCCGAAAAGCCCAAGTGACTAGCGACAACCACCCAACTAGCGTTTAGAGGAGTTAAGGGCAACCGCCCACATCACACTACGCGTCAGTAAAGTAGCACCTACCTCGAACAAGTAACGTCGGAGTACGCTGCGGAGGATTGGGAAGAAGAAGGCAAACAGGACGCACAGCGAGAAGTCCAGGTAGCGATCTCCCAGCAAGTAGTCTACATCATTCTCCGGAGGAACGTTCAGCGCCGTAAGCGTTGTATTCACGAGGTTATACTTTGTTCCAGCTTCATAAATCCACTGGCCCAAGCTGGACAGCTTCTCCAGCTGCGGCGCGCCTCCAGCTGGCATGTTGCTATGCTGTCCGAGGATTAACACCCCTCGGCAAATGTCTATAACTTTCTCACACAAGCCCAGCAATGCTGCAAGAACGCCGAAAAGAGAATTTACTTATGAACCCCCAACTGCCCGCCCTGTCCAAACGCGATTTGCAAGTATGATGTTGTAATGAACACTTCAAGCTTGTGCTCTGGTGATAAGTGGTGTTCCCAATAACTAGGACCAGGTGTTGGCGGGTATGAAGCCGTGTAGAAGTTTACAAGGCGCCAGAGCCAATACAATATCAAAAGCCCGCCAAGGTTAATTTGCTATATAGCTAAGACCTCAATCAGGATTGATGTATATGGAATGATGCACGCTTTTTTATTTAAACCGTCGTACCAGCTGATGTCGTTCGCTACCCCTACCGTATTAAACAAGTGCATGCTTGCACATAACGGACAAGTGAGACAACAGCTGAATCAAAACAGCTCTAGCTGTAAAGGCACGTTTGCGCTTTACGGAAATAGGGGCAACAGCATAGCCGTGGCTTCGGTGCTACCTTTGGTTGGGGCTTAGCGGTTCATCGATAAGAATGCCTGAGCATTCTACGCCGTGACACTAAAATAGGCCGCCTATGCCAGTAGAGTGAAGCATAATGGACATGGGTACCCGCAAAGCACTCATCGTGCACAGGTACATGGGTGCGTACGGGAAGACAATGGTGCTATGGCAGCGTGCAGTAATCAAGCCCATCCCGCAGTTATACTTCCATTCTTCGGTCATAGAGACAGTCCATTGGCCGAGCAAAGCTCCGTGTCGCACACGCCCCTGCAGCCATATACGTTACCAGCACGTGCGGAGCGTGTCAAAAACCAACGTATGTGGTAATCAGCCAAGCGAACCCCAGGTGCGCCAATCCGTACTGATGGGAACCGTATGCTGCTCGGTATGCATGGGGTGATTGCTGGTTATGGCCCACCATGCCAACCCACGTCATAAAGTGGAGCATCAGGTTGGATGTTTTATCTCCTCCGTGCCTGACACGAGAATGCAACACAGGGAAAGGAATGCTCCTGTGTTTCTGCGTTGGCATAGCCTATGAGACTGTTGGACCTTACCTTTTAGCTCGGCCATTCCTCGACTGTGTCGTACAGCAGGTCATGGAAACCACCAAACCAGGCACAGCGCACATGACTTCTCGGCTTAACGACAGGACCTGCGTTCTTATTCCTATGAAGTAAATTCTCTCTTACATTAAGTTCCTGTCACTGCCGCTGCCTTCACACAGTTTGCCGACGCCTTGCAAGCATCTCACTGCAACCTACAACTGCATTAAAAGGCGTTATATCGAGTTAAAATTAAATAGTTAGCTATAGGCCTGAGAGGCGCGCGGGCGAGGAATTGGAGGTTGAACTAGAGGGCGATACAAGATGGCTAAGCACCATCCTGATCTGATTATGTGCATGAAGCAACCAGGCGTTGGTGAGTTTGTTGCGCTCGCGTCCCGTTGGGTCGGGCTTCGAAAGTCGGAGCCGCATTTGTTGAACACCAACGTTGCGCGGCTCCCGCCCGCAGCCATTGGACGCCTATGCGAGAAGTGCGACGGCAAATGCCCTATTTGCGACTCATACGTACGGCCGTGCACCTTGGTGCGGGTGTGCGATGAGTGCAACTACGGATCCTACGAAGGCCGCTGCGTCATCTGCGGGGGGATAGGCATCTCGGACGCCTATTACTGCAAGGAGTGCACGTTACAGGAAAAGGATGTAAGTCAGCGACCGCGATGTCGTGCTGCCTGTGTTGCCGTGCATATAGCGCGCAAATGGAGCCAGCGCCATGCAACGTGTCGTGCGTTCCTTGTGCCGTGTCCTGCACGCTGACGCAGAGAGGACCATGCTCCCTCTCGTTCAGACATCCGTACTGAAACCCTGGTTTGCCTCCCTCGCCTTGACCCGTGTGTGGCTGTCCGCTTGGATTCCCCTGCAGAGAGACGGGTGTCCGAAGATCATTAACCTGGGCTCGGCGAAGACAGACCTCTTCTACGAGCGCAAGAAGTACGGCTTTAAAAAGCGGTAGCACCAGACGTGCAGCAGGACGGTTGCCATGGCCTGCATGGGACGCCTCAGCTGAGGATTGGAGGTTGAGGGGATCCGGCAAGGGGCTTGGACTGGGCCTGCTGGCCATGTGCGTCTACGCGCTTGAAACATGCTGGGGAAAGGGGCATGTAGAGGGGGAAGCATGGTGACATGCTGTAACCAGGGGAGGAGGGCATTTGGGTAGACCCTAGATCTGAGGAGGGATTCCGGGTTGTGAGCTTGGAATTGACGACGGGGCTTCCGCCTTTTCCGTGTCGCATGTTCAGGTTGTGGTAGTATGGGTTGTGCCTGAAACGGACAGATAGTTACCTGGATCTGGAAGGGTTAGAGCAAGGCTGCTGATAATACCCAGGGGTCGCATGTTCTAACGATTCAGCAGTTTGGGCCCCAACGTGGCTATGTGTTTGTTGCGGCAAGCGCCTCGCGTAAGAGGGTACTAAACAGCAAGCGGATGTCCTGAGGCGTTGTGGCTATTTCGGAGGCATTTGGGGTGTGTAGTTTACGTTCCGACCCCCATGCACCATTTGTTGTCGGCGCTTTGATTCGTGTACATGCCAACTGACGCCGAGTGATAATGTTCGGAGGGCCGTACATGCAGTTAACCCGTCGGGTCGCTGAACAGGGCTTTCATGCAGCATTGCGTAACCTGGCTTGGTAATGCACGTTGTGGCTTTAAAGGGTTTCCGTACGGTATTCGGTGTGCTCGTACGTCCTGACTTGACGGGTGGGCGTGCTGGCCTGCGATGGTGGTCGGCTGTTAAGGGCGGATTGCAGCAGGGTATTACTCCGGCATCCCGGTCCCCGGTTTCAAGACACAAGGTTCGCTTTCTCGTGGCGAGCAGTCACGCGTGGGAATATGGCCATGCCAACACTTTTCACTGCTATTGGGGTTGCCACAGGGCAATAACCGAAGGCAGGCTTGCTCGCAGCCTCAGCTAAACGTTGCCCCACTGCGACTCTGGATTATATCATTTACATGCACTTGCCTTACGCAGGTACGGCGTTTTTCATAGCATCCGTACGTCCAATCAGTTCACGCAACTGAAACGACTTTGGCAGCGCTTCTTTACACAGCAGCAGTGGTCTATACGTTCACCCTGCCAATCCTTTGTATCATCACTGTTTACGGGAGGGTGGTGCACCTCTGCCGCAATCCGGCACCACGGCCCATCGGCGATTACCCCTGCTGGGCTAGCTGGTGCTTCTGCTAACCGTGTCGGTCCTGGAATTGTGTGAAGAAGTCACCGCTGGATGCTGCTGACAGCACCTTTGCACGTCCCGGTCTGCACCTATAGCTACGACCAGTCGACCACTTAGGCAAAACGTGCTGGCAGTGGTATACCGCGGACGCTTATAGCTCTCTCCTTGATGCGGTACACCTCCCAGCCCCTCTGCAAATCTCTGGTTTAAGCTTGGTTCGTCCAATCGTGCAACTACCGTATACCGTACGGAACCGTAGCATACACAATGGTCCGGCGTCGCCAATGCCATCAGCTTATAAGCGTCTGTTTATAGCTTCATTTGGGTCTTGCTCCTTCCCTCTGCGATGCTCGAGTAACGCTTACACTTGCCGGTTATGGCTGCCCTTTCGGAAACAACCAGCGTCCTGTATCGCTCTTTTGAAATTCTTGCAAGAGTTGAAAGGAAGATCTTATCATGTCCTGGCACGGAAGCTCTCGCATTCGTTTCGGAAATTGACATCCTGGACGCCATTGCAGCTCTCAGGGTGGTTGCCTCCGGCTATGTCGGCTTGCCAGTGCGAAGCGCTTGGACAGCGCTTAGCGGAGAGTATGTTGGTATACTCTTGTCGCTGTATTCACTGGCTTTGCGTGGCTCATGCCCATCGCTGGCACCCGCCGTTCCAGAGGAGACTCGCAAAACTTATATGGAGCTTAGAGCTATGCTCGCCTCTCATCTGGAGGCTGCTGTAAAAGACGGTGGCAGGATCATGCCCTGCCGTGCTTACATGGATGTCGTAAAGGGGCTGCTGCGTACTCAGGCACTCCGTTGCTACGCCGCGCTTCTGGCAGACGAATCCAAATCCGTGATGCTAGGCCACCAGGTGCAAGGGGCGCTGGACTTGCTTCACGAGTCTCTGGGGCTCGTACGCGCCCTTCTAATCGATTGGTGCTTAGATCAGCACCCGTACCCGCCCGGGCCGCGATGGTTCTGCGACATAAACGCCCACCTCGGTGATGAACTGGAAGCCAGTGGATTGCTGGAGCACTGGGCTTGCACGTTCCTGCATACCTTCCCGTTGTGCGGGTACACAGACACCGTGACCAGCCTGCTACACCAGCTCTCCGATGTGCTCCAGCTGCTGCTTGCTAGGCAAGCCAAGTGGGGGTACTTACACTTTAGCTTCATGGACTTCAGCCCAAGCCTGTCGTACCTGCTGTCATCGCACCTGGTGAGCTTCTGCAACCTCCTGGACGGCGGCACAACATACGGCCTGCCAGCGGGGGCCGTGGTGGCGCCGTTATTCACCGACCGGGGAATGCCCCTGCGGTGGGCCGACCCGGGGGAGGTGCTGTCAGTACAGCTTGCGACTGCAGGGGTGTCTCTGTGGTCACACTACGTCGGGGAGGTGCAAGAATGGGTAAGCGCGATATCATTCAGAAGCATCAGACGGCTATCATCCCACCTCCCTGCGGGCGCTCGACGCCAGCCTGGCCTTCTACCCAGCGCCCTACCCAGCCTTCGGCAGCATCTCCGTCACCACATATCCCGCTTAAAGCAGGCGCTGGCAGCAGTCGAGGCGGCAACCGGCGTGGGCTTGGCGGGGATGCACGACGCTCTGGTGCCCGACCATGAGAACCCTCGGCTTGAACGGATCCAGCAGGACATCACGGACTGTGAAATCGCAATACAACAGTTCATGGATTTACTGCCAAATTCTGGTGTGCCGCCACTCAACACCCAGGCCGGGTTCAGTGTCGCCATGCGGGTCGCCGAGGTCACACTTCAACGCATTAGGCCTGCCGCTTCTGGGGGCGCTGCTTCAACATCTACAGCACCTGCAGCAGGGCCCCTCCCGCTGCTTACCTTTGAGCAGGCGCAGCTCGTGATTGGGAACGCCCTCCGGTGTGCACGGAAGATGTGTGTAAACGCGGCGTTTGTGAAGTGGCAACATAGGTTCATCCAGCCTTGGCATTGGGACAGCATGACCCGGTTATGGAAAGCAGCCCTCAAGTGGGTCGAGACGCTTGCTTATAAGGGCTGCGACATGACGGAGACCGGGGATCTACTAAAGTTGCGGGTCCCCGAGGAAGGGGGTAAGTACCGAGGATTGGGTCGTCTCATTCCACATGTTCTGGGAGGGGAAAATTATATGACGTGAAACAACGAGTCCCAATCCCTTCTGGGAGGGAAGTTGGGCGTGGGTTGCGGGGCAGGGGCGCAGATGAGGACCGCAGGACGTGGGCCTGTGTGCAGATGGGAGGTTGGGATGGAGCGGGTGGGGCGGGGGCGCATGGGGGATGAAAGGAAAACCCGGAAGTGACGCATAGATAGCCGTTGAAGATTGCCTACTTAAACGGCCTACAGCCCATGAGCCCTTGTCCTTTCATACTGCTCGCAGGCCTATCACCCGTGGTGTGGTCGGCTGATGTCGGTGCGGCACTGTTGAACGGCTACGTTCCCCAGGTTGAGTTCCTGGTGCGGCGCCTGTCCGTGGTAAGGCACCAACTAGGATGGTAAACATGTCACGATGCGGCAGCTCTAGGAGCTAGGGCACGTCCTTATCATCCAAAGCATGCCGTGTATGAGCCGTACCATAGGATCCTTTTTTTAAGGGCTGGCAAAAACGGCAGTTTTCCCCTTCCTTTTCCTTAGGACTTCTTCCATACCTGGCTTGGTTGCCAAGCTCCGGAAGCTGTTCTGCAGCTGCTGTGCTTCTCAGACGAACTGGAGATGGCGGCTCTGATTACCACGGTAGCCAAGGTGCTGCGGCGCGGGGCAAGTGTGCTGGCATCTCAGGGGGCCGCGTGCCCCACCCAGGACCCAACTTCCTCAGCCGCATCTGCAGCAGCACCCCACCAATTACCTCACATGCCGCCAAATGACAGCGCTTACGGTTTGGGCCTGATGGCCTGTCGCCTTCTTCGTTCGGCATCAGGTGTCTTTGGAGGTGATTCGTCAACTGGACCGTGGCTGGTGAGACAAGTGCTGGCTGTCACATCCGCAAGGGGCCCGAGAGAGTCACAGCTGCATTGTGGGGTCGGCCAGGACGCAGGCAGCGGCTCTGCCAGCAGGGGCCAGGACGCAGGCAGCGGCTCCACCAGCAGGGGCCAGGACGCAGGCAGCGGCTCCGCCAGCGGGGGCCAGGACGCAGGCAGCGGCTCCGCCAGCAGGGGCCAGGACGCAGGCAGCGGCTCTGCCAGCGGGGGCCAGGACGCAGGCAGCGGCTCCGCCAGCAGGGGCCAGGGCGCAGGCAGCGGCTCCGCCAGCGGGGGCCAGGACGCAGGCAGCGGCTCTGCCAGCGGGGGCCAGGACGCAGGCAGCGGCTCCGCCAGCAGGGGCCAGGGCGCAGGCAGCGGCTCTGCCAGCGGGGGCCAGGGCGCAGGCAGCGGCTCCGCCAGCAGGGGCCAGGACGTATGCAGCGGCTCCGCCAGCGGGGGCCAGGACGCAGGCAGCGGCTCCACCAGCAGGGGCCAGGGCGCAGGCAGCGGCTCCGCCAGCGGGGGCCAGGACGCAGGCAGCGGCTCCGCCAGCGGGGGCCAGGACGCAGGCAGCGGCTCCGCCAGCGGGGGCCAGGACGCAGGCAGCGGCTCCGCCAGCAGGGGCCAGGGCGCAGGCAGCGGCTCCGCCAGCGGGGGCCAGGACGCAGGCAGCGGCTCTGCCAGCAGGGGCCAGGACGCAGGCAGCGGCTCCACCAGCAGGGGCCAGGGCGCAGGCAGCGGCTCCGCCAGCGGGGGCCAGGGCGCAGGCAGCGGCTCCGCCAGCGGGGGCCAGGGCGCAGGCAGCGGCTCCGCCAGCGGGGGCCAGGACGCAGGCAGCGGCTCCGCCAGCGGGGGCCAGGACGCAGGCAGCGGCTCCGCCAGCAGGGGCCAGGGCGCAGGCAGCGGCTCCGCCAGCGGGGGCCAGGACGCAGGCAGCGGCTCCGCCAGCAGGGGCCAGGGCGCAGGCAGCGGCTCCGCCAGCGGGGGCCAGGACGCAGGCAGCGGCTCTGCCAGCGGGGGCCAGGACGCAGGCAGCGGCTCCGCCAGCAGGGGCCAGGGCGCAGGCAGCGGCTCTGCCAGCGGGGGCCAGGACGCAGGCAGCGGCTCCGCCAGCAGGGGCCAGGACGTATGCAGCGGCTCTGCCAGTACAGTTGCTGACAGCAGCAAGACTACATCGAGCTCTCCAACCGAAGCTGATGCCGCTGGTTATGGTGCAAGGTTGGGCTTGGCTGAAGAAATGTTCAGGAGGCTGGTGCAAGGCCTGTCGCTTGTGGCAACCCGGCTAGTGCCAGCCATGTGGCTGGTCTACGAGCGGGCGACGGCCCTAAATGCCTCGTGTGACTCGGTTGTGCCTTCCTTGGAAATGAGCAGCATTACGGGGCTGCTATCATGGGTACCATTGCTGGCTGCTGCTGCATCAAGCCGGTGGCGTTGCTGGCCAGAAGCTGCTGCAGGCAGCGGCCGAGTCAACACCAGCAGCAGCAGTAGCAGCGGCAGTGCTGCAGCGGCTGCAGCAACAGATGGCTGGTGGAGGTATGTATGGTGCGAGCTCCGCTTAGTTGATCAGCTGGTGCTGGTGCTGAACGACGGCGTGGCAGGCAGCGAGCTGGAGACTCAGAACTTCAAGTCGGCTGTTGTAGCCGCTCTTCGAGCTCTTGTGTACCTGAAGCCATGTGAGGTGGGCGACTCAGTGGCGCAGCAGGAGAGAAGCGCTCAGAGGGTTGCATCGTGCAGGGGCGTCGATGATGCCATCTTAAACTTTCCCCTCAGCTTGATATCATTAAGGCAGAAGCTGGGGCCGGGCGGAGCGTTCTGTGACCCTGAGCTGTTGGCGGCCTTTGTGCGGGTGGAAACGTGGGGCCGTGCCAGGCTGTGCGAACCGGGTGTAAAGCTCCTCTGGGACCTAGAGGCGACAATGTCCGCAGCGGCGGCTGTTGGGGAGGTGCCCCAGGACCTGCAAAGGTGGGTTGCGGTGGCCGCACTGCTGCCTCCGCCTGAGGTGACACGTGCGATGCTGCCCACGTGCGACAACCCTCTGTGCATCAACATGGAGGGAGACAGCGAGGCGGGGATGAAGCTGCAGGCGTGCGCGCGTTGTGGTACGGCGCGGTACTGCTGCAAGGCGTGCCAGGTGGCGCACTGGAGGGATGCGCATCGGCTGGCATGTGCAGGAGGAGGTGGTGGCGGCGGCAGCAAGGGTTAGTGGGGTTTCTGTGTTGAGGGTGGCTTTCTTAGTGGAATGTTGTTGTGCCGTAGAGGAGTACGCTGCAGCGTCTGCGTGGGTCTGTTTTGTTTCGGAATCCTTATGCGGATGCCCTTCTGCACACCTATGACAGACGGTCGTATGTTTGTATCACGTCACAACGGGGCATGATGACCAGGTGTATCGCACGCCAGATGGGGGTTAGTGACCACATTGCCGTATTGCGATGCCGGCATGTTGCCAAGCTGATTTGCTATATAGACAAATATTCAGCGAGACAGCAGCAGTTTAGGATGAGATAGCTAGGAAGGGCTCTGTGCAGCTGTTTGCTTTCAGCGAAAGTTGAGGACCTGCTTCGGAGTACCGACGTAACACCTACACGATGGCTCGTATAGGGCTTGACACTAGTTAGCGCAGGGCTTGAGGGCCATATCTGTGTTTTTGAGGAGAATTTGGATGGCACTGTGCGGTCGCTATGCATTGCATTTTGATTGGATGTGCTTCCTTGCTTCGGTGGACGGTGCGGCGTATACAGCGCTTGTGTCCATACCATAGGCAGCGCACCCGCACAATTTAGGCGCACACATGGGGCCTAAAGCGCACTTCCCATCATTTCTTACCAAAGCTTGCGTGGTTTGGTATCTAGGGGCTTTGGATCTGTGTCTTACTAAGGAGTCCCAGCTACGTCAAGGTGTACACATCTGAACACAAGAAGCACCTGGTGGGGTTAGTGCATGGAACTGTGGCGGCTTCACTCCATGGCTACTGAATGAGATTGAGGGTTACTAGTCTCGCGCATGCGAAGCGGTTGCTGTTATTGTGCTGGTGGTTTGCTATATGTGTCTTGGGGGTCCTTTGCAGTTGTCTGACTGCCGCTTAGCATGCCCTGGCCTGCAGTTGTAGGCATGCCAGGTGGTCTGGCCGGAAGAAGCAAAAACCGTGCTCACGTTTTGTCGTCCGTATTACCGGTATTTAATCGGTTAGTGCCTGATCATGCGTAGTGAAGCAGCTAATTCTCAATTGTGCTACTTCAATTAAGCAGGATGTTGCAACGTTGGCCGTGTTGATGCTTCTCAGGCTAGGCCATATGAAAGGGGGGCAGCTGCGTTAGATGGCAGTAGGCGCCTTCTTATCGTTCTCAAGATGGCCCATGGGTCGTGAGATTCCCTTTTTATTGAGCGGCGCACCTTCACAGTTTGCATGATACAGCTGTCGATCGCGCGCCGGGGAGGATTAGGTGTTGCTGCTAGGCGCGCTGGTTAAGATGATTAGCAGCAGAAGAGCCTATAGCTGTATAGCTGTATGGTGTAGGGTCAGGTTAAGGCATGAGCGCATGACACCTGCCCATGGTGCATGCCGCTACAGCAGGGAAGCGACATGCGGCTATGCTTGTTCAGTATCAAGATTAAGCCTGACGAGCCTTGCCAACAGCCTTGGTTGGGTGTTTCAGTACACTACCTTCACCTATGTCGTATGGACGGTACGACAGCCCACAGTAGTGGGGTTGCTTGCCATGCCCTTCCATGCAGCACATGGTCCGCTAGCATGCTTACCAGGCGGCTGCAGCACCTGATATCTTTCATCAGGGCATGTGAAGATTATTTAGGCGGGCCGAAGGCCTGGCAGGTGACGGCGTGCGCTGATCCGAGTTTTAAGCGCATCCTGTGTAGTCGTGGCACAACGCAGAAGCGCCAACAACAACACCAGCCTCAAAAGCATTGGATGTGGAGACGAAAGGGTATGATGTTTGCAGGCGTCATCTTCGGTTCAGCGCCGGGGTCCAGGACGGTTGAACCCAACCCTGCCTCTCTGGTCACAGCACATCCGTTGTGTTGTGGAAGGCAAACCTGGTAACCTCTTCTTAAGCGTAGTCAGCCCAATCCCTGCTGTTTTTATCCATCCCAGCTTTTCCTATGAGAAACACTTGAGTATTCCGGACGATGATGTGAGGATACGGTTGAGTTTTCGGAGCGTCCCCAACCGCCTGAGACGTTGAAGCTTGACTGCTTGAAGGTTCACCACTTACGTTACGCGGTAATTCTGCAGCACATGTATTGATGAACGGCATGCTAGCGCACTGCATCCCGCTGATACGGAAGCTTGCGCCATCGCGTCGCCCTATCCGTCAATTGCCAAGTTTGCCGCGATAGCCCTAAACGTTATGTGACACTCCTTGCTTATTAGCATCTCGTACCGTTAATTTTAAAAACGACGGCACAAGGGCAGCATCTTTTACACTTGCATCGCAATGAGCGGAACGCAGTTCGGGCCGCCAAGCTTAGCAGCGTGCCTAGTAGATGGTTCGGCACCAAAGCTTCCTGCTGGCGGATGCTGGATCGCGCTGCCGCCGGATAGCCTCACGGCATCGCGCATTGCTGCGGGGCAGGTCGTGCTGGTAGGTATCACGGCCGTGTAGCTGGGCAACCAGCTAATATTATACTCACTCGGAACTTTAGGGAGAGCGATGCTAAAGGAATTCAGCAAATTTTGGTTACTGGTGGTTAACGACAGCTGCTGTATTCCTGGCGACGACGCCTGCCACCCATCCTTCTCCTACTCGCCTGTTCCCCGCATGTTGCACTCTTCCTCATCCCCCACACACTCTCCGCCCCACACCCAGGTTGGTATCTCCAGCCGTGTCCTACCCTCCCCTTCCTCCTCCGGACCCTCACCCAGCCCCGGACAGCCACCTCGCAGCCCCGCAACCCCCCTCGCCGCCTCCTCATCCTTCGGACCCGCCCCCGAACTCCTAGCCCCGGACCCCTCCACAGGCGCCCCGCCTCAGCCCCAGAACCTCTGGCGGCTGTGCGGCCGGCGCCTGGGCCTCCCAGACCTTTCCGAGGACCGCCCGCAGGGGAGCGGGGGCCTCACAACCGTCACCAGCGGCACCAACGAGACCCCTGTTGGCTCTGCTGAGCTGGGTTCTCATCTGCTTCCGGCGCGCGTGTGGCCCGCCTCCAAGCTACCCCGCTCCTCCGCGCTCCTCAGTCCGGCGCTAAGGGAGGCAGCGGGAGCACCGCCGGCGGGAGCCGTGCTGCTAATCTACCGCTCGCCTACCGCAGCCGTAGCGGCGGCCGCTGGTAATGCTGCTGCTGCGGCGGCGACGGCAGCTGGCACGACAGCGGCGGTGGCGGCGCCGCAGCCGCCGCTTACTCCTCAGACCCCGGTTGCTGCCGCCGCTGCCGCCCCTAGCACAGCAGCAGCAGCAACAACACAAGCACCAGCACTGGTAGTGTTGCAGCTGTGCGCTGACGCGTTACTGCAGCCGCCGGTCACAGCGACGGCAGCGCCTGTGACGCCGCTGCCGGCGGCTTCGCCCTCGCCCTTGTCGGCAGCAACAGCAGCAGCAGCTGCTGGCGGGTTGATGACTCCCCCATCCAAGGGGTCCAAGGGGTCAGCCGCCGCCGCCGCAACTCCAAGCACTCCTAACGCGGGTCGCAGCCCGGCAGCAGCTGTCGCCGCTGCCGCTACCCCGCACGGGCAGCAAACGGCAGCCAATGGCAGCGGCGGCGGCAACGGTGTTGGGGGTCCGCTGCAGCGGTGGCCGCTGGAGACGTTACGTCGGGCGGCGGAGGCGCGCGACGAGGGTACCAGAGCAGCGCTGGCGGCGGTCGCTGTACGACATTTGGCCGGCCGCCACGTCATGTCGGGTGCTCCGCTGGTGCTGCCGGTGCTGGGCTGCGCAGCGGTCTTCCGTACAACTGTGGCGACGCCGGCGGCGGCGGCGCAGCCTCCATCGACAGGATCGTACGGCAGCAGCAATTGCAGGGTTGTTGAAGTTAGTCGTACGACACAGGTGTTGGTGTTGTACCCTGGAGAGGCGCTGCCGGAGGGACTGGTGGCGTTGTCGGGAGCTGTGCGGTCGGGGAGTGCTGGCTTGGCGCATGGAGCGGGTGCAGCAGCGGGCGGGAGGGGAGGCAGCCTGGCGGCCAAGGTGGCGGCGGCGCGGGAGGCGGCGGCGGCGGCGGTGGCGGAGAGTGCGGCGGAGGCGGCGGCGGAGGCGGCGGAGAGGGCTTTGCGAGCTGGTGAGCGAGGTTGCCTTTGTTGGGGGCGGGGGCAGCAGGGCGGCTTGTGCGGGTGCCATTTTCCTCTTCTACTTCTCCAGCATGGACAAGCCCAGCCCGTTCCGAGTAACCGAGTAACCACATGTGTATGTCACTCCTCCCTCTCCTCTCCCCTCCCTTTCACCACCCCATCCCCACCACCTTCACCCCACCCCTCCTCCAGGCCACGCCTCCGGCGGCGTGCAGCTGTCGCAGCTGGGTGGAGTGGGCCCCCACCTGGCGGCGCTGCGGGAGCTAGTGGGGCTGCCGCTGAGGGCGCCGCAGCTGTTCGCAGCGTACGGGTGAGGAGGGCGGGTGAGGGGGGGTTAAGGGGTCGGCTGTCCAGCGTGCTGAGGGGGGCAGAAGGAGAAAACACCATCCCGTGAACGATAGTGGCGAGTCATGGTGAAAGCTGGCGGAGTAGGAGGGCGAGAGGTAAACAAACCGCCCGTTCCTGATGAAACGGTTAGGTCAGGGCGAGGCAGTAGGGAGGGGGTATTGGGGTTGGGAAGGTGTACGGGGCGGGGCGGGGTTCGGTAGGACGAGGTGCGAGCGGCGAGGAGAGCAACCGCCGTACGAAGCGTCCCTTGCATTCATCCACCCCCTCCCACGACCTCACGACCACACGTCCACACTGCCGCGCGCCACCCCAACCTGCCACAATCCTCTCCCTGCCCCCCCATCTCTTCTCCCCGCAGCATCCGGCCCCCCCGCGGAGTGCTGTTGTACGGCCCCCCGGGCAGCGGCAAGACGCTGCTGGCGCGTGCTGCGGCTGCGGACGCGGGCGCTGTCGTGTTCCTGATCAACGGACCTGACGTGGTGTCGGAGTACTACGGTAGGGAGGGGAGGGAAGGGGGAGGGGAGGGGGCGTTGGTTAGCAACATGTGACGGGAGGGAAAGGATGAGGGAAAGGGTGTTTGAACGCCCTCGCTGGGCACCCCATGTGCACCCCCTCGCGCTGCCAGTCTACCTTCTCTTACACGCTGTCCTCACTTCCTCACGCTGCCTCACTTCCACCCTCCCACTCCCACTCTCCTCCCGCTCTCCCCCCAACACCAACACACGTCAGTCAGCTGTTCCCTCTTTAACCTACCCCACCACCACCACCCCCACCCTGCAGGCGAGAGTGAGTCCAGTCTGCGGGGCATCTTCGCGGCCGCTGCCGCGCTGGCTCCCTCGCTGGTGCTGATTGATGAGGTGGACGCACTGGCGCCCGCCCGGCCGGGAGGGGGTGAGGCGGGGGAGGGGGAGGGACACGGGAGGGGGTGAGACCGGGAGGGGATGAGGCCGGGGAGGGGGTGAGGCGGGGGGGAGGGGGGGGACATGGGAGGGGGGTGGTTGCGAGGAGGTGGGGAGCCTTTACGTGGTAGGACGAGGGACATTGAACTTCATTGTACCTTTGCACGCATCTACCTAGCTCGTATCCCGCGCACGTTATCCTCTTGCTCTCCACCCTTTACCATGCATCCCCTGCCCCTCCCGCCCTCCTCTCCCTCTCTCCTCTCCATCCCTCCCCGGCCCCCTCAGGCGGCGGTTCCGCCCACACCGCCTCCACCTCCTCCGACGTCTCCTCCCGTCTCGTCACCGCCCTTCTCACGCTGCTGGACGGAGCGGAGGAGGGCGGGCAGCAGCAGGGCAGAGCGCAGCAGGGACAGCAACAACAACAACAACACGCCGCCGCCGCCACCCAGCCGCATACAGCGCATGGGACGCAGCCCTCCTCCACCACCACCTCCTCCGCCCCCTCCTCCGCGCCCTCCACCTCGCCCTCCTCCGCGGTATTTCGGCCGGTGGTGGTGCTGGCCGCCACCAACCGGCCTGACGCGCTGGACGCTGCGTTGCGGCGGCCCGGGCGGTTGGAGCGGGAGATCGAGGTGGGGGTGCCGGCGGAGGAGGCGCGACGGGAGATACTGCAGGCCAGGTGAGGGGTGAGGTTGGAGAGGGGGATCCGTGGGCGTGGGTGTCGGGGACCCGTTGGTGTCGCGATAAAGTGTTTTGGGGGGCGGGATAGGCGGAGTGTGCAGGAATTTCCGAGGTTGGGGCATCTTCTCAGCCGCACCAACCAGATGTGGCAGCCGTCTTGACCATCTACACGTTTCCCAAGTACTTCCTCAGTCCCCTGCTTCCCCTTCCCTTCCCATTCCCCCCCACCCCCCTTCCCTCCCAGGCTGCGCTCCGTACGGCACAGCCTGACGCCCGCACAGGTGGGCTCCCTGGCAGCAGCCGCTCACGGCTTCGTGTGTGCCGACCTGGCAGCACTGGTGGACGAGGCGGCGCTGTGTGCGCTGAGGAGGAGGGTGGCGGCGAGGGAGAGGGCGCGGGAGCAGGGGCAGGGGAGAGAGCAGCAGGGGCAGGAGAAGGAGGAGGAGGCGGTGGTGACATTGGAGGATTTCAAGTGAGTGCTATAGGGGTGCTAGGGGTGCTAGGGGAAGGTGCTAGTGCTAGTGGAGTGGGCGAGTGGGTGGAGGGGAGGGGACCGCATGCGGAGGAAGGCCACGCCACAGCCTGCACGCCGCCCGAGCTTGCCCCCACACGCACCCACACGCTCCCGCTTAGCTAGCCCCATCCACCCCAACTCCAACCCACTCCATCCCCACTGCCACCCCACTGCCACCCCCAGGTCCGCCGAGACGCGGGTTCGCCCCAGCGCGCTTCGTGAGGTGGCGGTGGAGGTGCCTCGGGTGGCGTGGGGCGACATCGGGGGCATGGAGGCCGTCAAGCAGGCGCTGCGGGAGGCGGTGGAGTGGCCGCACAAGGCAAAGAGGTGCGGCGCGGTGGAGGGGCGGTGGGGGGGTGTGAGGCTAGGAGGAAGCTGACAAAAGGAAGGGGGGAGTGCGGGCTAGGATGGAGAAGGGGCGTGGGGGGTGGTTGAGGGTGCATGGGAGGGGCGCGGAGGCGGGCTTTGGTACACAGATGGCTGCTGAGGAGTGTGACTAAGCACCGCGTTTTGAGCTCCTCCCCTCCTCACCCCCTTTCCTCACCCCCTCCTCACCCACCCCACTCAGCTCGCTGGCCCGCCTAGGCGCGCAGCCCCCCCGCGGCGTGCTGCTGTACGGCCCCCCCGGCTGCAGCAAGACCCTGCTGGCGCGTGCGGTGGCGAGTGAGGCGGGACTCAACTTCCTGGCGGTCAAGGGAGGGGAGCTGGTCAGCAAGTATGTGGGGGAGAGCGAAAAGGTGAGCGGAAGCGAAGAGGCGGGAAATGGGGAAAAGGGGAAGTAACGCAAGAGCTGTGTCTGATCTAGCTGTTGTTCGCTTGTAGGAAGAGGCGGGGGGGACGGGAGGGAGGGAGGGCTCATCTGCCTAGCTCTCAGTTGCCAAGTTGCGAAGAGGGAAAGCTCCTCCAAACAACGCCCTATAGCTCGCATGCCCCTGGCTCTCACCGCACTCCACCTCCCCCTCCTCGCACCTTGTTAAGCCCTTATTCTGGTCTACTTTGATCCCCTTTGCCCCCACCTGCTCCCTCCGCGCCTCTCCCTCCCCTCCCCCATTCCCTGCCTGCCTCCCGCCCCCCTCTTCCAGGCCATCGCCAACCTGTTTGCGCGCGCCCGCGCCACCGCCCCCTGCATCATCTTCTTCGACGAGCTGGACGGCCTTGTGGGCGCCAGGGAGGGAGGTGGAGGCGGAGGCGGGGGAGCAGCGGGAGTGAGCGAGCGGGTGCTGAGTCAGATGCTGGTGGAGATGGATGGGCTGAGGGTGAGGAAGGGGTTAGCGTGAGAAAAGAAGAATACGAGATAGCCTAGCAGACGGCGCTTCTTTATCTGAAGCCTGAAGGGGGAGTTCCTCACATAACTTTAGTTTGTACGAAATCACCCGATGTGTTGAATGAGGCTGGCAAACAAGCCCAGGGGTTGCAGTGGGAGGGAGAGCACGGAATAGCTGGCGTTCGGGGTGGATACCGGTAGATGAGCGTGCTGAGGAGGAGGCTCCAAAGGTTTTATGCAATGCCCCCTCCCATGCTTATGGGATTGGGACTCGTTGTTTCACTTATATAATTTTCCTCCCATGCTTCCTTCCTTCCCAACCTGCCCCCCCGCTCTCCCTCCCGCCCCCCCCTGCAGGACCGCGGTGGCGTGACGGTGCTCGCCGCCACCAACCGCCCCGACCGAGTGGACCCCGCACTGCTGCGGCCGGGGCGCTTCGACCGACTCATTCACGTGCCGCTGCCGGACGAGGGCGCAAGGTGGGGGCAGGGTGGTGCAGGGGGCAGGAGAGTGGGGAGGGAGGCAGGTGTGAAAAGCTGCCCAGCTGGAAAGGGGGCGAGGGCCGGGGCCCTTGGGTTAGGCTGCCGTGTCTCTCACACCCGCAACCCTATTACGCCCTTCCACCCCCCTCCCGTCACGCTCCCCCCTTCACACGTTGAGAATTCTTCCTCTTTCCCCCTCCTCCTCCCTTCCTCCCCCCCCAGATGTGAGATCCTGCGAGTGCTGCTGCGGCGCACCCCGGTGGCGCCCGACGTGTCGCCTGCCCAGCTGGCGGGTCGGGGGCTGACGGGCGGCTTCAGCGGAGCGGACCTGGCGGGGCTGGTGCGGGAGGCGGGGCTGGCGGCGCTGGAGGAGGATCTGGGGGCGGAGCAGGTGGGGGGGGAAGAGGGGGGGAGGACAAAGGTGGGGGCGGAGCAGGTGGGGGGGGGAGAGGGGGGGAGGACAAAGGTGGGGGCGGAGCAGGTGTGTGGTGGGGGGCAAAGACTATACCGAACCGTAGGAAAGCACAGGTTGGGGCACAGCATTGGAGAGGAGGCTACTAACAAGGCTCCTGCCCTGCCTGCCACCCCCATCAGGTATGCTGGCGGCACTTCCAGACAGCCCTCCTCACGGTGCGCCCCAGCGTTCGACCCTCACCCGAGCTGCAGGAGGTGTATCGGCGTATGCAGCGGGCGGGGGGGCTGGGGGCGGCGGCAGCGGGGGCGGCTGGGGGGGAGGAGGAGGGGGAGGAGGAGAGTGAGGAGCAGGAGGAGGAGGAGGAGGAGGAAGGGCAGGAGGAGGGATCGTCGCCTGTGGTTGCCGAATCGTAGTGACGTGATGCCGTGTGGTGTCTGGGGCGGGCTGGTGCGGCTGGCAAGCTAAGGGAGGGTGTGGAGTGCGGTTGTAGTGTGGGAAAGAGAGAGGGAGACAGGGGAGGGGGCGGCGGTTGGCCACGTGGCAATGGGAAGCAAGAAGGAGAGGTGGGCTGTAGTTTAGCTGGCGGCGGCAGATGGTGTGAGGCTCTTGCCGGGCACCTTGAAAGTCCTCAATTGAACAAGCCTGAGAGCCTGAGAGCTCAAAGAACCTGGAATTAGACTTTACGCACCGCACATAACGTAACAGCCTGTGGGCACAAGTTCAAGTACCTGCAACCCGTGCAGTTTGCAGGTGTGAGATGCCTAAATAGGACCAATCCACGAGGCGCAATCCGTACCGTGCACGCTTTACCGTGCATCATTCCATCCCTTCATTCCGTTCACGTATAAGTACGTGCGAACCGTATGCCCGGGTGCGCCTAGACAGCTTAAAAAGCCGCAGCGCAATATTGCACTCTCCCAACAATATTAAGGGGTTATCAGCAATTATCAGCCAGCTCGCTCTAGGCATAAGCAAGGCCTGCACATGCCCAGGAAAACAAACCCTGATCACCACGCAAACCACCATACCTAATACATGCTAGCCACCTAACCTCCTCCTCCTCTCCCCCCCTATCACTCAGGGAAGGGCGGTAGGCCCCACTGCTCGGGTCGGAACTCCTCCAGCGACCGCAGCACCGCACTGGCCCCGCACCCCGCACTCAGCTCCTCCGGCAACCCCGGGTACGGCACCATCACCACCCGCATGCCGCCCGCCAGCGCCGCGGCAACACCGTTGGGCGCATCCTCAAACACCAGCACACGCGACACGTCGAGCGAGCCCGCGGCGGTGTTGGCGGCGGGGGGTGCTGCTGGTGCGGGCGGTTGTGTTGCTGGTACCGCGGTGGCGGTTGCCGTTACCTCAACCGTGGTTGTTATCGCCACAGCAGCAGCACCGCCATCCGAGGAGGAGCTGCTCTTTGTCGACACAACCGCAGCCTCCTCCTGCTGCAGCTGCTGCTGCTCTACCACCACCACCGCCTCCTCCTGCCCCTGTCCCGCCTGCTGCTGCCCCCCCTGTAGCCGCTGCTTCAACCCCTCAAGCGCCATCAGGAATATCGCTGGATCCGGCTTCGCCTTGGGCACCATGTCCCCAGTCACAACGTGTTGGAACAGCGAGAAGAGCTCCGCGTGCCTGCTGGTTTTGAGCAGGAAGGAGGCTCGGTGGGAGCCGGTGGCCAGGGCCATGGGCACCCCGCAGGCCGCCAGGTGCCGTACCAGGCGCTCGGCTCCCGGCATGAGGGGGCTGGATGGGAACACGGACTCCAGCAGCGCGTCCCGCTCGGCTAGGAATTGCTGCAGGAGGGCGGGGAGGGGGGTACATACGACCGTATATGGAGGGCAGGGGCGGGTGGTGGGATTAATAGGGTGTAAGGCATACCGGGCTAGTATGAGCGCTGGTGACAGCGCTAGTGCACCTGCCAATCCGCATCCGGCATCGCTTATGGTTGAGACCACGAAGGTATCTAATCGTCCTCGAGCCCCCAGTGCCAGTGCACCACCACCACCACCACCACCACCACCACCGCCCATCCCGCACCTCGGGTGTGATCTGCTCCGGGCCCAGCGCCAGCTCCGCCAGCAGCAGCTGCGCCGCCTCCATGGCCGCCCGCCCCATCATGAGCGCCTTGTGCTGCCATGTGAACACGGCTCCGAAGCGGTCCAGGATGCGCTGCTGCGCCACCGTGTAGGCGGACTCAGTGTCCAGCAGCAGGCCGTCCATGTCTGGGAGGAGGGGGGGGGCACGGGGGTGCAAGGGTGCAAGGGTGGGTGGATGCAAGGGTGGGTGGGGAGGTAGGAAAAGGGGAGCGTGGGGGGAGGGGTAGCAAGTAGGGGATGGGGGTGGATAAGATGGGTAAATGGGTTAATGCATGTGATGTGGAAGGAGGTGTATGCATGGTCCACGTGTCCGCCTCCTTCCCAAAGGCGGTATATCATTGCCCCTTAGCACGCGCGTGAGGCGCCGCCTCCCAACCTCCTCTGCCATATTCCTTCTCACCAAACAACACTGCAGCTACAGGAGGGTTGTCGCTGCCGGTGCTGACAGTCCCATTAGTTGCAGCTTGTTCCGACGCCATGTCACGTAAGGAAGCACCACACCGGTGCCTTGCAAGGAATCGCGATTTCTGGCTATGTCCCAACTGCGCAATGTGAATCCCTCGCTCAAACGCCTTGCGCTGTGCGCTTCCGCGTATACAGCCTCTGCCTAAGCTCGCCGTCCTGCTAACTAACGGTACAATTGTTGCGCTGTTTGTCCTAGTGGCCACATGCACTTTTCAGTAAGGTCGGGTTTAGGCGAGCAATTGAGCAACAACAGCAGTAGTGGCTATGGTGGACAAGATGGGAAAAACATCCACCGAAAGCGAGAGGCCCAAAACAAACCAGGCGCCGTGCTGCCGTACAGACGCTTTGTAATAGACGACTGAGCCATACAAGGTAGCTTGTTTGTCGGCATCCAAGCGCAACGTCTAGCAGTCTTTTGCCTCGAGCCTTACTTGCTGATTGGAAAAGCTTCTTAGCCCTCGAACTGCTTTAAGCATTCCCAAGGAAACATGTCAACGCAGCAGCCACCGGAGCAGCCAGTTCCATCACGCATCTGGCCTCAACTGCTACCAGAGCTTGCGGAGCTCATCATCAGCTTCCTGCCGCCCAACGAAATCGCCTGCACCGTACGGCTGGTCAACAAGGCCGCAGCAGCGCAGTTCCGCAGCCCTCGCTTCACAACCATTTAGCTGTCTTCCCCCGTGCCCCCGCATGCCTATAAAGAGCACTGGGAACATGCGGGCGTCATGCAGAAGCTGACTCGCATGCAAAGGGTGCAGCTACTGTCCCTGACTGCCGCCAGCGGCAGCATTCCTAACCTGGAAACTGCGCTTGCAAGCACGGGATGCCTCCTCTCGGGGGCTTTACCACCGTTGCGGTGGCCCATGGGTTGTTGCTTGATGTTGGATGCGGCCGCTGCGGGGCAGCTGGAGGTATGTCAGTGGCTGTGGCAGCAGCACGGCTGCCCTCTGCACGCTGCCGTTGAAGCTGCAGCTGCTTCAGGGCAGCGGGCCATCTGCGAGTGGGGCCTGGCTGCCGGTTGCCCCTGGGCATCAATTTTTGCGTACAAGGCTGCTGAACAGGTCCACGTGGGCCTGATGGAGTGGCTGCTGCACAAGGGGACACTGATGCCAACTGGGGAAATAGCCTTCTCTCTGCTTGAAGCGGTGGCAGCGGGCTGCGATTTGTTATGCCTGCAGCGGTTTTATCAGGAATGGGTAGGTGCACACCCAGATCAGCTCGAGGAGCTGGACCTGCACGAGTGGTGCAAATGGAGCATTCTGGCAGCCGCAGCCGGCAGCCCCACACCCGACTGGCAGGCCAAGGTGGAGTGGCTGGAGGCACGGGGCTTCGAGCAGTTTGAAGACGCCTGCAAGAAAGCTGCCGGCTGCCCAGACGCACTGGACCGCCTGAGGTGGCTGCGGGGCCGGGGCTACCCGCTGCAGCTGGGTTCGGCTATACCAGCAGCAGAAAGGGGCAACCTGGAGGTTCTTCGGTACCTGCTGGAGGAGGGGTTGACGCCAGGTATTTGGTGTTCCCACAGGGCGGCTGCCAAAGTACAGTTGGCCGCTCTGCAGCTGCTGCACGATCATGGCTGCCCCTTGAGCATGGACGTGGTCGGAGCTGCGGCCGCGGAGGGACACCTGCATGTGGTGGTCTGGCTGGTGGAGGAGGTGCTGGGGCCAGCAGGGGTGCAGCTGGAGAATGGGGTTTTCAGCTCGGCGGCAAAGTCGTGCAAGATAGCCCTGCTGTCCTGGCTGCGGGGTCAGGGATGCCCCTGGGATGCCAGCGTGTACGCTGGAGCTACTGAGGCTGGATGCGCGGAGGCGTTGGAATGGCTCACGGAGCAGGGCTGCCCCATGCAGGTGGGTACTGGGTGCACTGGTGTGGGGGGCGTAGGCCCCGCTATGAAGCGGTATCAACCCCCCATGTAGATAATATCTCATTGACCTGAGCAACTAACTCACATGGAAGCTGGGGTTGCGTTGGCTTCAACCCCTATGGTGATTTTCATGGCATCGGCTGGTTGCCCTGGTTGTGAGCCTGGAGTGGAATCCAGTGTCAGGCACGTGGTCGCAGGCAACCAGGCGAACGCAGGTGTTGCGGATCTGTATCCTTCCATTCCTTACGCCCCTTCTTACACCCACCGCACCACAACCTTCACCCCATCCAGGAGGACGGAACCCCCTACGTGAAGGCTGCCCGCAACGGAGACCTGGCCACGCTGCGTTGCCTTCGGCGGCTGGGCTGCCCCTGGGGACCGCCGGGGCTGGTGTTTGCGCGCTGCATCAGGGATGTCTGTGAGCTGCCAGTGCTGGGGTTCCTGCTGGAGAGCGGCTGCCCTGCAGACTGGGATGTGGTGGCAGCGGCGGTAGAGGAAATAGTGCAGCAGATGTACCAGACAGGAACTCAGAAAGCTGAGGAGCGGGCGAGGGTCTTACTCCAATGGCTGCAAGAGAACAGTGAAGGGCGGGTGCCAGCCACACACAGCACCTGAGCGCGTGGATGCATGCTTCAACAGGGGGAGGGGGGGCGACATCATGGGCTCCCTGCGTGTGCTTGCGTGTGCCTGGCTGTAGCGTGCAGAACGCGGGATAAGGTGGTGTGAGTTGCGGTGGGTAAGGCTGGTTGCCTGTAGCTGTGGCTCCTCTGGTTGTTGGTACGGTGCATCTGGCCATTAACGGGAATATCTGCCGCCCAGGTTGCTACTGTTGCTCTTACCGCTACAATAACGCGCAGCTTCATTAAGACTGTGTAGCTGTTATCAAACCCTTGCATGATGGTTGTTAAAGTACGTGTACACTCAGTGGCGAAGGGCAAGTTGCGGAAATGTGAAGTGTGGCAGTTGTTGGTTGATGCTAGAAAGCGTTATGCGCTTGTGGAATTTGTTAGTTGCCATGTCCACCCATGCCATCCTTTTTTTCGGCTTCTTTCTTTGGTCGTTTTGTGTTTGTTGATTTCGGGTTTTCTTTGGTTTGTCATGGCGGGGAGTTAGCGTTCATATACCCATACCAGCTTTGATCTTCCGGGCTAGGACTGGTTGCCTGATGAATGCTGGTCCATCAGTTGCTCCCAAGGAGCATGCAGCATGTATAGCTAGGAACCTAGGGTGGTCATCGCGCCTGTTGACATGGTTGTTTTAAGTGAGAGGAGGTCGCCTGCTAGGGTGTTTGACTAAGCTGTTGTCAAAGTCCATGTCTCAGGAAAACGTGTTTTGTCGACAGAACGGGAACAACCCATCCGGACGCAATGTTCCGGGGTTGTGCCAGTTGTTGCAGAAGACTGTCATGTGGCTGATGTGGGGAAAAGTAAATGCTCGTATTCTTGTGTACCGCAATGCGGATGGCAATTTCTTAGCCATGCATGCGCCATCACTGGCACGTCACGTTGTCGGGTCTTTGCAAGTCGGGTCTTTGGAAGGCACCAGTAATAAACCAGCGCTTACCGCTTACTGTTGCAGGACACGGACCTTTTGTACATTAGCACTTCAAGTTAACACTTATGTTTTTTACAGTAGCACTTCACGTTAACACGTACATTATATACTTTAACACTTGACGTTTCTATTGAACGTGAAACACGCCACATTAACGTCTTAACGAACAGTGTACGTCTCTTTCGACCCGTGGGTCAGCAGGCTTGTGGACTTTGTTTGTTGGCCCGCATCACAAAACTTGTAAGATTCAACCGTCGCCCAGTCGTACGTATATGCCATGCGGCAACACCCATAATGACATGTTTATCTGCTTTATCACATGGAAGCCAGCCCCATGGTAAAGCCGCAGGGCATGTCGTTACGCACGTTGACATGGTACTTGTCATACCGGTATATAAATATCAAATGTCAAATAAATCGTTTCTGGCCTAGTCCTCCAGCCACTCAACAGACAGCATGCAGCAGACAGCGTGTTTCTGCTCAACTACACAGCCGTATGCGAAGCCCCTGCGCCGACCAAAGCAGTGCAGCCGGTTGGGAAGTGCACAGCCTGGACTGAGCAGCCAGCCAACCTGCGCTGTGGGGCAAAACAGTCCATGAGATACCGATACCACCACTCAAAGCCCTTTCACAAATCCCTTCCCGTCCCCGTCCGTCCCATACTCCTGTTTCCCTACTTACCCTTCTGAGGGAGCCCGTTCAATGCAACCAAGCTCCAGAAAGCACTCGCAGGGTGCTGCTCCTCCTCCTCTCCCCCATCTTCCACTTCAGCCCTCCTGAATAGGAGGCTCCGAGCCAGCCTCAACTCCTAGAACGGCGGGGCTCCCCCTTACTTTGCCCCTCTCCTCCCGAGCTCTGCCGTACACCGTAGCGCCCGTACGACATCTTAAACAACGCGCCGTCCTCCGTCTGCGCCTGCCGTACCAAGTACTGCGTCAGGTGCTGTCGGGACACGAGCACCCCGCAGTGCGCCTGCAGGTGGGCCCGGATGCTCTTGGGCGTGTGGCAGCCGGCCTGGGAGGAGGGAGGGGGCGCCGTGGGAGAGAGGAGCAACGAGGGCAGGGTACGGTAGTTGTGTGATGGGGGTTGGATTGACACTTTGGCAGTTGGGTCGCAGCGAGCCGGCATGTTAACTGTCTTCCCCGCTCGGTGCCTCTGCAACTCAGAGCGCATCTCCTAACGACGATAGCTTGAACCCGGCTCTACGCAGTAGTAGTACCCAAGCGCACACAACAGCACCGGTCCCGTAACAACCGCACAGGAACACACAAGCGGAAGAAGGCCAAGGCAGTGCCTTACCGAGCGGCCCCGGGTTACTACTGCACTGTAATCATTGACAACCCCACCCACCCCGCCCGCGACCCCACCCGTACCTCCACCGCCTGCACCACATCCTCCAGCCGCAACGCATTACGGTTGGTGCCCCGCCGGCTGCCCGCCGCCATCCCGCCCGCCGCCGCCACCTGCTGCCGTACCGCCCGGTGACGTGTCATGCCGTACAGCAGGTCAAACCGCCCCGCCGCCTCCAGCTGCTGGCGCGTAGGCAGCCGGGGTGGCGGTAGCTGCTCTGGGGCCGGTTGCGGTTGGGGTTGTGGGTGCGGTTGCGGGGGCAAGCAGGCCGGTGGTAGTGGTGGTGTGTGGGTCGGGGGCATGCCTGCTGCTTCTTCCATGCCTTCTTGTGGAGTCTTCCCGGGCTGTACCACCGGGGGTGCTGCTGCGGGGGGAGCTGCATCATCCGCCCGCCTTGCCGCCCTGCACAGCGGAAGGAATGTAGGCAGTGTTTAGCAGTAGGCCTAGGGGACCTGTGCCTCCAAGGGGATGGGCGACTGAGTGCCCCTGCGGTGCCCCTGCGCACGACCTCGGAGACCACACACATATGGTAGCCTAAGTTTTTAAATTTATGTTAATCCCCCCAACCACCACCCTTCCCCGACCCACTCCGCAAACTCCGCGAGCTCCTGCGCCAGCCTGCCCGGGTCGTCCCAGTGACCCCTGGGTCGGCGCTGACTGGGCCGCTCCTGCCGCCGCCGGGACCGCGGGGTCAGCCCCAACTGCCGTGCAACCGCTCTAAAACCGCCGTTGCGTCGTACGGCGGCTATGAGGGCTCCGTGGCCGGACTGCTGCAGCTCTTGTTGGGTCGGCATCACAGCTGCACGTGTGTGCGGAATGTAATGTTGCCGACATGTTTGTTAGTGGGTTTGGCAAAGGATAAAGGACAGGCGAGTATGTACCTTTCCACCATGCGCGCTAAATGGCACGAGTTACCAACCTTTACCAATGAGGAGGAGCAAACGCACACATGGCCAGTTATTTTTAACACAGCCGGTGCACCTCTCCTCGGTCTTTGGCCCTTGGTCCGCAGCTGTGGTCTGGGAGTGCGGTCTGTACAATCCCACGACTGAGTCGAATACCGCTAACACTGCCCCCAATACATCATACATCATGCTACAGCCACATTTCATCGCATCTAACCCATCGCCCCTTCGCAGCCCCCTACCCGGGGGCAGCTGCAGCTCCCGCGCCGCCACCGCCAGCTGGTTTCGGAGCGCCGAGGGGCTGTCGTACAGTCGAGTGGAGAGGGCCCACGTGACACGCCGGCCCAGCGCCCGGGCTACGTTTAGGTAGCCGCCGTGGCAGCGGATGGCGGCGTGCAGGTCGTAGCGGCGGGCTGAGGCAGGGGAAGGGAGGCGGGAACGGGGGGAACGGGGGGAAAGGAAGAGGAAACTGACGAGGTGGCGGGAGGGGAGGGAGGAGCACCTAACCCCAACCCCGACCCCGACCCCGACCTACCTTGTAACACGTCTGATTGGGACGGCATCACCCGGTCCGCGGGCGCCTCCACAGCCGTCCACCGAAACCCCTCACCACCACCACCGATGTCGCCGCCGCCACCACCACCACCCCTCCGCCTGGCTACAGGGGGCGAGCTGTACGGAAGTAAGTGTTGCTGCTGCCCCTGCAGCCGCTGCCCCTGCAGCCGCTGCCCCTGCTGTTGTTCCCCCTGCGGCTGCAGCTGCTGCTGGAATGCCGGGGGACAGCGCCAGCTGGTGCGGCCGCTCACCTGGGGAGAGGAAAGAGGTGGTGTGAGGGACAGGAAAGGCGGTAAGTCCTCATGATACACACCCTCCGTTCCCTCCTTCCTCACTTGGGCTTTTAAAAGGTTTTTACCCGCTTTCATGTTCTTCCTTTGTATGTGCGCTTTTCCGGAAGGTAACAATTACAGCTGACTGTGTCGTCCCCCCCCACCTCCCTCCCCAGCCCCCCCACCTGGTTGTACCAGTAGCTCCTGTCCGGCATGTCGGGTGCCGGCAGCTGCAGCCAGGCACCCGCCACGAAGCCCGCCACCTCCTCGCCCAGCCGCCCCCAGCTGCCCGGCCCGCTCCAGTAGCCGCGGGGGCGGCGGGGGCGGTGGGTGCGGGCAGCCTGGGGGGGGGGCAGTGCAGAACAACAACCGGGAGAGGGGGTGTAAGAGAGGGTGGAGGGATGGGTGGGAGGCGGGTTGCGGTGGGGTAGCTACACAGGTGGGGGGGATTAGGATGCCGGTAGGCTAGGAAGGAGGGGTGGGGGGCATGCGAAAGGGGTTGGGAACGGAGTCCTATTGGGGATGGTCTCGGGGCTGACCCACTGTCGTGACGCCCCGAAACTCCAGTTTGCCGTACCCCTGCCGTACCCCTGTTATACCTGCTGCCCCGGGTCAACCCCCTTTTCCTCCTCTTGCTCCTGCTCCTGCTCCTCCTCCTGCTCCTCCTCCTGCTCCTGCTCCTGCTCCTCCTCCTGCTCCTCCTCCTGCTCCTCCTCCTGCTCCTGCTCCTGCTCCTCCTCTTGCTCCTGCTCCTGCTGCCGTAGCAGCTGTGGCTGCATGCGCTTCTCCTCTTCGTGCAGTCTATTGCGCTCCGCCCCCTTCGTCTTCGCCGCCTGCTGCCGCTGTTGGGCGGGTGAGAGGCCAACATGTGGCGGAGGCGTGTTCCTGTCCATGTTGCTGCCTTTGCCTGCTGATGCTGAGGCCGAAGCTGCGACACAGGCCAGCTGCGTCAGTTTCCGAACATCTGGAGTGGAGGTTGTGGAGGTGACGCGTGGGGGCCCTATGCCGCGCCGGTGAGGAGGTAGGGTGTAACTACCCATCAAGGAACAGGATGGAAGGGCCATTTTTGTGTCGACAAACAGCCCCGACTAGCTGATGTTTCAGACCGGAGCGGTGTCTCTGGTGCTCATAACTCTCTACGGCCAACGAAAATAAGTCGGTAGACGGGCTACGAGAGGAGATGGGAGATGCCAGGCGCCAGCAACGCGGCGAAGTATAGAAGGCTTTTCACTGGTAAAATCTCAACAGGGCACTAAAGTAGATTGGGTAGCTGTTACTGGGCCAAGGATTACCGTAAGCGCCTCGCTTTTAGTACGACAAACTCAACCGACAGCATTGTTGTGTCGTTGTAAACGCGGGAACGTATATATTATTATACCTATTGCCTATTGGAATTTTCTGGGCAACTAGTCGCAAACAGTGTGCAGACCTTGTTTAAGGTCACGTTTCATGCGACGACATCCCGCATATCCTTGTACTTTAGAAGCTATCCAAGCTGTGTCCCAAGCCGTGTTTCCCGCCTAAGGCACCATCCGCTGTTATTTTACGGCTCGGTTCCGAAAGCGGGCGCTTGCGCGTCCTTCCGACGTCCGGATGTCGACGCAAATCCCACCGGAGCTTGCGGAGCGCATCTTCGCCTATCTGCCTCCCAACGACATTGCTTGCACTGCGCGACTAGTTAACAAAGCCGCAGCTGCGCATTTTTCTGGCCCTCAATACACGGTCGTGCGCTTATCGCTACCAGTTCCAGAGCATGCCTTCAAGCACCACTGGGGACGGCCGGACGCCACGCGGGGTCTAATTTGGGACCAGCGGGTCACGCTGGTGCGCCTGACAGCCCGCAGCGGCTGCATCGCAAACCTGGAACTAGCGCTTGACAGCACAGAGCTACCCATATCTTCGTCACCCTCGTGCCAACATGCGCGAAGGCTGTTTGAAGTTGCTGCTGCTGCGGGGCAGCTGGAGGTGTGTCAGTGGCTGCAGCAGCGCGGCTGCGACTCAAGCTTAGCCCTGTCAGCTGCTGCAGAGGCAGGGCAGCGAGCCGTCTGTGAGTGGGGCCTGGCCGCCGGCTGGCCCCTGACCGATCTTGCAGTGTACGCAGCAGCTCGCGGGGGTCAGGTGGGGCTGTTGGAGTGGCTGCTGCAGCTGTGGCCCCAGGACCGGCCACCCGTAAATGCTGGAACCCTGTTGGAGTCTGCCGCCCAGGGTTGTGAGCTGGGCGTCCTGAAGGACCTCTGGGAGCAGCACGGCGAGCGGTTGCAAGGATGGGAAACGCTGGACATCATGGAAGGAGCCGCCTGCAGCCTCACACCCGACTGGCAGGCCAAGGTGGAGTGGCTGGAGGAGCATGGGGCCATAAAGACACACTACATTTGCGATCGGGCGACCATCTGCCCGGATGCCGGGGAGCGACTGAGGTGGCTGCATGCACGTGGCTACCCGATCACCGCTCACCAAACGTACCTGGCAATGAAGCACAACAACCTGGAAGCGCTGCGGTACCTGTTACAACAGGGCATCAGGCCTTCTGGCAGGGGCGCTGCCAACGGGGCTGCCTACAGCGGCAATGTTGCTGCTTTGGAGCTGCTGTGCTACCCAGCAGATGAGGTACAGCTGCGGGTGGCAGCACAGGGCGGACACATGCCAGCCGTGATTTCGCTGATGAGAAGGATGGGACGAAATGCGCCAGTAGAGCTGTGGGGCGATGAAGAGGTGCAGCGGCTGTTGAGCGTTGAGCTTTTCGACGCAGCTGCCAAATCAGGCAACATGGAGCTGATGAGGTGGCTGAGGCAGCGGGGCTGCCCCTGGGGCCCTGGGGCGGTCCACGGGGCCGCTGCAGCGGGCTGGGTGGAGGGGCTGGAGTGGCTGGTGGAGCAGGGCTGCCCCATGCCGGTGAGTGAGGTGCTTGAGGGATGTGGGAAGCAGCAGGGTCATCTACTGGTATAAATAGCGAGTATGATCATCATCAGAGCAAGCAAGTTGACCATACCTTGTTGGTGTTGTACCCTCCTCTTGTTGCTCTTCAACATGCACCCATGTCCGGCATGTTGCCTCCTTCCTTACCCATCTTACCGGTACCCTCCTCCTTGCCCTAACCCACTAGTACCCTATCCACATCCAACCCGCTCCCAGGAGAGCGGTAGCCCGTACAAAGAGGCTGCTGCCGACAGCGACATGGCCACGCTGCGCTGCCTGCGGCGGCTGGGCTGCCCCTGGGGACCGCATGGGAAGGTGTTCATGAACTGCATTGGACAATGCGAGCCGTCTGTGCTGCAGTTCCTGCTGGACGAGGGGTGTCCAGTGGACTGGGTGGCAGCCGTGCAGACGCTGGCAAAGTGGCTTGCAGGCAGTGCACGAGGAGCGCAGGAGCGGTGGGAGTGGCTGCGAGCCAGCAGCGGGGAGGTGTGGTGGCGGCAGGAGGGGTACACGTCGGTGGATGCGGCCCTGCAGGCGGCGCTGGAGAAGGCCAGGGGGGAGGAGGAATGAACCGCTGAAGTTAACGCGGATGGAGGCAGGGGATGGAGAAGAGGGGGGCATGGGGTTGCTGGAGGAGCAGGGAGGTAGCGGGTGGATGGAAAATTATAAAACAGAAGTGCAGCAACTGGAGTCCCAGGGTGGTGAAGGCGAGGAAGGTGCATAAGGATTAGAAGTATAGAATAGAGTAAGTTTCAGCTTGCTGGGAGGTGCTCGGGTGCCGAGGGGTCGACCGGTGTGACAGAGAGTGAACAACTTGTCGAGGGGGACGCCTGCTGGCTGGGAACGTCGAAGCAATACCGTGGTGGAGGAGCCCTCCTGCGGAACAGGTGCAGCTCCGTAATGAGGCCCCACCTGTCCAGCACTTTTGCAAGCACCGTAATGGCAAGGAACGAGCGTCCAACAACAAAAACCTGCACACAGTGCCATAATTTACAGCAAGCCGGTGCGGGTAGGGCACTGCTGCAACAGTAGTGCGCCATCACCCGCCCGCCCCGCTACCAGCGGGACACTCGGAGAACCCGCACTCATGAGGGACATTGCCGACGACCACTACCGCGAGTTGCCAAAGCCATCCTGAATAGCCGTTCTGAATCAGCTATGCATCGGCTAGCGTTTGGCTGCTGTCAGACCGCAACACCTACATAACTGTAACTCGTCCCACCTACCGTGTTGAGGGAACTGTTTCCGTACAGCTAGGGCACGAAGGGCGAAGACCGGGCAGGAAAGTAAAGCCCAAAGCCGTACGCAAAATAGAGCATCCCTAATTGCCGCAACACGTGTCCTACGGAGACCTGACAGAGGCCACACCCAGAAAGAGTGAACAATGCACCCTACCCATGACCGCATTCGCTTCCGCCAAGACTAGTAACAACTAACAAGGTGCAAACGTACCCTACCGCCATCACCATCACAGCGCCTCCTAGCCCTATATAGACCTCGGCTAAGCCAGCTCTCTCTTTCCCTCAACACACCTCTCGCACGCTACTCACATGACAACGCCTTTCCTACAACTCACAAGTCCTGCCTGGGCCAACGCACTAAACACACTCGTCCCACTTCCGTGCAGTTTACATGCCCCCGTCCGTCCTACCTAGACTCCAAACCCCGCTTCTTACAGACCTACCCGTCGACATGAGGAGGCCTACTGAGTAACCATCCTCGCAACAGCCCTCCCAACCAACACCATGCCAACGGTATTACCGGTAACCGACCAGCAACGAACAAGCATAAGAGGTCCGCTACCCCCGCCATTCCCGCAAGCCCCCCACCTCCCCCAACACCCTTCGTTACCCCCAAAAGCACACAAACACACTTCTCCCCCTGTCCCCTGTCCCCCGACCCAAGCCCGGGTACCGTACCATGCCCCATCAGACCCCAAGCCACCACTTCCTCTCGCACGACCCCATTCCCACAGTTTACCAGCACACACACAGACACCTCCTCCACGCGGCCAGACCTGCCAAGCTACACTCCCTCCTCCTCCCTTATCCTCACCACCTCCCCCTTTTGTTTCGTGACAAACTGCTTCACTCTATCCCATTAGCTGTGCCCTAACATGTGGTTCTTATCTTTTTTGAGCTCCTTAGCTCCCACCCCAGCAACTCCAGTCGCTTCACGGTTCAGACCATTTCACCCCCTACTCTACCAGAACGGGCACCACCCAATGTACGACTGGCACAGGTTCTCGTGGTTCACCGCCATGTGAATCAGCCGCTGCACCTGCGCTGCCACACTGTCAGCCTCCTGCAGGCCGCCTCCTCCTCCGCCTCCTCCCGCTGCCAGCTCGGGTGCGTAGTCCCGCCCCATCAGCTTGTCGCTCATGCGCTTCATCACCTCCACCGCGCGGGTGTTGAGGACCTGGGGGGAGGGAAGGGAAGGAGGGGTGGTGGCGGTGTGTGTGTTAAGGAAAACGGCCGCGAGTCGGAACGGGCTGTGATTGCCGGAAGGTGATTGGTGGTTTGTATCGGTATAGGGTTACTCGGAAACGGATTGTTAAGCAGGGAGAAGAAGGAGTAGGCCATGCTAGCAAATGGGGAAGGGTGGTGGGTGGAAGAGGTGCGAGGAGAGGGCAACACATGCTCGACCGCCCCACGGGAATCGCCCTCAAAACCCTTTCCATTCCTCCACCATTCTTCAACCCCTTCACACCCTCCCATTGCCCTGCCCTCACTCAATTTGAACGCGCCGGTGTGTGTCTCTTGCATCCCTCCCTCACCTCATTCGCATCCCCCAGCTGCACAAACGCCTCCTTCAGCTCCTTCTCCCGCGCCTCCCGCCGAGGCGGACTGGGCATGTGACCCAAGTCGCCCAACACTCCGCCGCCGCCGCCCATACCGCCTCCGCCACCGCCACCACCCAGCGCGTCGCGACCCCCGTGCCCTGCTGATGTCGAGGGTTGCGTGCAAGCAAGGCAAGGTGAGCGGGACAACACCAAGGGCAAAACACAGGAAACACAGACGGTATCCCATGCAGCAGGGGCGCAAGACCGGGGTACCAGCACACGTGCCCTCCCCAGGAGCTTGTCAGCTCGTCTGCCATCCAACCAATGTAGTACCCCTTTCGCCCCTCCTCCTCCCCCTCCTGCTCCCCCTCCTCCTCCCCCTCCTGCTCCCCCTCCCCCTCCTCCTCCTCCCCCTCCTGCTCCTCCTCCTCCTCCTCCTCCTCCTCCCCCCTCACCTGCATCCCCATGCTCCGCCCCGCCCGCCCCCGCCCCTCCCGTCCGCGCCAGTGCCGCCTCCGTTGCCGCCTCCGTGGTGTTGAGCAGGCGCCAATTGATGAGCGGGTCGTGCACGAATGCCTCCAGCATGGCGGTGACGCTCTCCTTGTTGGAGCGCAGCACGCGCATCACATTCTCGCACTGGCAGCGGGGGAGAGGGAAGAGGAGGTGGAAAGAGAGGAGGTGGGAATGAGAGGTGAGGAAGATGAGGTGAGGATGTTGTACGAGGAGGCCTGTTATTCCCCTAGCACCCTTCCAGCCCATGTTTCCTCGCCTGCCCTCTGTAGTACTGGTAGTATCCCAGCGCCCGCCACTTCACTCGCCCCCTCCTTCTTCCCTCCCCCCCTGCCTCCCTTCCCTGCCTCTTACCGTGGTTCTGAAGTTGCCCTCGATGCCGCTGACCTCCATGGCCTTGATCATCATGCGGGTCAGGCGGAAGGGAACCTGGGGGGCGGGAGGGGGCGGGTGAGGAGGGGGAGGAGTGAGTGAGTGGGCATTTTAGTAGAGCACGAGAGGGAGGAGAGGGAAAACACAGCAGACAGGGGAATGTGCGCGGACCACCAAAACCATCAAAACTCGACTACAACAAATCTACTTCAAACCTAACGCGAGCCGATCAGCACTAAACGCAACCACCACCAACCTCTCACCTTCTCCGGGAACTTCTCGCGGTTCATGGACGCCTCGAAGCAGTCCCCAAAGTCGATGTGCAGCAGCTTGCCGCTGTACCGATCCAGCATGAGGTTGGAGGGGTGCCGGTCGCCCAGCCCCAGGATGTAGCCCACCATGCTCATCACGGCGGCGGAGCGCGTGTAGTTGGTGCGCCGGTCCAGCCAGACCTCGCTGTTGCGCGACTTGAGCCACAGAACCTGGGGGAGGGGGGGGTTGGGGGGGGGTGCGGGGGAGGGGGGTTATAGGGTTACAGGGTATAGTGATACATGGCTTACGTTGATACAAGGCTCACATGAAGCGGTGTACCGTACATGACGGAATGCACGCTGTGGCCCACACGCGTTTTAGTATACCTATCACCTTGCAGCAGACGCATGTCCAGTACCAATCCCCTAGCCCCTACCACTACCTCAGGTCGATGCGAATCCTAGTCAAGCAAAGCCTTCCAAAGTTCAGTCGGTGCGCATCTCTTCCTACCTCCCACCCCCCACCCAACCCCCCAACCCCTACCTTGTGCAGGTCCTCCCCGCTGGTGGAGTCCAGCGCATACTCGAACACCTCCACCTTCTGGATGACGGTGAGGTGGTCGTAGTCGGGCGCCATGCCCAGCATCAGTCGGTGCTCCCAGTTGAGTGGGATCTTGCGGGCCTCCCTGGGGGGGGGAGGTGGGGAGGAGGGAGGTGGGAGGGGCGGGTTGGTATAGAGATAGCATAGATGGTGCGGGACACAAGGCCGTGGGCATTTATGGTAGTGTCGTGTGCAGGGACAGGCCCATGCAGAGATGAGCAGGACTGAAGCCTTGTCATACAGCTCCTCTCCACTTCCTCTTTGTATCCCCCTTCTTCCCCTCCCCCTCCCCCCCCTATCGCGCACCTGTACTCCCGGATCAGCGCATGCAGCGTGTCGCAGTTGGGCACCCAGCCGATCAGCCCGCTGTTCGGCGACAGCGGGATGACCGCGTAACGCGCAATGGACAGGTCCCGCTCCGCGGTGATGCGGTCGTGAGCCAGCATGGTGTTCACAAGCCCGAAGAGCTGCATGACGCGCTCGTCCTGACGCAGGTCCTCGTGACCCTTCAGCAGGAACATGTACTCCGCACCATCCCCCCCGTGGATCGTCAACTTCCTCGGCCGCTGCTTGGAGCTGATCACATGCAGCTGCGGCGCAAAGGCGGCGATTGTGACCAGCGGCTCGCCCGCGATGTAGGTCCCCGGCACCGCCAGTTCCAGGCCCTGGGCGCGTACGAGTGCGGGGGAGACGTACTGCAGTTCTAGGGTGGTGAGGGAGTGCAGCTGCTTGTTGATGCGCTTGAAGACGTGGTAGTAGAGGTCCCAGGCCTGAGGAGGGGGTGGGAGGGGGAGGCGGAGGCGGAGGAGGGGAGGGAAGGCGGTTGTAAGGAATGAGCAGCTGGGTGGCGAAACGTAAGCGAGCTAGGCCAGCCTATAACGGTAGGATCACCGCCGTTTGTGATGTTTGTAAATGCCGTGTGAAAACGGCGGCCCTACCAGCAGCCGCACCGTCACAACAGGGTTCCGGTATTTTCTTTGTTACGTCCCCCCCTTGCCTCCATGGTAAACCGTTCTTCCCCCCCCCCTTCCCTCCCGCCTCACCTGGTGCAGCTCCGCCTCCTTGCGCGAGGCCTTGTACTTCATCAACCACTCGTACGCCTCGGACAACTGCAGCATGGGGAGGGGAAGGTGGGGGGCATGTGTATTTGGGGTGAACATCGGGGGGCGGGATGGAGGGGGGCTATCACGCTACCGTAGGTGATGCTACACTGCTAGGCATGGAAAATGAAATGCCAGCCTAGCAGTCATCATTCGGGAATGAGCAGGCATGCTAAGAGCACGTCACGTACACGAACGCCCCCGCCCCCTGCACCCACCTCCCTGCCGTACGCCTGCACGAAGGCAATCTCCTTAAGGGTGGTGGGCCCCGTCTTCTCCAGCATCTCGTGCAGGGGCAGCAGCGTGTTAAGCATGCCCTCCACGTTGCTCTCGCCGAAGTAGAGCCGGGAGGCCTCCTCCAGGCCTGTGTCAGGCAGAGGGGGAGGGGAGGGGGCAGCAAAATATCCAACGTTGTGAGGGGGGAGGCAGGAGGATAGGGGAAGCGGGTTGAGGGGTGCAGGAATGGAGGAATGGGGGAGGCGAGGGAGGAGGGGGCCCAACACTACTATTGCGTGGCGGATTGTGCAAGCTTAACCCAACCGGCATATATCGCATGATGAAGAGGGAGGCGGGACCTGTGCAGCTGCAAGGCACCACGCATTAGAGCACACAGGGACCCCAGTTTTGCCAACACACGACCCCACCTCCATCCCCACTCCTCCCAAACCTCTATCCATCCCCTCCTTCCCTCCCTCCCTTCCCCCCGCCTCCCCCCTCCATCTTTCTTACCCTCGTGCCACATCTCGTGCCACAGGATGGCCATGCGAATCAGCTCCCCGCTGACCAGCTGCGCCTGCTCCACCAGCGCCGCGGAGTGCTGCCGGATGCACTCCAGCACCGAGTAGGCGGCGGAGCGGCGGGCGGGGCTCTGCGACTTGGTGGCCACCAGCAGCGGGTACATGAGGGCCTGGGGGGGGAGGGAGGGAGGGAGGGGAGGGAGGGGGGATTAATAGGGATGCATGTTCCGCATTACCGGTATGCTGGATAGTTGGGTTAGCGTATAATCGTAGTATACAAATCCCGTCCCAATCAACAGTAAACCCATCTTACACATCCCTTGAACCCGGTTCCGCTCCTGACAGCCGTACGCGTACAAACCACCTCCTCCCCCCCCCCCTCCCCTCCTCTCCCCTCCCCTCCCCTCCCCCTTCCCCACACCTGCGGGTGGTGCCGCCCAATCTTGACCAACAGGTGGTGTATGAGCTGCCGTACGTCCGTGTTGTGTGTGTGTATGCGTGCAATGACCTGCGGGATGACCAGCAGCCAGGTGTCGATGGACACCAGCTGGAAGCCCTCCGTGAGGGCGGCGCGGACCTCCTCGTAGGCGCCAAAGTTGAACCACAGCGTCAGCAGGCGGAGGATATCCTGGAGGGAGGGAGGGTGGGGGTGGGGGTGGAAAACGGTAATGAGGAATGCAGCAACAGGAGTCCCCCATTCCACATTCGGACACATGGGGGCGGGGGTGGCGGGTGAGGTGCAGGAAAGAATGTCGGTGAAAAGACCAGTTTGAAAACGATACTGCAACCAAGCCGCGATGAAGGAAGAGCTGGAGGAGTTTTCTTAACACACACACACACACATCCTCACCTGCAGGTTGCCCGTCCTGTCCCCCGCCGCCTGCCCCAGTGCCACCGAGCGGAAGAAGCCCTGCACCGCGGGCGGCACATGCGCCACCGCCACCATCTCATCGCGGGTGCTGGGGGGGGGGGGAGAGGGGGAGAGAAGAGGGGTCCCGGTAATTAAATAGAAGCATGGAGGGAGGTAGCCGAGAAGGTTTCATCATAGTTGGATTCCTTACCCAAATGTTCGGGTTGTTGGGTTTGCTATTACTACCATTAACGAGGTAATGATAGGTAATGTCAACCAAGCTATAACTGAATTAATGAGCCATTCGCAGTTTTTTGGAATTACTCGACTTACTACGGTTCATCCTCCCCTGTCCCTCTCCCCCCACCCGTAGTGTGCCAACACTGCCACATTCACTATCGGCAATGGCAGCCGGTACAGCTCGTCCGTTTCTTCTTTGTACGTTAAACATCGGTTACAAACCACCCAAACATGCAGAACAGTTGTTACAGCCCTCCCCCCACCTCAGCCCCCTCCCCCCTCACCCGTAGTGTGCGGACACCGCTACGTTGAACAGCGCCCACTGGTGCCACGCCTTGGCCCAATTGGGCGCGTGCTCGGTGGCGGCGCGGAAGGAGGCCAGGTTCTCAGCAATCACACCCGGGTTGTCCAGCTTCTGCAGGGGGAGGGGTAACAATGAGGAAAGGGGAGAGGAAGGAGGGGGTTCAGAGATATACCAGAGACACAGGTTAGGGCAAAGCAAAGGGGAAAGAGGGAGGCAGTTTGTCACGAAAAAAGATAGGGTTAGTGGCCCCTACCGATACCGAGTCCGAGGGAGGGGGGAGGAGGGAGAAGTAGGAGATGGGCGAAAAGAAGGTGTCCGCGACACAAGCATGCGCCATTCATGGCCCCAAACACCTCCACTCGCCCCGTTCCCCAACATAACACCCCTCCCTTCCCTGCGCCTCCCCTTTCCCTCCCTACTCCAACCCAACCCCCTCCTCACATCGTTCATGGCCCACTGCCAGATGCCCAACCGCAGGAACGCCCGACCGTTCAGTGACGCCTGAGGCCTGTCCAGCCACTTCGCCCCGCCTGCCGCAGCACCCGCAGCAGCACCCCCAGCAGCTGCACCAGTAGCTGATACTCCGCCGCTACCCGCCACACCCGGAGCATGAGGCGTGCGGGAGGCAGTGGGGCCGGCGGCAGCAGGGGTGGCGCCAGCACCACCACCTGCACCGGAGGCGGCCGAGGCGGCTGCCGCTGCGGCGGTGGCAGCAGCGGCGGCGGCGGCGGGAGGTACGGCATTGGCTTGCAGCTCCCGAACCTGCGGAGTAACGTGGGGGCAGCAGGCGGGGCGGCGAGGAGGGGGAATGGTACACAAAGGGAATGATGTCACGCAGAGCGGTCCAGCAATGCTGTAGCCCCAACGCGGTTCCGGAGGCATCCCATTACAAGCCCTTTCTCCCAGTGGCCCTCCTGTTTGCTGCCTGCTCGCCTCCCCCCTCCCCCTCCCCCCCCTCCCTCTCCCCTACCAGGTCCTTCATCCTGTTGTACGCCTCCCCCCGCTGCCCCTGCGTCCACAGGTGCTTCAGGAAGGCCAGCATCACGTGCGGGGCGCCACTACCCGCGCCGTACCCCGGGGCGCCCGGCTGACTGATGGCCATGGGGTTGTAGCGGAGAAGCTGGGGGCGGATGGGGGGAGGGGAGGGGAGGGGAGGGGAGGGGGAGCGGGGGGATGGGGAGCGGGGGAGGGATTATGTTGTAGTATCTCGTCTGCTGGGACACATACTCGATATTCCGCATTAGGCTAGAGTATAGGATTGCGTAAAAGTAGGGAATGGGCAGAGGTGGTTTACTACTTGCAGATCAAAAAATCCGGTCGAGGCGGGAGGAATGAGCTATAGGGGTGTCAGCCGACTGGTTACCAGAGCACTCTACAGCACACCGCACCGCCTCCCCCCTCCATGTTCCCCCCCTGTCCTGGGCACATAAGCCCTCCTCGCTGACTCCCGGCCCCCGCCCCCAGCCCTCCCCCCTCCCACACACCTGCAGCAGCATGCGGTACGCCTGCCGCTGCCGTCCGTTCTTGCGACACAGGCTCGCAAACTTGAGCCAGTTGTCCACATCCTGGGAGGGGGGCGGGGCGGGGAGGGTGAGGGGAGACGGGGATGGGGAGGGGAGACAGAGTTGGGGGGAAAGAAGTGAAGGAGGTACGTGGTGAGAAAGAGCAAGATGCTATAGGGACAAGACCCCGTCTCCCGGGAGCCCCCGCGCGTCCGCCTATACCCCTCACAAGCCCCCCTTCACCCCCCCTTCTTAGCGGCTCCCCAAAGCATCTTCCCCCTCTCCCCCTATGTCAATGGGCACTCAGATTCCTCTCTCTTTCCTCCGCCTCTTAACGTGTGGTTTCATTGGCCCTAATGGTTCAGTATGGTCTTTGATCCCCCTACCCCTCCTCCCCTCCCTCTCTTCCCCCCTCCCTCCCCCCCCTCCCCCCCCACCTGCGCCATGGGCACCACCAGGCTGCGTACGGAGAACAGCGACTGCCACACCTCCACATGGCGCTGCACGCCCCGCAGCCGGTCGCGCCACAGCTGCTGGATGAAGGAAATGCGGGAGTCGGAGCCGGAGGGGTCGGCTGCAGGGAGGGGGGGAAGGGGAGGGGAGGGTCAGACATGGGAGGCACAGGGAGGGAGCACATGGGTATGCGGGTGTACGTTTGCTTTGCCCAAACCTGTGGCTTTTCATGGTTCGGTATGGTCTTTCACCTCCCCTTCCTCCTTCCCTCCCCCCCCTCCCCTCTCCCTCCTCTCACCCGCCCTCCTCTCCAGCGCCTGCTTGTATGCGCACACCTCCTCCAGCTCCGCCAGCTGCTGCACGCGCACCATGTCCGTGTACGACCGCTCGTAGCTCTCGCCCACCAGCGCCGCCAGGTCGGTCACCATCAGCTCGCGAGTGCGCTCCACGTGCTGCTTGGCGGACGCAAACTGGGGGGGGGCGGAGGGTGCGGAGGGGGAGGGGATTAGTAGGAAATGAAGAGGGGGAGGGGAGGGGTTCAGGAACAAGAGGGCGTGCAGTTGGGTACTACTGGTACACTGTGGTGTGCGCTTGGAACAGGTTTAGGCACACACACCCTCTTCCTTGCCCCCTTCCGCCACCCTCCCCCCCCCACTCACCCAGCCAAATGCAGAGTGTGTATCCCTACTAACACCCCCCCAACCCCCCCCCCTCGCACCTGGTTATTCCGCACGCACAGCACCGCCCGCAGGAACGCCCCCGTCGCCGTCTGGCTCTGCGGCCCTGTGGCCTCCGGGTTATCCACCGTGTCCACGTACCCCGCCATCTCCTCCCAAGCCCCCATGTGCCAGGCTGCATGCGCGGCAATCATGCTCATCTCCCGCCGAACATGCGGCTCGCTCTTGCGCCACTCGGTGCGGCAGAGGTTGGAAAGGTTCTCCCACTCGGCCAGCGAGGCCAGGCAGCGCATCTTGCCCAGCAGGGCCTGAGGGATGGGAGGGATTGGGATTGGGAGGGGAGGGGAGGGTGTGAATGAGTGAAGAGTGACAGTGACGGCGGTGGCAAGAGCAGAGCTCGCATGGAGCGAGGGGGCGCGCTAAAACACACCGGCATAATGTTTGTTTACCTCTGTTTTCCCTCTGTTTTGCCTGTACTCGCGGTTCACATGCGAACCTATCCCAACTGCTTGCTCTTGTTCTACTCAACTACACACAGGCATAAGCCACATGCCTCACCCCATACCTCTCTCCCTCCCCCTCCTTCCCTCTTCCTCCCCCCACACACATCGTCAGTTCCATTACTTGTACCCCCTCCCCGCCCCCCCCCTCCTGCACACCGTGTGGTACTCCATGCTGCCAGGCAGCTCCCGCTGCAGCCGCCGCTCGTATGCGTCCAGCGCCTCGTCCCACCGGCACAGCTTCTCGTACCTGACAGGGGGAGGGAGAGGGGAGAGGGGGGGGGGAAGAAATTCCAATGTGTGGTGTGATAGTGGGGGGGGGGGAGAAGAGGGGTTCATAGGGGGTTGCGGGTATAAGGAACTGACGCGCACCGGGTAACAGGCGGGAAGAGCGGACGAGAGGTTGACCGGTGGCGACCCGGTTGTTGGGTGCTTCTGTGCTGTCCAGAACTCAGCCGCGCTTTACCCCTACCCTCCAAACCCTGCCCGCCCCCTCCCCCCATGATGAAGCCACCCATGCACCCCATGGTAAGGCCTCCTCATACAGATCGTCAGTTCCCTTACTTTTACACCCCCTACCCCCCCACCCCACCCCACCCCCATTGCTTTGCCCTAACCTGTGGTTTCCTATGGTTTGGTACGGCCTTCGTCCCCCCTAACCCCTCCCCTACCCTCCCCTAAGTCATTTGAGATGCGTGTTATTAGTGCCTCCGAATGCGCTCACTGCATGAGTCGGGCTATGGGATTGGGATTCGTTGTTTCACTTTTATATAATTTTTCCCCTCCCCCCTCCCCAACCCCTCACCAGCTCTCCTTGAGCTCCATGTGCAGGTGCTTCTGCGCGTAGGTCAGCACCCCCACCGCCGCCTCGGGCTGCCGCAGCTGGTTGTTGATGTGGATGAGCGCCTCGATGGCGGTCTGGGGGCTGGTCTGGAACTCCATCTCCTGGGGGGGGGAGGACAGGGGAGGGGGGGAAATTATATAAGAAATGCAAACAACTTGAGTCCCAATCCCATAGCCCGACTCATACAGTGAGTGCTAGGAGGGGGGAGGGGAGGGGCGAAATGGAGGAAGAGGAGGGGAGTTAAAGGGGGATAGCATGCATGGGTTGGGGAGGAGGAGAAGGTTGGGGTAGAAGCGAGCAAGGTAAGATGTTCCTGAGGCAAAAAAGAGTGCATGTGCACACCCTCATGTGACGCGGCCTTGACTGTGAACCCACGTTTAGTGCACTGTTCCACGCCTGTGCACGGCCCCATTCCCCTCCCTCCTTTTTCCCTCCCTCCCCCTCCTTCCCCCTCCCCCCCACCTTGTAGTGCAGCGCCTTTGCGAACGCGTGGCACTTCTCCGCCAGCGCCCCCAGCGTGCGCGTGTCCAGCGGCAGCCGCTTGTCGTCGTGCTCCATAAACTCAGCCAGGTTGAGAAGCGCGGTGACGGTCTCGGGGGGGATGGTGGGGGAGGCGAGCGCGGCCTGGGAGGGGAGGTGGGGTGGAGGAGGTGCGGGGGAAGGGGGATATCAATGATAAAAGACATTGTCATTGTAGTTCGTCCCCGTGAAACTTCCCATCACTCAGCTCCGCCCTACCCGCCCCTGCCGCGGCTCAAAATGCCTTCGCTCAGCCCCCTTCCCAGCCCCCCAGCTCCCCCGCCTCCCCCCCCCCACCTCCAGGCTGCGCACAAGCTGCTCCTGCAGCGGCGGCTCCAGCTCCGACCAGCAGCTCACGAACCCGGCGGCGAACAACTCGCGAGCCATGCTGGGGTGCACCTGCAGGGGGAGCGGGAGGGGGGGGGCGTGTTAATTGAGAAGTGAAGCAACAGGGTTGAGTTTAGGGTGTGAAGGCGGGGATAAGGTGGGTGGTTAGCTGCCTCGTCAGCTAATTTCTACACCCCCCCAACCCCGATGGTTTGGTTTGATATGGTCTTTGACCCCCCCCCACCCTCCCCCCTACCTGCGCCAGCCCGTAGCACGCCCTCAACGCCGGCGAGGGGCTCTCCCTCAGCAGCTCCACACTGAAGTTGCGCATCCACTCCGCCCAGTCCTCCTTGGTCACCCGGTGGGAGCTCTCCCAGGCGCGGCGCAACACGGAGGCGTTCACGGACAGCTTGGGGGGAGGGCCTGGCAGGGGGGGGGGGAGAAAAAGGAGCAGTAGTGAGGGGAGAGGAGGGAGGTTAAGAGGGAGGTGTGCGTCGGTCCAGCCTTCCCCGCAAACCACATGCAGCTCCCACCAACCTTACCCACCGTTGGCCCCTCTTCCAAAGCCCTCCCCTCCCCCACCCACTCCTTACCCGGGTCGGGTGGCGGCGGCTGCTGCCCTCCCCCTCCCTCCGCCTGCAGCCTCGCCAGCAGGTCTATCTCACCCGCCCAGCTGCCGCCCGCGCCCTCCCAGTCCTCCGCGTCGCTCATGCAGGGGGGGGCGCACAGACACACCTTGCCGGACAGCCGCTCGAACCACTCGTGGTGCAGCCGGTGGCGCTGGCAGATCTGGGGGGAGGGGGGGGGTTGGGGAGGGGGGAAGGGTTAAGAGGGAATGGGTACCAACTGAAGGGGGGGGGGGAGGAAAAGGGGGTTTGAATGGTAGAGCTTGTAGGCAAAGGTTGGGATTCCGCGTCGAATACTGTAGTAGGCAATGAACCCCCCCTTTCATCCTCCCTTTACCCTTCCCTCCTCCCCCACACCCCCTGCACGCTGCCAGCTCACCTTTCGTATGGTGGGTACGAATATGGCAAAGTCCGGTCCCAAACAGACCGCCACCGAACAGATGGTGTCCAGAGCGTCACGTCGGAGCGCCTCGTCACTCTGACCGTCCAGCACCTTTGGGGGTGGGATGGGGGAAGAAGAGAGATATTTGGTGGGGTAATAATGGGGAAACTGACGGGGCAAGTGGGTAAGCGCATGAAGCAGGACAGGCAGCCCAGGCAGCTTCCCTCTCCTCCCCATCCCGCACCTCTCCCCCCCTCTCCTCCCTCCCTTCCTCCTCCCTGCTCCTCCCACCTTTATGAGCGGGTGCAGCACCGCGGATGCATACCCGCCCAGCTGCATGCGGGGAATGAGCTTGCGCATCGACCTGCACGAGGAGGGGAGGGGGAGGGGGGGAGGGGGGGAGGGGGGAGGGTTAGCGGGTTAGCGTGTTAGGGCACGAAGAGGGGGATGGCGTGTTAGGGGAAGGCACGTCCATCCTGGACTAACTATATCTACATGCGCTACCATATCCCTCGGCTCCTGCGGCGGTTCTGTGGGGACTTCATCTTTCTTAACACACCCCAACACCCACCCTCACCCACCCACCCCCTCCCTCCCACCCTTTCCCCCCCCCCCCGCCTACCTCAGCGCCGCCCTCCGTATCTCCGGCGGCGTGCTGCTGGCCGCGGGGCTAATCAGCCGCACCATGGCCGGCAGCAGCAGGTGCAGGCTGTCGTCCACCGCACTGCCCAGCGCCTCAAGAGCACCCAGCGCGGGGCGAACCAGGTCCCAGGAGCCGGCGCGCTCCGCCTCACTGAACACGGACACGAACTTGGGGAGCAGCTCGGGGACGTATTGGCTGGGGAGGTGAGGAGGGGTGAGGGGGATGAAGGGGGGGGGGGAGAGGACGGGAGAGGTGGGGTTTAGGATGGTGCACATGTCACACGTGTTCTGCTATTACCCAACCAGTGTTGTTCACACTTACATGACGTTGAGAACACCTTCCCCTTCCCCTTCGCCCTCCCCCCCTTCGTCATACAGCAGGTCAGTTCCCTCTCTTTGCCCCCCTCTCCCCGCCCTCCCCCCCACCGTATGTCGTCCCTCAGCGCCGCCCCCAGGTCTGCCATCAGTGCCAGGCAGGTGCGCGGGGCGGCAGGCCAGAACTCGTGCAGCAGCGACAGCAGCTCCGGCAGGAAGCGCCGCATGTGCTGCCGCACGTAGCCCACCAGCGCACGCAGGGAGCCCAGGATCTCCTCGCGAAGCGCCTCGTCGCCGCCGCGAAGGACCCCGAACAGGATGGGGAGGACCTGCATGGGGGGCGGGGGAAGGGGAGGTAAACACCATGCCAAACCATGGGGGGTCAGAGATACCGGTATACCAAAACCACAGGTCAGGGCAAAGCAACGGAGGAGCCCCAATCCCTCCCCCCCCACACACACATTGATATCTTCTGCTGGACGCCTTCGTCAACGGATCTTTCACGTCAACGGATCTATGTGTTCACGGTCACAGTGTTTCCTCCCGGCTCAGTTCATCTCAAACCTCACCCCTCCCCACCTTTGGCAGGTACGGCACCACATTCAGCTGCAGCGCCTTGAATATGGACAGCAGCGCCCGAATGACCGCCAGATGCTGCGAGGCGAGTGCGGGGTCCCGCAGCACCCGCATGAGTGCGTTGATAGCCACCGTGGGGTAGTAATCCTCGGAGGAGGTGACCAGGCCGGAGGAGGGGAGCAGGTCGCCTGCGGGGCCGCCGTCGTCGCCGGGGGCTGGGGGGGGGGGGGGAGGGGGAAGATGGGGAGGATGTTTTGGACTGCCAAGGTCTGGCGCACACGCGAGGCACACACCTACCCCGACACACAAAACCACCCCACAGCCACTCGACATGCACCTAAGCCGCCTGTCCTCCTCATGTCCCCCACCCCTCACATACAGGATACCCCGCCTCGGCCACCCTCGTCCAAGAAGCATCCACCCACACATCACCCACCCACCCCGCCACCACCCACTCACCCAGTCCCGCATCCCCGCTGGCTCCGATGATGCCTCCCGCCCCCGCGCCGCCCGCCCCCGCCGCCCCTCCGTGTCCGTGCCTCAGCGGCCGCACACCCTCCTTCTCCAGCTTGCCCTCCCCGCTGAGGGAGGCCTGGTTCACCTTATGGGTGTGCGGGTCCAGCGCGCCGATGATACCCAGAACCTGGGGGAGGAGGAGGAGGGGTGAGCGGGGATGATTGTGTGTTTTTACATGCTACATGCTATACGGGAATTTTTAGTTAGAGAAAACAGTACCGGTAACACAAGGAAAGGGCGGGGAGGAGGACGAAGATTGTGCAAGTGTGCTTTATCCCGCGCGCACGCAACAGTGATAACCACTGCCCCCCCACCTTGATGACCTCCCTCCTCTGCGCCGCCGCCCCCTCATGCAGCATGCGCAGCAGCACACTCAGCAGCTGCGGGTACTCCAGGTAGGGACCCATCACATTGCCGCAGCTGGACACAATGTGGCCCAGCGTCTTCACAGCAACCACCCGCCGCCGGCCGTCAGAGTTGTCCTGGGGGCAGGGATTCATAGGGATACATATTCCGCATTAGGCTGGAGTTTAGGATGGCTGTTCAGGTAATTTAGGGAGGTGAGGTGGCGCCGGGAGCATCAGCACCAACAACAACAACAACAACACCCAATACTGGTATAAGCCTGCCCTCTACTCCTCCTCCCCATCTCCCCCGATCCCTCCATCGCCCTCCTCCCCACCTGGATGGCCTCAATCACCAGCGGCATCACCTCCGATATGAAGGGCCGGAACTGCGTGCCGCTCACCTCCGCCAGGGCACCCAACGTGGACAACACGGTCTTGGGGGGGGGGGGAGGGGGAGGGGGAGGGGAGAGGGGGGAATAAATGAGAAGTGCAGCAACTGGAGTCCCAATCCCATATCCCGGGGGGGCAGGGGCAGTGTTGGCTTGGCTGGGTTAGTGCGTGGGAAGCGAAGCAACACGGGCGATCTGGACAGAGGGTTGCAGGGTGCCTTGGTGCGTTCACATGGCCCCTGTCACGTGGTTGCCCAGGCGAAAACCCCCTTCCCCAACCCCATCCACTGACGCCCACCACCCTCACCACCCCCTCACACCCACCCCCACGGTTCGTTAGTTGGTTCCTCTTTACCACTCCCCCAACCTTCACCCCCCCCACCTTTATGACGTTGTTTTCGTTCACCAGGTCCCGCTGCAGGGCTGCCTTGCCCTTGCTGCCCGACTGCACCACCCCACCACCGCCGCCGCCCGCCCCCAACCCGTCCTTGCCGCCCCCGCCCAGCAGCAGGGGGGAGGAGAGCACGGAGGAGGAGGCGGCGGGGACACTGCCCAGGGGGGCTGAGGGGCAGGAGGGGGAGGGAGGGGGAGAGGAGGGGCGAGGGAGGTGTATTACAAGTCAACACACACCCTCGTCTCACGCATATCCGTACCCCCGCCCCGGGCTGGCCTGGGGCCGGCTAGCTGCGTCCAAGGAACAGCATGCCACAGCTATTGTGGCAGATCTAGACGTTACCGACAGTTTCGCAGAGCTGCAACCTTCCGTTCCTCACCCCGTCCCGCCCAGCCCCACCCTCTCACCTTGCCCCACCCCCGCTCCGCCTCCCCCCAGCCCCAGGCTCGCCCCCAGCCCCAGCCCCGGCGCCCCCAGCATCCCGCCCGCCGCCCCGCCCCTCAGCTTGCCCACCAGCGCCTTCTGGATTGGCGAGGTGTAGGGCAGGATGAGGCGGGCGGCGCTGGTGATGAGCACCTCGAGCAGGAAGGCGCTCTCTGCAGGAGGGGAGAGAGGGAGAGGGAGGGTGGGAGAGGGGAGGGGTTTAAAGATATACCAGAAGGTTGGGGTATCTTCAGTGGAAGCGTATGGATAGCCCAGTTGGTCCTGAAGCCACAAGTTTGTTTGGACTCCCCTCCTCTTCTCCTTCTCTTGCCCTCCTACCGAAACGTATACCCGCTCTCACCCTCCCTCCCCCACCCCTTCCCACCCCCCCTCTCACCCTCCCTCGCCCTGTTATCCGGGCTGAACTCCATGTCGTGCAGCAGCTGCATCAGGTGCTTCCGCAGTGCCGGGTTCACATGCGCGGGGTTGCGGTCCGCCAGCCGACCCACCAGCCGGATGGCCAGCGCGCGTACGGCACAGCTCTCGTCGTTCATGCCAACGAAGAGGGCACGGAGGCAGTCGGCCTGGGGGGTGGGTGGGAGGGGCGGGAGGGGTGGGAAGACGTGTTGGGTGGTTGTTTGGGCAACCCTCCTCCCCTCTGTATTTTCCGCGGCTCTCCCATTGTTCCCCCCGTGCTCCCTCACCGCCGTGGTTTCCACCCCCCTGCACTCCCTCCCCCTCCTCCCCCACCCCCCAACCCCACCTGTGCCAGGTAGTCATCCAGTGCCGGTGTCCCCACCAGCGCCCCCAGCACCTCCTTGCGCACCCGCTCGCTGCTGTCCGCCACCGCCACCACCAGCAGCCGCGACACGCAGCGCTCAACAACACGCGTGTGCCACACCGCGGTGGCAGCACTGGCGCCACCTGGTTTCGTGTACAGAGGGGGTGGGTTTGGGGGTAGTGGCAGCGGAAGAGGATTGGAACGGTTGGAGTAGGTTGTTTCCCCATTCCTTTTCCCTCCTCCAACGTTTAACTTCTACCCCCCTTCCCCTCCCGCACACTCCCCCTCTGCACCTCACCTTGCTGCGCCCCTCTCCCGCCCGCCGCCACCCCTCCCGCCCCACTGCCTCCGCTGCTGGCCGCATGCCGCTCCAGCACCCTGCACGCCGCCAGCACCGCCGCCTGCCGGATCTCCTTGTCCGGGTCCTCCGTGTAAGACAGGATGTGGTCGCGCATGAACTCCAGCAGCTGGATGCCGCCGAACTCAAACGTGCCTGAAGGGAGGGGAGGGGAGAGGGATACAGGACGGAAAGAGCTGGTTTAGAGGGAAGCAGTAGTGAGGAGAGTTTGTTGGATGCTTTTCGGCAGGTTGGGGTCCACAAGCGTCGTGAGTGTCGTCTTAAACCACCACCCCCATCCGAACCCCATGCAGCCCTCTTCCCTCCCGGGGCTCCTCCCCATGCCCCCTGCTCCCTTTCCCTAGCCCCTGTCCTCCCTTCTGTTGTGCTTCTTCGCCCATTACCGTAGGTACCGGTACAGCGACGGCTCCTGCCTCCCTCACCCAGTGTCTGCAGTGCTGCGACGCAGTCATCCTAATCCCGCCCCACCCGCCCACCTCCCTGCCCAACACCCCCCGCCCCCCCTCACCCGTCAGTCCCCTCGTCAGTGTCTCATCATATATATTTTTTGCCCCCCCTCTCACCCAGTGTCTGCAGCGCTAGCTTGGTGAGTGCGTTACCCTGCAGCTCCCCCGCGGCGATAGCCGCACTCAGGGCCGCGAACTTGGGCTGCATGGGGGGAAGGGGGGGGGTGAAGAGGGGTGGGATAAAGAGGAAACAACCAACTAACCGCAAGGAGAGACAAAACGGCTGCCGCTGAAACAGAGCACCTCACGTCTCTCCTTCAGGCGCGTTAAAACCCGCCCTCTTTTCCTTCCGTGCTCGCATCCCTCCTCCTCTTTCGCTCCCTCCCTACGCCACCCCCTCCCCCCAACTGTCTGGTATATCTTCCCCCTCCCCCTCCCTCCCCTACCTGTGTGGTGCTGCTGTTGAACGGCCTCTTGGACAGCACCAGGCTCAGCAGGTCCAGCAGCGGGTACTGGATGTCACCCAGCAGCTCGGGGAGCGCGGTGGCCACCTGGGGGGGAGGGGGGAAGGGGTCGGATAGTGGGGAGGGGGGGACGAAGAGAAGCATAAGGGGGAGGGGGGGATAAACAGGAAGAACCAACCATGTGACAGGTATGGGAGGAGAGGTGACAGGGGCGCTGCTTAAGGGACACTTTGCTGCGAACAGCAGAACCAAACGAAACCCAGACCTCCTCCCCCCTCTCCCCCCTTTACCTGTGTCAGCGAGCGCACCAGCACCTCGCTGATCCCCGTCAGCACCATCGCCTCAATCAGCGCAGCAGCGTAGGGCCGCCACAGCGGACCCAGCGCAGTGGCCAGCATGCCCACACACTGAAGCGCCTCGGGGCAGGGAGCGGGGCGGGGGCGGGCGGCGGCACGGGCGGCGGGCGGTGCGGAGAGGGCCTCCCGAATGGCGGCGTAGATGGGGGACAGACAGCCCTCGAAGCCTGGAGGAGGGTGGTGGTGTGGGGCTAGAGTTATTTTCAAGTGAAACGGTCAAAGAGCCCTTAGCTGACCCCCTCTTGCAGTTGTATAAGGCTCCCTTCTCCGTCCGCCTCCCCCCCCACAATCCCTCCCGCCCTCCCTCCTCTGCTGCCGCACCTCCTCCCTGTCTTCGCTCACCCGCCGCACAGTTCACTCGCGCCAGGGCTGCTGCCATGTCAGCAAGGGCAGCGAAGGCCGCCCCGCGCTCGGGCGGGTTCTTGAGCACCGTGAGCATGTAGGCGATGGCGCGGGATAGGTACTCTGAAGTGGGGTGAGGGGAGTAGGGGGTGGGGGATGGGAAGGGAAGTGAGGGATGAGAAGGCTTCAGGCAGGCAATGGGGAGCGGCAAGAAACGACGCGCCCTAATCCTTACCCGACCACCCTAGCCCCCCAACCCTTCACCTCAGCTGCCCCCCCTCCCCCTCCCCCTCCCCCCCCCCGCGCCCCTACCCGATGCGAAGCGCTCGGGTGAGAACGCCGCCATGCGCGGCAGCAGGTGTATGACCGCCCTGCGGATGTTCTTCTCCTTGCTGTCCTTGTAGCGGAACACGTTCTCAACCACCTCCTTGTACCTGGGGGGGGAGAGGGAGGGAGGGGAGGGGAGGGAAGGGAGGAAGGGCGGGCAGGGGTAAGCGCGAGGTTGGTTAGGCTGAGGAGGCCCAACAGCGGCAGGAACAGCCAGGCAGTACGCCCCAGGACCGGGGCTGAGGTATGGCTCAGGAGGGGATAAGGAGCAAGACAAGGGCAGAGGGCGGAGTACCAGACGTGACGTGGGGACATGAGCTACATGCAGTACCCCCCGGCACCATCCTACACCTCCCAGTCACCCCCTGCCTTGTCACGCAGTTCGTTAGTTGACTTGTCAGTTCCTTATTTCCCCTCCCCCTCCCTCCCTTCCCCTCACCCCCCCCCCACCTGGCCAGCATGAACTCCCCCGTGTGCTGTAGCAGCTCCCCCAGCGCCAGCAGCGAGCCGTGAATGGACTCGGGGGAGGGCATGGCGCCGCTGCGGTGGTCGCGCTTCATGCCGCGCATCGTCTGCTCAAACAGCTTGTAGTACCACTGAACACGGTAGCGCGTCTCGCGCTTCTCAACCAGGCAGAGACAGGCCTGGGGGCAGGGAGGGAGGAGAGGAGGGGGAGGAGAGAGTGGAGGGGGAGGAGGGTGAAGTGAAGGTAGGGTAGGTGGGAGCACCTCCCAGTCTACACTAGCAGTTTACCCTAGCAACTCAAGCAGACACGTCCCCACCATCCCGCCTTGAGCCCCCGCACATCCCCTCCTATCCCCACTGCTTTGCCCTAACCTGTGTGGCTTTCTATGGCATTGGTATGGTCTTTGGCATGGTCTTTCACCCCCGCCCCTCCCCCCTACCTCCCCCTCGTTGTTTCACATATTTATTTTTTCCCCCCTACCTTGAGCGCCCTCACAGCCGCCTCCCGGAGGTGCTGCTTGGGGTCCCGCAGCGGGAACCACACCGCATCGATGAACGCCTTCACGTGCACGTTGAACACCGCGGGGGCCGACTCGGCGGCCTCGTGCAGCACCAGCAGCGCCGTGAGGCGGCGGCACTCGGAGGGCTCGACCCGTGGGTCACACCAGGCCAGTGCGCGACGGATCTGCGAGTGAGTGACCGTGGGTGTGTGTGGGTGGGTAGGAGTGTGCATACAGTTGGGTTGAGGGATGGGGGTTGGGCGTTTTTAATGACATCTGGCAAGAACGGAGCTCGTTTTCACCCCCTTATCCTGACTTTGCTTCCAGCCATCCCTCCGGATTGATTCCGACGCCGCGGACACGTCCCGCCCCTCCTCTCACGCACACCCTGCTGCTCCCCACACCCGCCCTCGCAATCAGCACCTCCCCTCACCCTACCCACCCCCACCCTCCCTGGCGAAGCTCTGTCATACACTTCGTCAGTTTCCTTATCTTTACCCCCCTCCCTCCTCCTTCCCCCCCTCACCTCCTTCTCCACGATGTCGCTGGTCATGGCCCCCCCGCTGCGCACCAGGTGCCCCAGCGTGTGTGCGGCCGCCTCGCTCAGCCCCGCCTCCTCGCTGTCCTCCAACACGCGCGACAGCAGCGCGGCCAGGCGGGAGGTCTTGGCGGCGTCGTCGCCGGACAGCTGCAGGGTGGGGTTGGGGTGGGGTGGGGGCATGGTGTGGGTTTTAAAGGAGAGGTAGTTGGCAAGTGTGCGTGGGCTAGTGGGGGCGAGCCGCCCCGGCATTTCGGCATACCAGCATGCGATATCATACCGCCTCGTCCCAACGCGCACAGCTCGCTTTCCTCCCAGCCAGGGCTTTCTGCGTTCTCAAGTCAATCCAGACCTTCCCTACCACGCGCCCCCCACCCCACCCCTCCGCCTCCTCATGGCGGGTGCCACCACGAGGCGACGGCGGTCCACCGCCCTGACCCAGCGTCTGCGCGCTTCCCACCCAGTGCTCTGAGTGCCTGAGTACTCGGTTGAGCTTCGTTCCCGCATCGTTTGTGCTTTGCATGCAGGCCTTACGGCTCATGGTTAGGCCCTAACCCCCAATCGCTTGGGCGTCGGCCTGCCCGCCCGCCTGCCCCTCTATGCCCCGCCCCACTGCCCCAGGACCCCTCCCTACCCCTGCCCCCAGGCCCCCTCCATGCCCCTGGCCCCGCCCCCCGCCCATGAGTCGGGATATGGGATTGGGATTCGTTGTTTCACTTATATAATTTTTGCCCCCAAGCCCTCGCTTCCCTGCCCCCTCCCCTGCCTCTCACCTTGACATCCGTGAGCTCGTCAATGGCCAGCACACCGCCCAGGCGCCGAGCGATGTCATTACTGCAAGGGAGGAGGGAAAGAGAAAGAAACGAACCGTGAGAGGGGCGCTCGTGGGCGCGGAACGGACGGTTTCGCAGGAGGGAAAGGGAGGGAGGGAGGGGACGGCAGGAACGGACATGCCAGGAGGGAGAGGCAGCTGCACCGTGCTACTGTCCCTGCACTATCGCCGCATCGCCATGGAGGGAGTGACGCCTTTGCGCTTAAGAGCGAGGTGGCAGCAGCGGGAGCCAGAGTGAGGGGCGGTGGAGGGGGATTGCAAGGCAGCCTGGCTACACCAGGCCAGCCAGGCCGGGGGTACCGGCCGGGGGAAATACAGGAGCGCTGGGATGCAGCAAAGTGTTTCCCCAGAGCGTCCCTTGAAGTATCAACCCAAAATTGACCCGCCGCACACCCGTCCGTCTTACCCCTTAAGCAGCATGCTGCCAATCCGCTGGTACACATCGGTCATCAAACGACTGAAGGCCTCAACGGAAAGGTCCCGTGCTTCCGCCTCAACGTATTCCAAAAGTGCTTTGTCTCCATCCTTTGTGCGCCGCTCCCAAGCACCAGGGCGGCAAAGCTCCTCGAGATGCCGCGATAGCGTGTCGGCGGCTTTAAACGCCGACTTGGGAGGCGCAGAAGCAACGCCCGAAAGTAACATAGTTGTAGCTTAAACGTGGGCGTGCAGGGCACGCTCAGACGTGGCCGTTCATTCCACTTAGCAATCCAGAGATGACTGTTATTAAAGCTAAGGCGCAAGGGTAGATGGCGCGTAGTAGATAAGTCTTACGGAAACTACTTAGCGCAAAGCAGTCAATGACTTGTATGTAGCGTATTTAGCGCAGCGTCGTCAGTAAGGGTTTGCAAGCAAGGGTTAAGTGAAGATAGCAGGTGCCTCATCACTGGCAACAGAAAGGTCAATGACCAGCCTATTGTTGCCAAGCCCCTCGCCCGCGCAGAGCTTGTCACAATGCAACTATGGCAGAGCGCATTCCCAGCCGTCTGGTAATAGCCCTATTGCCCCAAGCTAACGAACTGTGTAAGCTTTGAGCCTGGGGACACACTAAAGTGCATAACGGGGAAAGCTGCTTGCGCACGTGCGTACGGCTGATTAACGAACAGCACCCTCCGTCGTCGCGTACTCGTGTCAATCGTAAGCAATGCCGGTGTACTATACACGTTGGACTAGGCGTTCTATTGTGATAGCCCAACCTGCCGTCCGTTTCAGAGGGCTGCAGTTGCAGCCAGGCCGAACCATCATTGGTGCACATGACATGTGTTGACCACTCCTCAATATCCGCCACCACAAGAACAGGTCCATGCCCAGAGGACGAGAAAGAGGAGGACAACGGAGCGGTTTGCAAGCAGAGCGCTGGCATCATGCAGCTACATCACCAGTGCAGCCCGTCTATCCAGGCAGACGGCCTGTTCGCCGGCTGCTGCTGCTTCTTCGGCAAACATGCATGCATGCCTGCGCTGAACCCAGAAGTCAGCGGGCAGGGCCATCTGCGCTTGTTCGTGCTGGGACAGGGCTGCTCGTGAGGCGCGCTCTGGTTTTAGGCGGTAGGTGCAGCAGCTTGCCGCAGTGTTGTACGTGGTTGTGTCCATCCAGAACCACGTTTTGCGTGCAGCCGCTGCTGCCCAGCTTGCCGACAGCCACACTGACTGCCTGATGGCGTCATGGGCACCTGCGGCACAGGCCTGACGAGGAGGCCCGCTGCTGCACGTTACATAGCTCCGTCGTCACCCATCCAGAGCGCCGCAGCCAAGCAACAACGTGCGAGGCCCTCGCCGCCACCAGACGGCCCATGTAGGTGTAAAGATACCGGTACGCTAAGTAAGCAAACTGTTCGGACGTGTCCATGTCGACATCCATCCGTGACGAGCTTGCTTGCTGTGCAGCCGCAAAGTACCGGTAGGGTAGGTAGGGACATTCCATCCATGCAGCCCGCCTACATGAGTAAGCGCAGACGACCATCAGCAGCAGCCTATCTATCCGGGGTGGAGGAGGCTCAGCAGGGCGGCCTCATGCAGTCATGCTTTCCCTTGCTTTCCTTGCAGGCCCCCCACCGCCACCATTTTTGGGATCAGGGGCAGGGGCATTTTATTGAGGTGCCTCAGAAGGCCACCACGGCAGCCACCTCAAGGTGTGTTTGGCAGGTTATAACCGTGTGACCCATGGGTCGGTGAACTCTGCACTGCCACCTCCAGTGCGCCTCCATCGTTCCTCCAAATGCGGCAGCAAGGCCAGGCGCCAACGCAAAGCCGGAAATACACATCCCGTTGCAGCCCTTAATAGGTTTGCGTGTCATGTTTGGGGAGCGGTGCACTTGTTGGGGTTGTAGTCGACAAGTACATATATACAACCCCAGCAATCTAGTAGGACTGCCTTCGCTTGGTTGACTTGACGTGTATGCATTGAGAACAGGTAAGGTGCACAGCAGGCGACCAATGCAATGTGAATACCACTATCTCACAGGCCATTGATTGCCCAGTAGCCACCGTGTATATTACATGTGCTGGTTAGTAGCGGATTGGCAAATCGACAGGAGTTGTCCATGCACGCGCCACATGTGCCTAAACAAGTCACGCCTACGCAAACTAAAGCAACACGGGAGTCTAATCACGTGCATGCACAGCCCACATGGTTATGCAGGGCTTGCTTGCGAAATAGGTCCATTAAAAAAGAATTGAAGCCAGCGTGGGAGGAAATTTATATACATGTCCACAGTTCTTATTGGGCCCAGACGCCACGCACCATGCAAATTAATACCCAGCCGGCAATACCGGCAACGAGCAACTCGCGGCTTCACCTGAGTGTCCTAGACTGATAGTGTCTAAGGTGTTGCAGTACAAAGCGAACTACAGCGTAACAAATTGCACACATGAGTGGGCATTCGAGAAAATGGCAAGAAGGAATTATGGCAAAAATGCAAAGAAGATGGATGCAATTATCGATATGTTCCTCACTGGGCTGCCTGCACACATGAATATATGAGTACGCCGGCATGTGAATGCCCAATCGGATCGAGCTACATACATATGCTTTATTCGTCTCCAATAAATAGTTGGGATTTATTGAGCGGTTGAAAGACGGGGAAGACACAGAAGGCTCATCCCTGCATGGGCCAGGCCGATCCCAACCCTTGCTTGTTGTGTCAGCCCTACCACTGTGCCCCGTGCCGTGGCTCAGAACCACCCTTCACGCTGATCATGCAAGCTCAAGCAGCAAACGCCTGCTGACGCTGCCATCCGTCTTGCTGTCACCCTCGTTACTGCCGTTGCCATCGTTGCCCTCGTCCTCGTAAGCCGTGCCCGGCGGGACACGAGTTAGGGATGACGAGCTGCAGTCACGCGGGCAGCTGTCCTTGGTCTCTCCACCGTTACACACGCCGTCACCTGCGTGAGCAAAGGAGCGAGGGCCCAAGTCAAGGCGGTCATCAGGGCGTGCTAGCTCAATGAGCCTGGGTTGCATCGATCCTAGTCTGCATGCGGAGAAGAACCGTAGGGCTGCACTGCAGACGGTTCAGGTCTAGCACACACCCACACGGCCATGGCGCTTGGGTGGTCAGTGTTGCTACGCAGCTCAGTTGGTATAACCCACACATACACACCGCAGTAAGAGGCGGGCGACGCCGAAGAGGATGTCTTCTGGCATGTGCCGCAGTCCTGGGGGCAGGTGTAGCAGCTCTCGCTGTAAGAACGTTTGCGGCTGCACTTGCCGTCGCCGCAATAGTGGTTGTTGTACTTGTTGGGAGGGCAGGTGCCGCAGTCCAGGCAGCCTGTTTTGGTAGCGGCGTTGTAGCAACGCTCCCCGCCGGCGTAATCGCACACGCCGTTGCGCTTGCACACGTTTGCAGGGCAGTCGGCGGGGCAGCTGGTGCTGTCCTCGTACTTGGACGAGCACTTGCCATCACCGCAGCAGGTGCGGCTGCCATCTCGCTGACGTGTCCCGCAATCCCGGGGGCACGTCAAGCAGGTCTCACCGCCTGCAACGGCAGTCGGAAATAGGGCGGGGGGATTTGCTTGTTCGGCAATGCATGCATACCCCGTCTAACTACAGCCGGTGCGGCATGGTTCATGGGGTGGAATGCGGTACGACGTTCGCAAATATGCTTTCCGCTCCAGCCCTGCTCTTTAGGTAGCAGCACTTTGCAGCACGGGGCGCCTGTCTAGCTAACAGCGCTTCATTACCTGAGCAAACGCCATCGCCACACACCGTGCATGCACCGCAATCCCCGGGGCATGTGGAACAGGTTTCGGAGCCGCTGCAAATGTCGTCGCCGCAGATCTGGGCGGGTTGTAGGGGCTGGAGTGGTGAAGGGAAGGGCGGGGATGGAGACGTCTTGGGAGGTTGTGGAGATGAGGAATCAACCGACGATGGGGTCCAGGTCAGGCCCACAATGTTATCGCCGCCCCCAGACATGAACCCACAGCCGTTGTCGTAGGCAATCAGGACGTATCCGTTGTCACCCCACTCGGTGCCCCAGCTGTTCTTGACGATCCAATAGGAGCTGCAAGGGTATGGGAGGGTACGGAGGGGGCGGGAATGAAGGGAAACGGGGCATGAGTGTAAGACAGGGGTAAGGGAATAGGTTAGGAACGTTTCTCTGGGATATTGTAATGGGATATGATGCCATCATCTATACACCCCGCCCAGGAAGCATGCAATAACCACGTACCCCGTGTCATTGTAGCCAACAACTGCGACCATGTGGAAACCAGCCGGAGCGCTGACGTTGTCCCAGGCGTAAGGCCTGGGGGTGGCAGTTGACAAGGACAGAGTGCAGCGGCGTCGTCAGGGGCTAAGTCCAAACCATTAATATTGCAGGGCACCCAGTACGACGTAACATACGGCAGATATATAGCCCTTCTTTTTGCGCAGCTCTATGCATAAGCTGTGTTGCTTCCTGATTAGGGGCGCGTGTGCGTCTCACAGGTGCAACTAGCAACTCACGGGGAGGATGGCAGCCAGTAGAAGAAGTCGTCGTACACCGTAAAGTACGACATCACAGAGCCGTACTCCCGGATGTGCTGCTTGGCCTGTACGGACGGAGAAGCGGGGCCGCGGAAAGCCTAATTGTAGCTAGGCCGTGCCCTGCTGCGTGCGGTATCCATTAGCAGGGCCAAGCCACTAGCACAGCTTCGGTGGTGTGATGCCATGATGCCGTACATCAAGCGCGCGGTTGGATTGGAGGACAAGGAAAGGGCATGTGACAAGTGGATTTGCTAATGGAACTCACGCAAAAATGTACTGGTAACTCTGGCAATGCAAGCATGCATCAGTCGTGCATAGTAAGGTGTTATATTTGGCCCATGCAACCCACCAGCGTGAGGTCCGTGATGTTGATGTGATCAAATGTGCCGCCGGCACGCATCTCGGGACGCGACTGGAGTGTGCAGGACTCCGTGTCAGGCAGGTAGGGGTAGTTGCGCTCGTAGGGGATGTTCATCCTTGCCAGCGCATCCACGCCACCGCTAGCAGTCCAGCCGTAGGTGCAGTTGAGGCTGTAGAGGGTGTTGCAGAAGAACAACCTGCATGCACGGGAGGAACACGCATAGGAACAGGTTGGCGCGGTGAAGGATGGGAGACCGAGCAACAACTGTGAATGGCTGGCCGTTGGTTGTTAATAGTGTTCGTTGGCCGTCACAACTGTCGTACGAGTAGTGGTACCTCCATGTGTTGGATGCATATAAACCCGCCCACGGATTGCACCGTGGCTGCTATGTATGTCAAGAAAGCTCAGCGTGCTCTGTCTCCCATATCCGTATATCGATCGCCACTGCTCATCACTTACCACTGCTCAGAGTAGTCGTTGGTGTTGTTTGTCATCTTGCTAACCACCGCAACGGCTGTCTCGGCAGCGGCAGTAACCGCAAAGGCGACACAAGCGCCGCAGCTGCCTTGGTCCTTTACGGCGCTTACGAAATTGTAGGGGGCGTCGTCGACAACGTTGCGGGAATCCCACGCCGGCGCAGCGATTGCCTCCACCACGTCGTTGAATGTGTAGCTGCCGAGCGTGCTGCTGGCTTGGGCTTGAGGGGTCTGCGTGCAGGCAGGCAGGGAACACGGAACGGCCATCATGGGCCAATGGCCACTACCCGTGCACCCGGATGAAGGGCTACCGTATTGAATGTCAGCCACAACCACACATGCATGGCCTTGCAAAGTTAGGAATACCGGTAGGTCACCTGTCCTTAGTTGCGGCATAAGTGACAATAAGGGAAGCAGTCCACAGACAAGCGTCTATTCATGTGACTCGTCTTACCGCTGCTGCTTGGAAGGCTGTAGCGATGTCGCTCCTGCGCATGGCCCTCACGTCCTTGCCCCCCAGCTTCTCGCGCACCTGCAGCCATGCACAAAGTAAGAGCAATACAGATTGACGGGGTTAGGTGTTTGACCAAATATCCGGAAAAATATTCCTGCCTCACGCGTCACGTTAAGGATGCATGGAACATTTGAACCAGCTGCACACAGACTGCACTGCCTGCCAAGACTATGGACTTACCCTCCCGGCTGCTGCAACTGCGGCTTGCATGTTCTGGTACGTTTTCGTGCCTTGGTCGGTTAACAAGGTGAGCGAGAACGTGGCCTGCGTTGGATTGCGCCCGTGTTAGGTTAGGATTAAGGGGCCACGTCTGCATGGTGCCTTTGGAAATGCCCTAACATGTCGGATAAATGCAAGGCTACGTTTAGAGGCTCGGTCGTCCTCTTAGCACGCACAATCACATCAGCTGCGGGAGACATGCGGGGGACTGCGGGAGACGAACTGTTTCAAGGGAAGGGGCACTGGGTCGTATCCTCCAGCCCATGTACGGCTCCTCACCGGAAGCCTTAGCCCAGTAAAGGGGCGAGATTTTGCGACATAGACGCCATCACAGGCGGTGAGGGAGGGGTCGCTGCTGGTATCCATTGACACGAAGGCAGGCGCCATGGGAACCACCAGCAGGTCACCCAGCGTGGTGAAGGCGTTACAGGTGCTGGCCTTGGAGCATGCGGCCGCGATGTCGGTGGGGGTGCCGGCAGGGCTCAAGGTGCGGATGACATAGGCGGCTGGGACCTCCTGTAGTCGATAGAAGGTGTAGCCCTCCACGCTGGGGCACGTTGCTGTGTTGTATCCGTCAATGGACGGTAGATCACAAATTAGGAATTAGCCCGAAGCGACCAGGAAAATATGGAATAGGAGTCCGCCCTTAAGGGAGTGGATCTATCTATGACTGTTACTTTCTACCCAATAACCGACCTTGGGAGTTCGCCAAGCCCACAGCTCCCAGGGCTGCTGCGAAGAGCAGCAACAGCAGCTTGACCCGCATTTTTGAAACGCTATGTCCTGTAATTAGGTCAGGAAATGTCGGCGGGTGCTTATTTTGCAAACAGCGAACCTCCTGTTGCAATCAACGGTTTCCTCCGCTACTTACCTAACTGGTTAATCAAAGCAGCAACAAGTATTTCGTGAATTCTTTCACCCAAGCATGCATGCTATTTATTAGTTGACTGTTTCTCTTTCTCTACTATATCTTTATCTGGATCTTGGTTTGGCCACCGCCGCAATCCGGTGTACACGACATCGCGATGCGACATCGCCAGTTGTTGTCGAACTTTGCAACTGCTTTTAATTGTATGTTAACTATACGCTACAGGTGCTACAGACTCGTAAGTACAAGGACGGATTACTTTCTGCCGTTCCTGGAAAGCAGATACCACGTTGCTTTCCTCCTTACTCGGCTGCCAAACGTTGGACCAGTTTCTACGCCACGGCAGCTGACCCATGGGTCAGTAGGCCTCCGCGCCTTCCTTACCTCGGCTTTCCTGCCTCTCCAGTCCCTCACCCTCTGCTGCCACCACCGCTATATACCAGACGGGATCCTCCTTTGCAGTCGCCTCCGTTTCTGCAGCTGATGCAGAAACCGCCGCACGCATCCACCACCATCAGTGTTCGTCAGTTTTCCTTATTTTTATCGCCATCCGTGTGCCACCACTATGAGGCCGCCGCCCCGCCCCAGCAGCAGAAACCGCTTTCCCCGTTCCCGGCGCACATCCGCCGCATTCCGGTAGCACTCCGCCTCCGGGCGCCGCCGTGCCTGCACCGCCTGGTGCCGCACTAGTGGACTTCACAGCCGCCCTACCTCAGTACGGCAGCCGCCTCCTGCTCCTGCCGCCCTCCGCCGCACCACCTGCTTGTTTCCCGGCTACTTGCTTGCTTGTGGGCTTTACCCTGACACGGCTCTATCGCCGCCATTCCCTATTCACATGAACGTCGGCAGCGCGTGAGTGTTGTCCATTCAATGGGGTTTGTGAGAACTGCCTAATAAGCCCCTGCCGAAGGCCAGCACCCTCCAGCACCCTCCAGCATTCCCTCCGAAACCCTACACCCTCCATCCATCCATGTGTACCGCCGCCAGCGGGGACCTCTCCATCCCATCTGTCCCCCCAGCCGACCGCTTCTCCTCTGCCCCCCAGCCCAACACTCTCACCACAAGCGTACCCATTGCACTGGAAAACGTAGCTGCTGTATGGAGCAGGCCAGCTGGACATCCTTGAAACGATTAATTACAAACGAAGTTGGTGTTCAGGTTGGAGTACCGGTACAGAGTGTTCACCAATGCATGGCACCAATGCCAACATGTTACCCATTTGGATGTAAAACTAACGCACGGACCAAGCCCAGCACTGCATCGCAGTCTGGCGCACGTCATGATCGTGGTAAAATAGGTACAATTATATACAGATAAACTTCTATACGCGCGCAACAGCAGGCGCCTGAATCACGTCCTACACATTCGGACGCTATCTACAGCAGAGGCCCACCATAAATAATACTCGTATCCACATGTAACCGGAAACATTTCCCTTGTGACGGCCCTACCCGTGTCATGTGGAGAAACCTAAAAGAGATCTAGGTAGGGCCATGTACCAATCAACTAGGTGGGTCCCTGTCCAGCAGGCGCGCGCCGAGACCACCCCTTATTCACTTATGCACGGTCAACAAGCAACCGCCTGCTGCTGCCGTTTCCGTTGCCACTGCTACCGTTGATGGTTCCATTGACATTGCCGGCAGCAGCGGTACCGTTGTTACCGTTCATCATGCGCTTCTCATCCGCATAGGTCGTGCCCGGTGGAACACGGGGGAAGCGGGATGGGCTGCAGTCCCGCGCGCAGCTGTCCTTCGTTTCCCTACCGTTGCACAGGCCGTCACCTGCATGTATCAGAGGAGCGAGAGCGCACGTCAAGGTGGTCAGAGCGGGGCCGCATGAGGTCGGTTTGTATTCTTGCATATGCAGGCATTAACAGAAGGAGTGTTTAGCAACTACAAAACTGTACCATGCCCTGCAAAGCACCAACGTCAGCCGCCAGGCAAGGAAGGATGCATGTAATCAATCCTCATGGCAGCCATGCATAACACGTGTAACTGCTGTGTGCTGTGAGGTTTCGTTTCTTATGACTCCCAGAACATTTAAGCTTCATAGACAGCCGGTTGCACCATTGCACACAGCCCTTACCGCAGTAAGAAGTGGACGAATCCGAGCTCCTGCGGCATGTGCCGCAGTCCTGGGGACAGGTGTAGCAGCTCTCGCTGTAAAACCGTTTGCGGTTGCACTTTCCATCGCCGCAATAGTGGTTGTTGTACTTGTTTGGAGGGCAGATGCCGCAGTCAAGGCAGCCTGTCTTGGTGGCAGCGTTGTAGCAGCGCTCTCCACCGGCGTAATCACAAACGCCGTTGCGCTTGCAGGTGTTTGCAGGGCAGTCGGCGGGGCAGCTGGTGCTGTTCTCGTACTTGGATGCGCACTTGCCATCACCGCAGCAGGTGCGGCTGCCGTCCCGCTGACGTGTCCCGCAATCCCGAGGGCAAGTCACGCAGGTCTCGCCTCCTACAGATGTTGGTTATCACGTACACAGGGCGGAGGCGTGCCTAACTTAGTCCAAGGGGATAACTTGCTCGCCGAGCCGGACTGAGCAGGTTGCAGGGATAACTGTAACGCAGGCCATGCGTATCAGCTTCCGTATAGCAGATGAGGGGTTGAGGGCTAGCATGACGGTACGCGACATCAGCAACAGCGGGACAACAATGCGGTCAGACTGCGGCCTGCTTGACCCCCCACGTCACTCTAGACCACACCGACGGGTAGCCCCGGCCTGCATGCCATGCATGCATGCATGCCAGCAGGCAGCCCCTCACCCACCTGCGCAAACACCGTCTCCGCACACCGTGCATGCACCGCAGTCGCCAGGGCAGGTGGAACAAGTCTCGGAGCCGCTGCAAATGCCGTCGCCGCAGATCCGGGCGGGTGGTGGGGGCCGAGGGGAAGGCGGTGGCGGAGACGACTTGGGAGATGGTGGGGTCCAGGTCAGGCCCAAAATGTTGTCGCCATCACCGGACATGAACCCACAGCGGTTGTCGTAGGCAACCAGGTAGTATCCGTTGTCACCCCACTCGGTGCCCCAGCTGTTCTTGACGATCCAGTAGGCGCTGCAAGGGTATGGAAGGGCACGGAGGGGGCGGCAAGGGAAACTGGGTAAGCACTTAAGACAGGGGCCAGGTCAGCTAAGGGAAAGCCTTCTCAGGGAAAGCTCGCCATGGGATGTCAGGACATACACATTCTCAGGAAGCATGCAACACGATCTGCCGGCCACTTACCCCGTATCGTTGTAACCAACAACTGTGACCATGTGGGAGCCAGCCGGAGCGCTGACGTTGTCCCAGGCGTAAGGCCTGGCGGCGGCAGGTGGCAAGGACAGAGTGCAGCCGCGTCGTCAGGAGCTAAGTCCAAGCCATTATTATTGCAGGGCACCCGGTACGACACAACATACGGCAGATATATATGGCCCTTTTACTAAACTTTTGTGCAGCTCTATGCATAAGTTTTGTTGCTTCCTGATTAGGAGCGCGTGTGCGTCTCACAGGTGCAACTAGCAACTCACGGGGAGGATGGCAGCCAGTAGAAGAAGTCGTCGTACAACGTAAAGTACGACATCACAGAGCCGTACTCCCGGATGTGCTGCTTGGCCTGCACGAGGAGGGAGAAGCGGGGCCGCAGCAGAGCGTTTAGAGACTGCTAACAAGGTTTTAGCACAATACATATTAGTCCGCCCATGCAACCCACCAGCGTGAGGTCCGTGATGTTGATGTGCTCAAATGTGCCGCCGGCACGCATCTCAGGGCGCGACTGGAGTGTGCAGGACTCCGTGTCAGGTAGGTAGGGGTAGTTGCGCTCGTAGGGGATGTTCATCCTTGCCAGCGCATCCACGCCACCGCTAGCAGTCCAGCCGTCGGTGCAGTTGAGGCTGTAGAGGGTGTTGCAGAAGAACAACCTGCATGCACGGGGAGGAACATGCATAGGAACAGGATATGGAGGATTAGGATTACGTGGGTTTTATCAGGAGCGAGCGGCATCCTGCGTCAATGCGTCCCACTGCTGAAGGTTTCGCAGCCGGCTATGTATTAATAACGAAATTGGCCTACGGCTTCCCAGATGTGTGCCAAAACGAACCTGGCACCCGTTCGCTTACCACTGCTCCGAGTAATCGTTGGTGTTGTTTTTCATACTCTTAACCGCTGCAACTGCTGCCTCGGCAGCAGCAGTAACCGCAAAGGCGACGCATGCTCCGCAGCTGCCCTGGTCCTTCACGGCACTGATGTAGTTCTTGTGCTTGGTGCCCTGAACAACGTTGCGGGAGTCCCACGCCGGCGCGGCGATTGCCTCCACCACGTCGTTGTATGTGTAGCTGCCAAGCGTGCTGCTGGCTTGGGCTTGTGGGGTCTGCGAGCAGGCAGAGAATTGTTGACAGGGGATGTACCCAGGACACATGCATCACATGCACAGACCGTTGTGGTATGTCGTACGTGAGGGAGACTGCGACCATGTCCTACAACCGTACATGAAGCGCCTAATTGAGCAACACGCAGCCTAGCCCTTGCTTGGCATATGGCACCATGTCTACCCTAGCTGTTGCGTATGAAGCTACAACAGAAGGAAGGAGTGGATTGCTACTTGCACCCTTCTGTCGTGCGCTCTTACCGCTGCTGCCTTGAAAGCTGTAGCAATGTCGCTCCTGCGCATGGCCCTCACGTCCTTGCCCCCCAGCTTCTCCCTTACCTGCAGCCATGCGCAAGTTAAGGGTTAAAAGCGAATTAAGCAGTGTGATGTCCTGATGTGAAATAACCCGGTTGACAACACGAACTGGAAAGTGGTTCCGAACATGTTCAGGCACAGTACGGCAATGCTACAACCAACTTCTTACCCTGCGCGCTACTGTAACTGTGGCTTGCATGTCCCGAAGCGTGTCCGCGCCAGATTTGCTTAAAGAGGCAAGTGAAACTGTGGCCTGCATCAGTATTTAGTTGGGTGGGGGTGTGCATACAGGTTTGGTTTAAGAGGTTTGAGTCCGGCAATCCGTGTTGTACAAATATTTCGGCAATATGCGATAGAGAGCCACGTTACCAAAATTGCACATGGATACCTGCAGCTCACATCTGACACATGTAACGAGCTGGCCACTAGAACTAGACAATTGCCTTCAGCATACCTTCCCACCCATGGCTCCTCACCGGAAGCCTTAAGCCAGTAAATGGGCGAGATGCAGCAACGTATACGCCATCACAGGCGGTGAGGGAGGGGTCGCTGCTGGTATCCATGGACACGAAGGCGGGCGCCATGGGAACCACCAGCAGGTCACCCAGCGTGGTGAAGGCGTTACAGGTGCTAGCCTTGGAGCATGCGGCCGCAATGTCGGTTGGGGTGCCGGCAGGACTCAAGGTGCGGATGACATAGGCGGCTGGGACCTCCTGTAGTCGATAGAAGGTGTAGCCCTCCACGCTGGGGCACACTGAGGCATACACACATTTATGTATGCAGGCAACGTGTGAATAAGGGCTGAATAAGGGTATGGCGTACGGCAATGTTTGTCTTAGTTGAACTTACCTTGGGAGTTTACCAAGCCCAAAGCTGCCAGAGATACGAGGAGTAGCAACAGCGTGCCTTGCGGCATTCTATAGACGTGCGAACTAGGGACAGTTAGGGACTTCTGGATCGGACACGCCTTAGCACGTATGGTTCTATGTAAGTTGTAGACGACGTAAAATACGCCACCTAAGCAAGTATATAGTAGCCTTACCAACCTGCTTGTATATCTTTGAAGGAAAGTTGCTTTGTGTATTGTGACGTGCCTGCAGTAGGTCATAAAGGATCAAACTGCCGTACACGTCTTTGTGACAAGACACCATGACATGATATGGCATGACATGACAAGACTCCACGTGACATCATAATGCGACTTCGGCGTTGACACCGTGATATGACGCCGAACACGACAATAAGACAAACAGATAAAGATAACAGAAGATGTGACACTTCGGCAAGACAACAATACAAGACGTTATCATCTCGTTACCGGTAGTGGTTTGTTGCCAGGGGTTTCCAGGGGTTTTCCGTCCCGCTGGTTTTTGGCCCGCTCTTAATTCCAGGCGTTCCGCAAGGCCGCGGAAAGCAAGGGAACAGTCATAGTGGTACCCCCGACCGATTGCCACAACATTTTCTCCGAAACCAACCTCCTCCAGCCTTTGTCATGTATTTTGCAACTTTTGCAAATTTTGCAACCCAAACCAATTCGCAACGCTATAGATCCCCGATAAAGACACGAACACATACACCTACTTATTTGACATGACTACATGCTTTTAGCGTTTCGTGGCGCTCTTATGAGTAGTGGCCTTTATTTCTTAAGTGGCGATGGCCTAAACTTAGGTAACCTAGCTTAGGTATGCGGTTAACAGTGATGAATGCTACCAGCCTAGCGAAGATGGGGGCCATGACAACGAGGAGCTAGGCACTTTGCCCTTGGTGACGGCGGACCCTGCGCATGCGGCAAGCAAGCGCAGCTTATTCCCCAATCTAGTAACACGACAGGCATTAGGGCGGACGACATTTGCAAATCAGACGTCCAGTTGCATTGGTAGTTCATTTGTATAAGATTTCCGCTTGAGCATGGAGCCATGAAAGCCATGCCCAACGTCAAAGTGCACCTCACCGATAATCCAGTGCAGGAAAAAGCCAAATGAAGGTCTTACGTTTCTTATTAAGCTGCTATGCATCCGACAGTTTGCGACTAGGAATGCAAAAAAGCCTGGGGAAATGCAAGAATAGCATAGGTCGGAAGCGACATAGTTCTTGCCTAGCAATTTTCTTTCCATTGCTGTATCGGAGGTGTTTGGAATGTAGCACCTACCTACAAAGTATAAGGAGGGATACCGGTAGGGCGTAGGGGGTATGGTGGATGGAAAGGGCACCAGCCCCATCCCCCACCAAGCAAGACGCATACGGTACTTAAGGAGACAAAAACTCCAAGACGGCTGCGACACTCCAAGCTAGTTGTAGGACTGAGATTGGCTAAGGTTGCGGTCCGTACAAGCATTGCTTAGATTGGTCCGTCCGATCATCCTTAGGTTTCGGACCGCAATTCCTAACAACCGAAGCCAAAAAAACACTCTACAGCAGAGTGACAAACAATTTATCCCTCCACACGTCCGGGCAAGAACGGTAGCTGACCGCCGCCATGGGGTCCTATTTCAGTCGAGACATTAGAGTACAGCCGCTTAATAATGTCCCTATACCCCTACAAAACCCGCCAGGCGTTGTGGGCGCGGCGGGGGCCCTTTCTGAGCGCCTAAATGCCCTCGCCATGGATTTAATAGAACAGCTGAGAGAGAAGAAGAGGGAGCACGCTGCTAGTATCTGCGGTCATGCTAGCACGTTATGCGACCTCCTCAAAAGTGCGGACATCGGCATCGGTGTGGGGGCGAGTTTTGCCAGTGCATTCTTCAAACACCTTCATGTGGCGCTGATGCTTGAGCCAGAAGCTAACTTACTAACGCTAGACGTCATCATGGTTGTCGAGCTCCTGTTGAAAGCCACGAGTGCTTTCAACGCGGATGAGGGCGCTCCAGGCGCGATCCTGGAGGACCAGCTTTGGAGGTCCAAGGCAGGTGCCATACACACCGCCATGCTCCAGCTGGTAAGCACCCCCTCGTCTTCCGCTTTTACTCGTTTAGCTAGCAACCATCATACTTCACTGACGGACTGCCGATACAGGCTCTTGACGAAGCGCGCAAGGCCATTGAGCTGTGCAAGCAGAGAAACTACGCCAGGAAATTCATCTTTGCTGAAGGCCTGCGTAGTGCTGTTCGTGCTGCCTCAAACCAGCTAGAGAAAGCTAGGGGGCACTTCTTTGACGCCATCATTGCTGGCAAAGTGCTAGGCGAGTGCGTGGCAGAGTCTGTGGCCCAGAAGCGGGCAGAGCAGGAGGGGATCCTGGGACAAAACCGCTCCATCCTGCTCTCAGGTAAGCACATGTTTCTTATGGCACGCCGCAAATTCATTGTTTGTTCATTAGGTGAAAGCCCTGACTTGCAGTTTTGCATGCACTACAGGTTCTGACCGGCGGGCACGCTTGTATGCACGGGATTCAGACCTGGACGTCGCTGGCATGGCTAAGGATGGAGCTAATGCCAACCCAGATGAGTGGGGCGAGCTGCTGGAAGCGCACCAAGGGTGCATGGCCATCACGAACAAGCTCCAGCCTTGCTCCAAGCGGGCACAGCAGGTGTTCATGGTGCACAGTGATAGGTACCTTGAGGCCCGGGGAGGTGCTGATGCACAGAGGCACTTGTTGCCCAGTAAGGCCTTCTTGTGCGTCTGCACCCAGCATGGCACCGGCTCTGACGCCAACGATGGCTTCCTGGTGGCCAACATGGGTGCCGCCGTCACGCAGAAGTATCCTGCAGCCGCTGTCAACATCAGAGCCCCAAGGGAGCATGATTTCAGGATGGAGCAGACGGCCATCGGTACCAGGCGTTTCTCAAGATGCCTTAGGGTGTCCCGTGAAGACCTCAGGCTGTTCCAGGACAATGGCATGGGTGGATGGCGCGAGCTGGTGGCGCAGCTCAGGGAGGCAAAGCAAGGCCAGGACGGCCACCTTTACGCCTGTCATGCTGTGAAAAATGATGGAACGGGCTGCACAGCCGCTGTGAAACACATATATGCTGTGGGTTGCTCACCCACTCAGGTCAAGATACTCTGCGTCTGTGGACACCACCGTGCCCTGGGCGCGGCACGGCCAATCTTGCTTTACAGGGATGGCGCTGACGCCCAGGGTGCCGCGGCCATTCAACGTGACTTGGCACCGTTGCTGGAGTATATGGCAAACCCGATCCCAGAGCGTGCACCATTGCCTCTGTTGCAGGAGTAGGAGAGAGTGCATGGAGCTGGCTATGCATGTTGCTTGGGGCTCATTGCGCCTTAGTGAACTGGCTCGTTATGGATGGATGCCCAGTGGTTGCCAGCGCAGCATATGGACCGCAACTGGGCTACGTGCCATCCATCCATGTAGCTACAACCCTATGGTGCTGATGGGTCAAAAGCCAAAAGCAATGTGGATACGACGTTGTTGGCTGGTATTGGCTTCAGGGCCGTTTATGATGAGGGTAGGTGGAGGGACCTCCCAATACCTTAAGCTGCCTGATGGGGACCGCTCCTTTAGCCTTGGGTTTGGGACCTGTGCGAGCCCTGTATGTACGATCACATGGTACGGTGTAGGGCCCTCCCGTCCTACCGCACAACATTATGAACCATTCCGGTCAAGAGGTGTGGGTCAAGAGGTGTTTGAGCCCTGTATGGGCCACAGCAGTACCTTGATGGTGGAACATGCACGGCTTCCTGTAGGTGGTCAGCGCTGCCAATGGGCTTCTGGACTCTTCCATGCATCCCTTTTAGTTTTGGCGTTTATCCATTTGGTGGTGGGATTCAGTTTTTTGCTAGGGAACGTCCATGTGTTTCATGCTAGTGCCGATCGATGAGCGCTGTGGCTGTGGGTCTGTTGTGTTGGCTGGGAATGTCTGCTGCACTGCTCCTGCACATGTGGTGGTTGGCGAGGTTGAGGTTGACGTTCGGGGCTGACTTCATGGCTGGAGCTGCATGACATGAGTGTGCAGCAATGCGTTTGGGTTGTTCTGGCCTTTATGGCTTGCGTTTATGAAGGAAGATCGGAGATTTTGGCGGGAATATTATAGCAAACCAGGTGCTGCGGGGGATTTTGGGCAGGCTGGCTTTCCTGCTGTGTGTGTCTTGGTCTTGGGGTCCGCTTCGCAGGGATGGCAGGGATGGCAGGTAGGGTAGTCCTTTGCACCCAATTTTGCGTGTTGGTTGCAGATGGAAAGTCTTTGTGTTATGTTGTGTGTCTTTTTCGGGCCCGTACGTTTTGCTGCTCTAAAGTCAGCGAGGTGGGGTGTTCTAGCCTGGCATCTGCTCGTAGTGATGTCTCTGCTTGTGCTTGGGGAACTGTTCGGTAGGATGGTTGCTGTTGCGTTTCCTGGTTAGGCAGCTACCCTGTGTGCCGTCATCATCTGCTTCAGCGGGCACAGTCAGCATGATGGATTATGGAAACGTGCATGACTTTCTGTGTGCTAAACATTCGTTGGAAGGGCGGGAAAGGGCGTGTAGCAGAACCTGATATTTGCGGTCGGTGTGTTTGCTGGGGGTGGGAGCAACCGTTACGTTTTCCTATAATCGGGTTTAGTGCAACTGGGCTGCCGTTAAGGGAGGGTTGAAATCCCTCTGATCGCCCCATCTCTTTCCAGTTCGGTCAATCCTTTCCTTTCCTTGCTAATTGTATTTACTAGGGGGCCAGTTCCCGGATTATGACGGCGTGATTATGGCCAGCTGTTATGGGTAGCTGGCCTGGGGCCAAGCCCTGTCAATGAAGATGCTGGTTGGGCTGCTTGTGTTGGTGCTAAGCCTCACCTTACTTGTGGTGGTTGCTGGGGTTGAGGGGGGGGGGCTGTTTTATGACTGCTACCCTTGTAGCCACCTCTGCCTTTAGTGGTTGTCTTTGGGCTTTGGTTATTCATGGTTTGTCCTGCTTTCACACCGTATTGGCACGGCGTCGTCAGGAGCCGTATCCTGGGCACCTGTGGTGTTGGGAAATGCTACCTATCCTGGTGCGGTGCTTGTCGTGGACCGTTATTGACTCGTGCGTCCCGTGAGCAAGACGGGTGTCCATTTAGCTTCTGCATATTTTGCTAATGTGAGGTTGGTCTTGAGGTTGGAGTTGTCGGTTTGTTGTTCTGGGCGCGGTTAGTTCGTTGTCTGTTGGGTAGTGGTATATTTGGCATCTGTGTCGTACAGTCGTCAGTGCTCTTAATTCGTGCAGCCCCCCTACTCAGGGGCTGCACTCTGCTTGCTGTGTATGCAAGGTGCCCTTTCAAACACTCCGGTAGTGTTGTGAGTGTTACTGCTGCTGGTCGACTAGTTGTTCCTATGCAGTGAAAGGAGGCGCAATAAGTTCTGGGCTTTAGCAGGCATGACAGCACGTCGGAACTGTGTACAGGAGTGTAAGCAGCTCTTGCTACTGGGCCTCACATAACCATCCACGCCCGTACACCCACCCCGTTGGCCCATAGCGAGCCATGGTGAAGCCTTACCCTACGGTTAGTTAGTTGTCCCCTCTTTCCCCACATATATACCCAATGTCAGAGCTACAACCCCTTTCTCCTGCGCACTCCCCAAAGAACATGCTATGGCGACGTAACAGCATACCTTCCCCGCTGACATGGCTTCTTCCTCAAGTCATCTCGGTTTACGGTAAGCAACGCTTCGGTAAGTAATTTGAGATGCGTGTCTCTAAAATAGTGTCTCCGAATGCGCTCACTGCATGAGTCGGGATATGGGATTGGGACTCGTTGTTTCACATATTTAATTTTTTCCCCGCTGACATACCATCCGCTCCCTACATGCATGCTATGCGCCAGTACGGCCCATGCACCCCAGCGCAGCACTGTGCGGTCGCCACCACCCCACGGCCACGGTCAGTGGTTCCTCGCGGCTCAGTTTACCTAATACCCCACCCAGCTCGCTACCTGCAGCCCACAACCTGCTTGAAAGCCGGGTACAGTGCCGGGATCATGTCCCCCGCCAGCATGGACCTCTCACCGCTCTCGAACGCCGCCCTGGCCGCCCCCCGCACCACCTTGCAGCCCAGGTAGGCGCACAGCGCCACTGCAGCCGTGTCGTCAAGAAGCGGGTCAGCAGCGGCAGCGGCGGTTGAGAAGGCGGGGGCGGTTGAGGAGGCAGGGGCGTGTTGTTGTCCTTGCTGCTGGGATGGGTCGGATCCGGAGGCTGGCTGCTCCTGTTCTTGGGGTTGGGGTTGGTGTTGCAAGCGCTGTTGTTGCTGCTGCTGTTGTTGGTGCTTGGCGGCCCAACAGAGGAAGGCGGCAATGGTGCCTGCGGGGTAGCCGGCGGGCGTGCAGCAGACATGGGTGCAGGTGTGTTGGAGGCTTGCATGGGACGCGTCGTGGATTCACCGCATGACGGCAACTACATGTGTTCTCAAGCTAGGCAGCCGCCTCCCCAACCCGCGCCTGCGCACATGGGTCCAGTCCTAAGCTCTTCATAACCGCCTGCCTAACAGCATTGTACCGCTCCTGACCCCTTTCACGCCCGTTCCCACGCCCAACGAGTTACCCTCATGCGAGCAGCAACCCCATGCCTCCACCCATTGTTTCTTCCCACCTGCCAACACGTCACCCTGGCCGCCACAGCGCCGGAGGGAGCCAGGGTCCGAACACCGCAACAGCAGCTGCGGCTCAGCCGACCCATGGGTCTCTGTACCTGCTGCTGCACCCATCCCTTCTCCTGCGGGTTGCAAGTGCTGTTGCAGCTGCTGTAGCCGCCCCTGGACTTGCCCCTCTTGCCCTCGTTGCGGTTGCGGCTGCTGCTGCTGCTGTACGGCAGTGCCAGAAGCGGGTGACGAGCTGGTATCAGTATTGGTATCGGTATCGGTGGCAGCAGCAGCGGCGGCAGCACAGATGAGGTCGACTCCTCCCTTGGCAAGGACCACCGGCCCTTTGAATGCTGGAGGGAGGCGGTGGCAAGGGGCACGGACCATGGGTTTGCAAATTGCAATAATGGAGGTGGTGGACGGGAGGGAATAGAAGGGAAAAGCGGGGTTGCAAAGGAGGGCTGCTCCCAAGAACAGCAACGACTTGGTTACGCCACCTACCTTACGTAATCCCATTCCTCCCCAGTACGGCACCTCCGAAGCAAGGCAAAGCGCAACGTCCCCTTCCACCACTCCCGCCCTTCCTCGCCCCTCCCCCTCCTCCTCACCTTCCGCCACTCTGGGCGCATGCTGCAGCCAGTGGTCTCCCATGCCCCCCGGCAGCTGCAGCCCCACCGCCCCAGCGATGCGGCCCAGCTCCGCCACGTTGGGTGTCAGCACGCAGCGGCGGTAGCCGGACACCAGGGAGGCGTCCTGGGGGCAGCCAGGGGGGGAGGAGGGTAGGGGGGCAGGGGGGCAGCAGGGCAGGTGGTGAGGGACGGAAGCACGGGTGGTTCAGTAGGGCAGGGACGGTATCCCTCCAACGCCCCCTCTCCATTCGACCACCCCCACGTGCTCCCCTCCCTCCACCCACTTCTTATTACATGCTTTGCTTGTTGCTTCATTCCGCCTCCTTCCCCCTCACGCCGTCATACAGCTCGTCAGTCTCCCTCTTTTTACCCCCACCTTGGCCACCAGGTGTGTTAGCGCGCTGCCGTCCACCACCGCCGGCAGCCCCGCCCGCCGCGCCTCCGCCAGCAGCCGGGCGGCCGCGGCGCAGGTGGCGGGGTCGCCGCCCAGCCCCGGACCCACCACCAGGCAGGAGGCGCGGAGCAGCCAGGGGCGCAACTGGGACACGGAGCGGGACACGGCGGCCTGCAGGGAGGGGAGAGGGGAGAGGGGGGAAAGGATAATTGAAAGGGGAGGGGAGAGGGGAGCGGGTGGAGGAAGGAAGGGCAGGAGGGAGGGGGTGATGGTTGGGCAGCAAGGTATTGTGGAAGCAAGCAGCTAGGCCGCCGAACAGCCCCTTACTCCAAACCCCCAAGCCCCCGCAAACTCTCCCACCTCATCCACATCCTCCCCCGCGCCCTCCTCCTCGCCCCCCTCCGGCAGGTACGGCAGCACCATGAGCTCCGGCGAGTAGCTCTTGATGGGGCCCGAGGCGGAGGGGGTGCACATCACGTAGGCCATGTCGGCACCCACCTGCAGCCGCCATCAGCGGGTGCAGAGGGAGGGAGGAGGGTGAGGGTGAGGGTGAGGAGCAGGGCACTACTAGATGTCTAGATAGGGTCCGAAGAGGCTCATGTGTCTCCGGCACACAGCGGGTACCTCCCACTCACCCACCCGGCCCCCGAGTGCCAACATGCGAGCATCAAGCCTCCAGCCCTCCACCTCCACCTGCCACCCACCCACCCGGAGAGCGGACATGGCAGCGAAGAAGGGCGCCCCGGTGAACTCCCGGCAGCCGCCCACCACCGCAACCTTGCCGTGGGCGCCCTTGTGGTTGCCGCCTTGGGAGGGAGGGGGAAAGAAATGAAAAGTGAAACAACGGAGTTTCAGGGAGAGAGGGAGGCGGGCAGGGGAGAGGGGAGAAAGAAGAGGGGAAGAGGGAGGCGAGGAGAGGGTAATGGGTGAGGGTAAGGGACAGCGGATAATAAGGAGTTGGTTGGGTGTTTGGCAGCACTGCACTTATTGCAATGCACGTCACAGGCGGGATGTAGTGATCCGTGGTCCGTGGTATGTGGCGGGGCTTAACTGTCCCAGGGGTCGCGAGTAGTGCGGGAGGTTAGGGCTACAGCGCCAATGGAAGGCTGTCTGTACGGCTTGACACAGTAACTAGTGATGCAAAAATGTATGTTTGGCCAGTTTGGCAGTGGATACTCCTGCAACGCGGTTAGAAGCCACTGGCTGGGTGGCAGCGCTCGGCAGCGATGCCATCCGCGTCCTCCACTTTCGTCAGACTACAGCTGTGGAAGTAACACCGACGCTCCTAACTGCGCATTCGGGTATTGGGGTAGCTTCAATCCGCCAGCAGGTGAAAGCAATTATAGTCCTGGAGTGGCATGGCGGTATTGGGATGTGATGCCCACCTAGTTCGGGGATAAGCCGCCTAAAGCGTTCCACCGCCTCCTGGTCCGTTACCATAGCACCGGAAGCAGAGGCCATTGAGCGTGTTGCCAGGCGGAAAAGCGGGCCAACGCGGGCTGCGAAAGCCTGGATGAGGCAATGACGGATGGTGGCGAAGACGAAGGGACAGGCGCATTAGGAATGGCCCATGAGAAAAGAAGGCATTGAAGGTATGGACTTAGCATCCCCAACCTTACCCTTTTGCTGCAAGGAAAGCTGCGTTTTGCGCACACCGCTTTGCGCACCGAGCTAGCAGCAAGTGCAAGTGGCATGGAGAAAGGTAATGTATTGAAATTATATGGCCTTTGGTAACACTGATCTATGGTAAACTGTTGGGTGTTGCATTATGCGAGCCGGCCATCGTGGTTCGGATCCGGTAGGTAAGACGCGCAAGCTCGAATCGGCACCACTAGCATCGTTCTACGGTTCTAAGAAAACTCATTTGCTATCATTATAGCTGCACTATTTTACCCACTCCATTGACCCACCAAGAACGTCCTTGCTGATCTTCAACCAGGACATTACTGTGCCGTTATCCATTTTTCCTTCCAACCTACTTTCAGCCATGAAGAATGCGTACTTGTAACTGATCAAGCAATAGACTCAGCTGTCAGGCCCAGGCTGTCTTCGTCGCGTCCATTGGAGCATTATTAAGTCCTGCGGGTGCTAGGAGCCATGGCGGAGAATCGTGGCAAGCCTCGAGGAGAGCTAGCGGAGCTTAGCGCCCAGCTGCAGAACCTCTGCACAGCTGGGAAACGGACTGAGCGAGAGCTGCGCAATGCAAAGAAGGATGTCTTCAAGAAGGTCATCAACTACATGACCCTGGGCATGGATATGTCCGCCTTGTTCCCTATGATGACCTCCTGCGCCAACCTCAGCTCCGACGACCTGGTGCTCAAGAAGATGCTGTACCTGTACCTAACGCATTACGCTTCCCAAACTCCGGACCTGGCGTTGCTCACAATCAATCAGCTGCAAAAGGATTGCGCGGACCATGATCCCATGATTCGCGGCCTGGCGTTGCGCAGCCTGTGCTCGCTGCGTGTGGCCAACTTCCTGGAGTACGTGGTAGGTGGGGGCGTCGTTGCGCTGGGAGGGCTACCTGGGGAAGGCCACATGACTCCTCTTCTCCACAGCCTCACCCTCCCCCGTCACCTCTGCCTCCCATATGTTCCTGGACAGACCACGCCTTTGTCCACTCCCGTCACCCTCCCGCCCCTTTCCAACCGCAACCCTGCCTATTCCTCCCCTCCCCCCCTGTTCTCTCCCTCACGTCCCCCCCCGCTCCCTGCCCCTCCAGGTTACTCCCATCATGACGGGTCTGTCCGACCGTCACCCCTACGTGCGGCGTACGGCGGTGATGGGGGTGCTCAAGGTGCACCACATCGACCCCACCACCGTGGCGCAGCAGGGTGGGGGTGGGGGCAGGGGGAAAAAGGAGGGAGGGGGGGAGGGGGGTAAAGAGGAAACGACTAACGAACCGTGTTATAAGGCGTGGGAGGGGGAGTGAGGTGGGGTGGCGCGCGGTTGTTGTGGTTGTTGCCCGGCCCCTACCTCTCGGCTGGTCTAATTCCCCACCGCACCGCACCCGCATGCACACACAGCCTGCCCCACTCATGCACCCCCCTCCCTGCCCCTCACGCACCCCGACCTCACCCCCCGCGCCCCATTGCTTTGCCCTAACCTAAGGTTTCCTATGATATGGTATGGTATGGTCTTTGAACACCCCGGGCACCCCCCCGCAGGCATGGTGGAGCGAGTGAAGCGGCTGCTGTCCGCCGACTCGGATGTGCAGGTCATCGCAAACTGCCTGTCGGTGCTCATGCAGGTGGGTGCCATTTACGGCCATTACGGGTTGTGGGGCATGGGACAGCTGCATGCCACAAACCCATGGGACACCCCCCCTCTCCCCCCTACTCCGCCCCCCCCCCCGCCTTCACACACGTGCAACCCGGGCACCCTCCCCCCGCGCAGCTGGAGCCCCCCAGCCGGCTGGTGGAGAGGGCCTTCCTGTACTCGCTGCTCAACCGGATCAAGGTGAGGGGAGAGGCAGGGAGGGGGAGAAAGGGAGGGAGAAGGGGGCAGAGTCAATGCAAGGGACTAGTCGTCCTCGCTCTGGCCCCCGTCCCCCTCCCCCGACGTATCCTCCCACGCAGCCTTGCTCCCTTTTGCTCCCTCCCCCCATCCTCATCCACCTTCTCCCTACCTATGCCCCCCCCGCCCATCCGCCTCCCCCCACCCGCCCCACACCCCCCAGGAGTTCAGCGACTGGGGTCAGTGCCAGGTCCTGGAGCTGGCGTCCCACTACCCGCCCTCCGGCGAGGCCGAGGTGTACGACCTGCTGAACGCGCTGGAGGACCGCATGGGCCACACCAACAGCGCGGTGGTGCTGGCCACCATCAAGGTCTTCCTGCGCCTCACCATCAACATGACCGCCACACACCAGCAGGTGGGGTGGGGGGGGTGCGGGGTGGGGGCGGGGTTGCGGGGGTGGGGGGATGGTGAAGGAGAGGGCCCTAACCGTGGGGGTGTGGGATGGCGGGAGGGCAGTGAGAGAGAGAGGCGCAGACGATACAGGGCGCAGCAAAGTAAGTTGCTGTCCTAGACCTGCTTAGACAGGCAATAGTAATACCGGTAGTACCGGTGCGTAACAGCGTAACGAGCAGAGGTCCCGTTGTAGTACCACATCAGTAACACGCCCTTGCTGCCTCCTACCGTCACAAGCTCACAACACGCCGCTGCTCCCATGAATCCTCACGCGCTCCCGCCTACTGTCACAAGCTGCCCGGGTGGAACGGCGAAAGGCACCTATGGCATACCGGGTTAGGCCTTTTATAATGTTGCACCATGCTCCCATCGACCCATGCGCTCCCTCCCACAGGTCCTGGAGCGAATCCGCGAGCCCCTTAAAACCCTCATCAGCCGCGACGACGCAGCCACCGCCTACGCAGCCCTCTCCCACGTGCTGCTGCTGGCCCAACGCGCGCCCATGATCTTTGAAAACGACGCCACCGCCTTCTTCTGTCGTACTCACGACCCGTGGTTCGTTAAGAAACTGAAGCTGGAGATCTTGGCTGCCATCGCCAACAGCTCCAATGTGTACGACATAGTTACGGAGCTGACGGAGTATGCGCGCGACATAAGCCCCACGATGGCGCGGGAGGCGGTGCGAGCGGTGAGTGGGGTGATTCGAAAGCTGAGTTGTGAGTAGGGTATTTACTAACTCGACAGGCGAGGTTAGTACCCCTTAATAACGTCATGGCGTTGCGGTTTTGCCTTTTTCAGGTTGGTCGTATCGCGCTGGCGGTTCCCGACTCGGGCGGCATCATCGAGCGGCTGCTGCTGTTCCTGGACGCGGGGAACGCAGGTGGGGCGGGGAGGTAATGAGGGTCTGACCCATGAGTCGGCTCTAAAATCCTTGTTTTAGGAATGAGCACTGCGCGCAATCTGCTGTCCCATGGGTCACTGATGCGTCAAGAGTGCCTTGCCAATGGGCCAGCTTTCCAAATTCGCAAAACTTCAAAAGGAGAGTTTCGTCGACTGACCCATGGGTCACCCCCATCGTATGCCTCGCAGGCGGCAGCAGTGGATCCGAGCACCTCGTGTCCGAAGCGCTCGTGCAACTGGCTGACGTGGTTCGCCGCTACCCCGACACCGCACACGTGGTGGTGGGAGCTCTCGGAGATCTCGGTGTGTACGGCAACATCACGGAACCCGCGGCTCGCGCGTCGTACGTTTGGCTTATCGGACAGTTCGGGGCGTTGGTTCCCGAGGCGCCGTACATTCTGGAGCCCTTTGTGGAGGGTTTCGCTGCGGAGGAGCCTGCCGTACGGCTGGCGCTTCTGACGTCAGCGGTGCAGCTGTTCTTCCGGCGGCCTCCCGAGGCGCGGGGGCTGTTGGGGGCTGCGCTGGCTGCGGGGGTGGCGGATGAGCACATGGATGTGCGGGACAGGGCACTGATGTACTACAGGTGGGTAAAAGAGGAAACGACTAATTGACTGTGTGACAAGGCGTCGGCAATCTAGGAGTGGAGGGAGGGAAGCTGTCAATTTGAGATGAAGAAAGCTTGTGTTGCAGGGAAGGATGGCCTGCTACCTGCCCGCTCCCTGCCTTCTCTCCCTGCCTTCCTGTATTCCCTCCCTGCCTGCCGACCTGCCCCCTCCCTGCCTTCCTTCCCTCCCTGCCACCCAGGCTGCTCCGCGCCGACGCCGCAGCCGCCGAGCGTGTGATCGCCCCGCCGCTGCTGGTGGTTCCCTGGTTCTCCGAGGCGCTGTCACCGGAGGCGCGGGACGCGGTGTTTGAGGAGTTCAACTCGCTGAGTGTGGTGTTCCAGCAGGTGGGGTGTGAGGGGGGGATTGAGGCGGGAGGCGTGGGTTGGGTTGGGGTCGTGGATGTGGTGACCCGTGTGTCCTTCTGACGACCATGGTGGTCATGGAGTGCCTAATGTGTTTGCCTAACAAGGAGCGCCTAATGTGTTTGCCTAACAAGTTTGCCTAGTTTGCCAGAGTTCACTACCCTTATTTCTCCTCCTTTCTTGCCCTCCCCCTCCCCCAAACGCACGCCCACAGCCCTCGGGCGCCTTCATTGAGCGGCAGGCCTACCACTCCCTGGAGTCCGAGCCCGAGCCGCCGGCACCCGCAGCAACAACAGGAGGTGGGTTGTGTGGTGGAGGGTGTGGGATTAGGCAAAGGGCAGGAGGAAGAGGAACACGAGACGAGCTGCTGAAGGGATGCTTGAGGAACATGCAGATCAGACATGGCTCATGGGTTGGGTCGCAATTGGGGGGTGAATGAAGCCAAATCATGTTGCATTTGGCAGCGGTGGTAGGTCATCTCTGCTTGCGCCCAAGGGAGGCACTACTGACCCATGGGTCAGCTGAGAAGTTCCGCTACCAACCCGCCTCATGATGTTAACGCCTTTCACACGGTTACTTTTCTCCTCTCCCTCACCCTTCACCCTTTCCCCGCAGACCTGCTTGCGCTGGAGGCTCCGGAGCTGGTTAACGCCCAGCGAGCCACCAACCTGCTGGCGGATGCCGACATGGACGGAGGAGCTGGGGGCGCCGGGGGCAGCGGGCGGGACACACCCTCCGCCGCCGCTGCAGCAGCCGCCCTGGGGTCCGACCTGCTTGACCTCAGCCTGGGGCCGGATGTGGCGGCGTTGCCGGGGGCATCGGGAAGCATGGGGCCCGGGGGGATGTACGGCGGACCCATGCCGCACCCCTCGCCCGCATACACCGTGCTGCCACCCACTCCGCAGCCGCCGCAGATTGGTAGCTTGCAGCAGCAGCAGCCGGGGCAGCAGCAGCAGCAATGGGACATGTTGGGAAGCCTAATGGGACCTCCACCACCTCTTCCTCCCCCGCAGCAGCAGCAGCAACAACACCAGCTGCAGCCACTGCCTCAGCAGTGGGGTGGAGCACCACCGGTGCAAGGGCTGCCACCCCATCAGCAGCAGCAGCACCACATGATGATGGCGGGCGGGGTTGGGGCTGCTCCTGCTCCTGCTGCTGCTGCACCTCCTGCTAGCGGAGCTGGTGTGGGAGGTGTTGCCATGCCATTACCCGGTGGCATGGCGATGTTTGGAGGCGGGGCAGGGGGAGGCCGAGCAGCAGCAGCAGCAGGGCCGGGAGCAGGAGTGGGGGAGCTGCTGGGATTGCTGGATGAGGGCCCGATGATGCGAGGGCCTGGGGGTGGGATGACGATGGTGGGTCAGCAGCAGCCGCAGCAGCCGCAGCCGCAGCAGCAGCAGCCGGCACATGCAGCGCCGGTGCAGGAGCTAGTGCTGAACTCCAAGGTGGGCTGGGCTGAGTTGGGCTGGGAAAGTGGTTGATTCAGCGGTGGGAAGGTGCCCTTGGGGCCACACGGCGTCTTTTGCATCCCTCGGCTTTTGCTTTCTCACCACGCATCCGTACTTGAGTTACCGGTACTCATTCGCCCGCACGCCCCTCTTCCTCCTCGCAGGCCCGCATGACCCCTGGGTCGTTCCAGGACGAGTGGCGGCGCCTGTCCCCCGCCCACTCCGCCTCCCTCACCGTGTCGGCCGCCAGCGTGGCGTCCCTGACCGCCAACAACCACCGTGACTTCACGCAGCACATGGCGCAGGCAAACATACACACCATTGCGAGTGGGGGGCAGCCGCCTAACTTCAGGTGGGGGCTGCTGGCTGCGTGGGGAGGGAGGTGGTGTGTGTGACTGTGACTGTGAACGCGCGACTGTTCTGGACTGATATCTTCCTGCGGGGCACATGTTTACTTTAATTGTGGACATGCGTGGTGGGAATGAAGAGGCATGGAGGGGATTAGATAAACTGAGCCGCGGAAACACTGGAGGGGAGGGTCACGCATGGTAAGTGGATGTCGCTTGGATTACCTTATGGAGGGGTGTCGTGCAGTATACCACAGCCGCCGACGTGGACATCATGAGTGCCCGTAACGTTGCTTTCAGTGTTGCAGTGCACGGCAATTCTCCTTGCCGCTGCTGTCGTTGGCAGTGACAGTGCATGCATAACGTGTAGCATGCGACGACAATATACCTCCCGTCCCTTCCCACTCCTCATTCCATCGCTGCCGTTCCCTTCAGGTACTACTTCTACGGCCAGCAGCAGCAGTCGCCCGCTGCAGCTGCAGCCCCCTCCTCGGCCGCCTCCCTGTTCCTAGTAGAGCTGCTGCTGCGGGGTGTCGGGGCGGCGGGGGGCAGTCTCACGGTAACCGTCAAGACCACGGATGCAGCCCGACTGCCCGCATTCCTGGAGATATGGAACGCATGTCTGGCAGGGTACCTGGGGTGATCGGGGGAAGCAGGCTTGGAAGCTGGGTAGCAGTGCTAGCGGGGAAGCGGCGCAAGCGGGGTAGTGGTGGCCTGGCGGTGCTGGGGGGGCGGGTTCGTCTTCGGGCAGTGTGACGGAAAGGAGGACGGAGGGATGGGATAGGGTGGCGTGTGTTGGGGTGTTCTTTGCGTGAGGAGGCAGTGGGGACTTGGTTAGCGTGGGGGTCCAATGCACGGCGTCTGAATAGTTGCGCAGCCGGTGCAGTTGGAGGGGGGTGTTGCCTGTTTAGGCAGGTGGCTGGGCTTGGGGTGTGTGCGAGGGAGGGGCGGTGTTTTGGTCACAGGAAGAAGGCACGTGGCGGAAGGATGATCGTGATGGCTACTTCAGGATGCTTGCGACGGTTTCAACATGTGGATAAATCTCCTGTACGTACGTGGGTGCCCTTCAACAGGGGGCCCGTACCTAACAACTTGCGGGAGACCTGTAACAGGCTTACCCATGCGCCATGCCCAAGAGCAAACCCTTGCAGCTGCTGACTTGTCCATATCCTGGGTACACGAATGGCATTAACATCGCAGCGCTTGTGAAGCATACGCACACGCATGCGTCACGTAACCTGTTTGAAGGCGACATAACATGGGGGGAACCTATTGCTTGTGATAAGATGCACTTTATGCCACCCTTCGGAGGCGCAGAGGGTAGTTTGCTAGGTAGCAACCCTCTCTGAATTGGGAAGTGGAGACACGGTTATAGAATGGACTTGTTTTGTTTGGGTGGGGTCAAAAGACCGCCAGAAATTGCGGAAGGCCCCAAAGGACACGACCGCGGGGTTGGAAGTTAGTTTTCAACCAGCAATAGTCGCGACTCGGTTAGACCTCACAGTCTGCGACATTGCCCCAAGCGCAAAGATGGTATTCTCTGCGTCAGCACCACCACCACTACTGGGGCTTGTCCGCCACGTGCATGCATGTGAGCGATGGTGGGTCGTGAGCTCTGATGTAAGTAGATTCTAGACAGGGCTTTCCGGACAGCCTGGTCCAAAGTGTGCAATAACACTCGGGTCCTTCCCGCTCAGTCCTTTCCGCTAAGCATCCCCATGGATCACCTGTCCCCACACGTGGCCTCATAGAACGCCAGGTCAACAGCTGTACTTAGGCACATCTTAGCTCTAAATGTACGGCATTAGGAGCTCCCTAACACCCAGCCCGACATAGTGGATGTGGGTAAAGGACTGCCGGCCTAGTCCATAACACCTGCCCTCACCATACGTACATGCTACCCGACCCCCATCCATCCCCTGGGTGCCAGCTCTTCTTACACATGCATAGGTTGTACCTTGTACGTCATTAAGTGTAGCCCACACAGCAGCCCTTGTGGTAATCCTACAAGTGGCAGTTGGTGCCCTGATAAGCCTCCCTTACGCCCATTGAGCTACCGGTAGGTCTGTCCGTTGGGAAGCAGCTGGGGCTGGCGCGTGAAAGGGAAAGTGTATGATGGTGCTTCTGGTGTCTAAGGCTGCGCCGCTACGGTGTTACACGCCAAGCTCACAAGCGCATTAAAAGGTGTTCCGAGAAGCCTTTTGGGCAAGCCAATGCTTTCACCTCCCTTTAGTGCAGCAAAATGCTGAAGGCTTACTAATCCATATGCTCTAATCCATCGGGCTAACCCGCCCGTATCCTGGATCCTATACCGTATATAGCATTTATCTTAACTTTGCAAGCCATATAAGCAACGGTGTCTCCTCCTTGCAGGCGCAACGCTCTGCCATTTATAAACAACTAACACAAGTTCACGAACGCGTTCGTGACCGAGGCGTGCCCTCAAGTTCCTGCTTTTTTTTAATTCGGAGAGTGCCTAGTTGGCTTCTTTGTGTGCGCAAGCGTACGACCCCTTTCCGACCCTGCCCTCCCATGTTGACACGTACGACAGGTTCCAACACAACCTTCGCAAAAAGGCACCAACACAACTCCCGAAAAGCCACAGCATCAAAGGGCCAGTAACACAACCACGTTCATCAATGCGGACGGCCTCTCAAGCTCATGGGCATCATCACTAGTGACGCTCGTCCCAAGAAAATGCCTTGTTACAGAGTTCAATACTCGTACATCAACATTACGAGGTTACACTGCCTGTGACAAGCACAATTACGCAATGTACTACAATGACATTGCCCCTAAAAAAGTGTATACCGAATACTTTGGGTGCCCGTACTCGGGCACGCCAACGGCTAGCTGGGATTCAGCAGCGAATCTTTCATACTCTAAATAAGACATAGGTTATAACGTTGTAGATAGCGTTCCCTTGCATTTGTCTGGCCATGTCGCTCAGTGACCTGCCACCATGCGAAGCGTCCATCTGTCTGCAGCTGCTACCAGAGCTTGCGGAGCGCATCATCAGCTTCCTGCCGCCCAACGCGGTCGCCTGCACCGGGCGGCTGATCAACAAGGCCGCAGCCGCGAAGTTCTGCGGGCCTCGCTTCACAACCGTGAAGCTATCTTCACCCGTGCCAGAGCATGCCTTTGCGCAGCACTGGGGCCGCACCGGTGCCATGCGGGGCCTGACGCTTAAAGCGAGGCGGCAGCTGCTGTGCCTGACGGCCGCTAGCGGTAGCATCCCCAACCTGAATGTGCTTGTCGGGAGCATGGGATGCCTCCCAATGCCCCATATACTGCAGGATGCGATGGGCGCCGCTGCCAGAGCTGGGCATCCGCAGGCGTTCGATTGGCTGAAGCAGCGGAAGCACGTCACTGTTGGTGCCTTAGGAGTGGCAGCAAGGGCAGGACAACAGGCCTTCTGCGAGTGGGCCCTGGCCAACGGCTGGAATTGGAGCTGGGAAGCTGTGTGGGCTGCTGCTCGCGGGGGCCATGTGGGCCTGATGGAGTGGCTGCTGCAGCTGCGGCCCGAGGGGGCCTCTCCATCTGACAAGGGGAAACTCTTGGAGGCTGTAGCAGAGGGCTGCGAGCTTGCAGTGCTGGTGGACTTGGTGAAGCGGCTGGGTGAGATTGAGAAGCCGAATGGAACAATCCTGGCAGGCGCAGCTTGCAGCCGCACACCCGACTGGCAGGCCAAGGTGGAGTGGCTGGAGGCACGGGGTGTCCCCCGCTCTGGTGCTGCCTGTAGTTGGGCTGCCGGCTGCCCAGACGCCCTGGACCGCCTGAAGTGGCTGCGGGGGCGGGGCTACCCCCTCACAGAAGGCGCGGTTGAAGTAGCTGTCCGTTCCAACCGCGTGGGGACTCTGGAGTATCTCTTGTCGGAGTGTAACTTCATGCCAGAAAGCCGATGTGTTGACACGGCAGCAGAGGATGGTCATCTGGACGTACTTAAGGTGCTGCATGCGCATGGAGAGAGCATAGGAGGTATATGGTGTGCCGCCCGGGGTGGACACTTGCACGTGGTGAGCTGGCTGGTGGAGGAAGTGCTAGGTGAGCGGGTGCTGTGGGGGTGCCCCTGGATGATGGGGTTTGCAGCCCAGTCGGGCAACCTGGAGCTGCTGCGGTGGCTGCGGGAGCGGGGCTGCCCCTGGAATGAATACACACTCAACAGGGCTGCGGAGGCGGGATGCGAGGAGGCGCTGGAGTGGCTGGTGAAGCAGGGCTGCCCCTGGGAGGTAAGTGGACCTTCTTTTTCGCTGTGAAGGACGTCATGGGGCTCCACATGGGGTATGGGGCTGGGATAAAACGTAAGATAATTGCAGCAGGGGTGGGGGCTGGTAGCGTCATTGGAGTCTGGTAGCAGCTGCGGGGAGCGGAGTTGGTGGCTAAAAGCTGAAAGCAGGAACAGAGGTTAGGTTAAGCAAAAGTGAATCTATATGCTATAGTCAATTCACAGTTTGCAGTTCACATGTATGCATAGTTACAGTGTAGCTGCTCCTCCTCTCCATCCATTTTCCAGGAGATGGGAGGTGCCTACACAACAGCTGCTCGTCAGGGGGACCTACTCACAATGCGCTGTCTGCGGAGGCTGGGCTGCCCCTGGGGACCGCCCGGCTTGGTGTTCGAGGATTGCATCGAAGCAGGCTGCGACTTGCCTATCTTGGACTGGCTTCTGAAAGAGGGTTGCCCGGTGGAATGGAAGAGGGTGGTGGAAGCGGTGGCAAGGAAGGTTCATCCCGGCATTAACCGGATCCCAGAGCTGTGGCAGTGGCTGTGTGACAACACCGACAGCAAGTGGTGGCAGCAGCAGCTGGACGACTCGGAGGCAGGAGAGTTGGTGACCAGAATGCGACTGCTCTGGGTGGGTGGTGGGTGGGCGGGTAGGTGGATGCGTGGTGGTGGCTTCTCAGTAAGGCCCGTACGATAGGAGATACCAAGAGATAGTAATGTTAGTAGTGTGTTTGCTGTTGCACGGATTGAACCTTCCGAGTAATCCTACCTTATGCTTGCCTGCGACATGCGTATCTACAGTTACGTTAATCGTTACACTCAATGGTCTTAAGATGTATATCTAAGATATTTGCTCCCCACCTTGTCTCAGGATGATGGCCAGCCCTACCGGGAAGCTGCCCGCAACGGCTGACCCTGGGGCCCGCCCGAAGAGGTCTTTACGAACTACATTGAACACGGGGGGGCGGCTCAGTGGAGGCGGCCATGCAGGCGGTTCTGGAGGAGATACGAGCGGAGGCGGAGCTCCAAAGGGCAGCATGGCAGGATGAGGAGGAGGAGTGTTAAGAAAACTGGCCGAGGAGTGGTGAGGGGAGGAGGAAGGTGATGAGGAGGAAGGGGAGGCGGGCGACATGGGCGAGGACGTTTCTGGAGAGTGGGATGGTTGCAGTAACGAGGAAGGACTGACGGGGGGGACAAGGGGGCGAAATTAGACTGAAGACTAGTGGGTACGGCAATTGGAGAATGTGGTACAGTGGCCACATAGCATGGCCGGGCAGGGATGGCGAAAGTGGGGGATGGGCGGGGAGCAGGGGGAAGCATGGTGGGCTGCGTGTCCAAGTATTTGGGCAGTTGGTGGTTTAGGTGTGGAGGAGATGCTGGAAGGCACGGCCAGGGAAGGGGTCCTGGGCCTAAGGTTCATGCTCCAGAGTCCAGACGGCCTGCACAGCAATCCGACAATACCCTCGCTGCGGGGTATTATTATGCTACTTTGAGTGCTGGGCTGAACTATGTGGGCCAGCCGCATCTGATAGGGTTACGGTATATTTCCGTGTGTCGTCCAATGTGTACTGCGGGACTCCTGTTGGTTCCAGAGCCTTCCCTTGCAACAAGGCATTGTTCCGGCTAACCAACACTGAATAATTTACTGTAATTCACGAGGGGTAAAAGTGATAGGCTGTGACAGGACCTAATTCGCCTCGCATACCCATCGCGTAATCCATTCGGACTTTTAATAGGTCAAGCCCATAACATGGCTGAGGACCCGAAGAGCAAGATTCCCATTACGGTTGTCACTGGCTTCCTAGGTACGCCAAAAGCTTGGGTGGTCTAACTTACAGCCGGAGATCGTGTAAGCCTTCCCTCCCACCACTGTAGGGGCCGGAAAGACAACTCTTGTCAATCACATCCTAAGCGCTAACCACGGCAAGAAAGTCGCCGTCATTGAAAATGAGTTCGGCGAGGTAAGAGAGCTTGCCTTCGGTGCAAGCAGGGCGACAGCTGAGTACTGCACAATTGGGAAGAAGCGGCTCTTTGAGGGTTGTAGGAGGGGTTATTGTAGCATCACAGTGTTGTTGCTTAGCCTAAGCAGTCAGGGAAAGTGGGCATCGCCTATCATGCCTTAACCAATGATGCCGCGAGCACGCGCTTTTGGGAATGGCATGGCCTATGTTGACAATTAAGTATAGGCGCTCAGTCATGCGGGTGGCTAAGGCGCTGGTTGTGGGTTGTCGCTCATTGCGCAAGGGATATGTCCCACATGGATGCCCTATCCCGCGCACGCAGCACTGCTCCACCTCTCCCCTCTGTTTCCTCCTTAGGTTGGTATTGACGATGCGCTGGTCATGGAGAGCAAGGAGGAAATCTTCGAGGTACGGCATGTTGGCTGTCGTGCTAACGGTGGCCGAGTCTTTGTTGGTTGGAAATGCCTTTGGGAGAGCCCCAACGGATGGAGTGGAAACCTATCCGTCTCCCCGCGTGCTATTTCCCGTGGAAACATACCCTCCCCTCAGGAAACATACACCTTACTCGCAACCCCGCCTCCCGCCTTACCGCGTACCTGCTTCTTGTACCAGCCTGTCCAACTCCGCACCCGCAACTCCCTCCCCCCGGCCTCACCTCCCACCGGCCTACACCCGTCTTTTCTCTCTCCGCTCCCCCGCGCCTACCACCATTCGTTCATCGTTTCCTCTTCACCCCCTCCCCTCCCCTTCACCCCCTCTCCTCCCCTCCCAGATGAACAACGGCTGCGTGTGCTGCACGGTTCGCGGCGACCTGATCCGTATCCTAAACAAGCTCATCAAGCGCAAGGGCAAGTTCGATGCCATCATGATGTGAGTACGGCGGGGCTGGGCAGGGTGGGAGAAGTAAAAGATAAGTGTAGCAGGGTGGGGAAGGAGGACAGGGGGTAGGAGGCCGGGGCTGTGGGGGAGCGGTAGCTGCTAGAGGCCTTGAGACTGGGTTGGGGGCTGTTAACGCCCATCCTGCCCAGACTGCCCAACACGCTCTCCTCCTTCTGCTCACTCTCCTTGCCCTCCGCATGAGTCGGGATTTGGGATTGGGACTCCGTTGCTTCACTTTCCATTCTTTTCCTCCCCCTCAGCTCCCTTTCCTCGACTCAGTTTACCTAATCCCCCTCCTCCCTCCCCCTGCGGGTCTCTGCAGTGAGACCACGGGCCTGGCCAACCCCGCCCCAGTCATTCAGACCTTCTTCGTGGATGACAACATCAAGGTGCGGGGGGGAGGGAGGAGGAAGGGAGGGGGTGGGGATGGGGCGGAGGGGGAGGGGCAGGAGTAGGGGGGTGGCTGCATGCGGGCATGTGTAAGGGGGGAAAGCGTGCGGCGGCGTCATGGCAGGACGGAAGTGCGGGAGGGGAGTACGAAAGAGTGGAGTACGAAAGCGCGGGACCAGAACAACAGGGAGCATTCGGGAGCAGGGGAAATGCACGACGAATGCACATACCCCAACCCAACCCACCCTCCCCTCCCGCCCCCCTCCCACCTCCCCGCCTGCAGGAGGCCTGCGTGCTCGACGCGGTGTTGACGGTGGTGGACGCGCGTCATGTGATGCAGCACCTGGATGAGACCAAGCCGGAGGGGGTGGTGAACGAGGCACTGCAGCAGGTGCGGTGGGCGGGGGTAAAGAAAATAATGAGACACTGACGATGCAACTGACGAGCTGTATGACATGTAGGCTTCACCAGGGTGGCGGGGTGGGGGCCGTGATGGTAATGGTTTGGCCTGTGGTATTTGGTTTATTAAGTGTTAAGCTGGGTTTGCGAGAGACTGAGACCTGCTGGTGCCGTACATCCACGACTACGGACTACCGTACTGGCATCTGCTACGCTGCTTTGTGTTTTTCGCACTCACGCTGAGAGCCTCTAACAAGCTAACAACCCAACTTAACGCATATCACCTCGAACCCCAACCCAACCCAACTCAACTCCTCCCCAGGTTGCGTTCGCTGACAAGGTGCTGCTCAACAAGACGGACCTGGTGAGCCCCGAGGAGCTGCGGGAGGTGCGGCACAGGATCCAGGTGAGGGGTGGGGTGGGGTGGGGTGGGGTGGGGTGGGGTGGGTTAAAAATCAGGGAACTGACAAGGGGGGCCGGGGGGATGGAGTGGGGAAAAGAAGGTGAAGGGTGAGGGGTGGGCTGGGGGTGCGGGGTTGTTGCGCTGTTGTGGAATCAGGGTGGAAGTGCATGTTGCCTACTACCCTCAAGCAGCGGTGAGCCGGTGACCCTCGCTGACTTCCAACCAGCGCTCACCAAACTGAGCCCCCTTCCCCCTAACCATTGAGAGAGCACACGTGCCCCTGGCTTGGGACGGTGCCTCCCTCTGCTTCCTGTTGCCCCTTTACCCCGTGCCAGGGACAGGCCCCTCCCTCGCCTTTTTACCATCCCTCCCCTTCTCCGCCTCCCCCCTACCTCCCCCACCCCTTCCCCCCCCCTCCAGCACATCAACAAGCCCGCCGAGATCATCGAGTGCCAGCGCGCGCAGGTGGACGTGGCGCGGCTGCTGGGCATCTCAGCATTCAGCCTGGAGAAGCTGTTGGCCATGGACCCGGAGTTCCTGGTAAGAAGGGGGGGTTGAGAGGGGGAGGAAGAGTTCCCTGTGTGTTGAATATGGGGGGGCCTGGTGGGGCGAAGGGGGGGAGGAAGGGGCTTACTATCACCGTCTGACACGGCTGCACCCTGGGTTGGGACATCATGGGTTGTATCAAGCATCGTGGGTTGCGACAAGTCTCCACCAGGCTTGCTGATGGGGGCAGGGATCGTGTGGATGCCGCATGGGGCCAAGGGGAATTGAAGAGTTTGTGTTGGGGTGTTGGCGGTGTGTGGGATCTGTCCAAGTGCCCTCCACTCCCCTCCCCATGCAGCCCATGCAGCCTAATGCGGAATGTTCGAATCCCCACTAATCCCCACACCGGCAGGAGACCGGCGAGGAGCACCACCATCACCACCACCACCATGAGCACAAGTGCGGAGAGGGCTGCAAGGACGGCCACCATGACCACTCCCATGACAAAGACGACTGCGCGGAATGCCACGGTCACAAGGAGGAGGGACATGACCACCACCACCACCACCACAAGCACGATCACGAGCACAAGGAAGGGGAGGACTGCGAGGAGTGCAAGAAGGAGGAGGGAGGCGGTCACAAGCATGGCCACAAGCACGGTCACCACCACCATCACCACCACAAGCACGACGATGCAGTGACCAGCTGCGGGTTCGAGCTGGAGGGTGAGATGGACATGGCGCTTCTGAACGGCTGGCTGAGCAAGCTGCTGCAGGAGCGCGGGGCGGACCTGTACCGCAGCAAGGGCATCCTGGCGATCAAGGACTCGGATGACAAGTGAGGAGGAAGGGAGGGGCAGGAGGAGGAGGGGCAGAGGGGAGGAGGAGAGTGGAGGAGGAGCAGAGGGGCTTGGGGATGAGGGGATGGGGAGGAGGAGGAGAGCGGGTGCAGGGTTGGCGGTTAATGAGCTGGCTTGGGGGATGCTCTGCTGGCAGTGGTGAGGGACGGGGCATGCCGATGCATGTTGTTGCTGACCCGCCTACAAGACCCCAAGGATGCAGCGGTTACCGTCAAGTCCTCATTTGCACCGCTTTCCACAGCTCCCTGCCTCCCTCACCTCCGGGTTGCACCCCACCTCCCCACGCAACCCCTCATCTCACCTCCCCATGCATCCCCCCCTTACCCCCCTCCAGGTACGTGTTCCAGGGTGTGCACATGCTGCTGCAGTTCTCCTCCAGCGCGGAGGGCGTGGGGCGCCCCTGGCAGGCGGGCGAGCGGCGGCTGAGCAAGGTGGTGTTCATTGGCAAGAACCTGAAGCGGCAGGAGCTGCTGGAGGGACTCACCAGCTGCCTGGCCAAGTGAGTGGCGGAAGAGGTGCGTGGGAGGGGGGCGAGTGGAGGAGGAGCAGGAGGAGGAGAGGTGAAGGAGGAAGATGAGGAGGAGGGGTGTTGCTGCTGGGGTAGCAGCGAGTGACAGTATAGGAGTTACGGGAATGGTGAGGTGGTTGGATTGGTTTGGGACTGGATGTTATCCATGTTATTGAAGTCACGAGGCGATTAAACCGGTACCGGAAGTGGTTGTTGGGCCTTCCTACCATGCCGCGTTGCTCCCTTCCTCAACCCCTACCCATCCAGCATCACCTCATCCATGCCTAGCTGTGAACCCGCCCATGTACCGGCACAAGTTGGGTTCCCTGGCACAACCCCTTAAGCACATGTTGTTATTGCGGCGTGACTCGTAGCTTCCCTGCCTCGCCCCCCCGCGCATCCGCAGCCCCGAGGAGCCACCTGCCAAGAAGTCCCGAGTGGATTCGGAGGGGGAGGGAAAGGAGGCGGGGGCGGATGAGTAGGCTCTGTCAGTGGTTAGCTGCTGTTGTTGAGGCAGAGGGCGCGCGGGTTTCAACAGGCGCTGCTGCGTTCTGTAGCGAGAGTTACGTTGCGTGTCTGCCTAAGCTACGTGCGTTATGCGGCATTGCGGTAGTGGGGTGTGTCACGATGGGGTTTTGATGGTATTGCAGCTTTCGCAGGTTTCGGGGTTCGGGCTGCTGCTGCTGAAATGGCGGCAACTCATGGGGCATGAACTTGCGGGGCAGCACGTGTGCCGGGTGTGTCGCTTTGGTGGGTGGCCTTATGTATGTGTTTGGTAGCCGAGTTTTCCATGCATGATGGGTTTCAGTGGGTTGCTAGGATTGCTGCTGGCAAGGTGCCGGTAGTAGGACACGCTTCGTAGCTGCTTTTGTTGCTTGAGGCGCTGCGCTGTTGGTTAAGCTTTTTCTGAACCGCAGGGTCGGACATCAATGCGCAAGTGCGGTTTGGGCAGAACACACTTAATTACTGCGATCTGGAGGAACCCGTACGGAGATGACAGATTTACATCGGCATTCCATGTTCACACGAGATGATCATGAGCATGCGGTTTCTCTTTAGGCCTCGCTTCAGCATGCAGGGTCACAGCAGGCTAGATAGGTGTGCACGCTGCTACGTGCATGAGGCACCGGCTCATAAAAAGTTAGCAAAAACACTAAAACCCATTGGGGTTAGCTCGCGGGCCTGTTTGGTGGGCTTTGAGCATGGCCATGACAATACCTAATAGACTGTGCATTCATAAGCACACGCTCATTAATGCGAATATCCACTTCATCTCGTCATACATGGCGGCCCATCTGTATCATGCATGCCATCAAGACCCATGGGTCGGTTGGCAAACGAGTCCACCTAAACCAAAGAGGTTCTCTTGCCCCATGCGGGCAGCAGGTGTGGCTACACGTACGCCGTGTTGCTTCCTTCTGCCCAACATAAGACGCCCATTGTCTGTTTGCCTTTAAGTCCGCCCTGCTCTAAAACGCCGCTATGTACCTAATATTCAACAACCGCTCAACGATTTTAAACGTCAAATGTATGCCAAGGATGAGCAGCAGCGTCCGCTGACGTTCCAGCTGTAGATGCAGCTGTGATTCCTCTCATCTTAGCTCCTGCTGCTTGCCGCCTCTCCCCATCACTGCCGTATACTGGTGCAAGTAGTTGAGGGCTATGTTAAACGACTCCACATTTAACCACTGGACTGTGTGAATATCGTCATTGAGGTACTGCTCTGGGACCAGGCCTGCAAGCAAGCGCATAGCAGGAAACCACATATACCTAAATGGGTGACAATCGCAAATGTAAACACGTGGCCGTGCAAACGCAACGACGAGACGGAAGTAACCCTCCCGTTAACATTGCAACTGTTGGTGCCATCCAAACCGTACCTTCACTCATGGCAGCAATGTCGATGAGGGGAAGGTTGAGCTGTCTTGCCGTGTAGCGGATAGCCCCATGCATCTGCGGCAATGTACCGTGTACCCATGCACAGTACAAGGTAAGACAGCATTACCGGTATGCATGCATGCAGCGGTTGTCGATACGTTAGCCGTTAGTTAGCGGTTGGCCTAGCATATAACAGCCAACAGCACCTACCAGCAGGTCTCAGTAACCGCAACCGCCGTACCCACCTGTGCAATGAACATCTTCTTCGCCCAGCGCTTCTCTTCAGGCGGCAAGCCAAAGAGGCAGTCGTACCTACAGGCAAGCAAAAGGACAGAAGGGCCTCACTTCAACTACCACCAACGGCACCATGCCATACAGTAGATGACGGCTTAAGACAACTGCCTACAGGAAGACGCCTGACAGCACTCTTTCGTAGATTGATACCGTACTGCTGATGAACCGTTTAGAAGGCATCCATGCATGCATGCGTGCGTGCACAACATGCAACCGGAGGTAGGTAGTACCCAAGAGAACAACGTACCTAGGAAACGCGTTTGTCCGCGCAACAATTAATGCCTGCGTGCATCAGGGTTTATTACGCACGGATCTTTCTGAGTGCATGTACGGCATGTACGGCAGTGTAACGGACAAACCTGCGCCACACAGCTACCATTCCGATACAAGTCTGATACATGGCAAATGACAGTTCCATACTGGCTAGCTATGGGTCCCTCGCATATTAAATAAATGCGTGAATGTGTGTTGAATGGGCGATTTAATTGGGGCTTAAGAGGGCTTACCGAGGGTAGCTTTTGCCGTACCAGCGACACCAAGCTTGTGTAGTTTTGCACGAAGCTCGCCAACCACCGCAACGGAAGGTAGTGATGCTCCGTATTAACCTGGTCGTACGTCCTGTTACGAGCCGTGCGGACGTACGAGTGCGGTAAGAGCGTGTGCAATTGTTGCCTATTGGGAATAGGCCAAGCTCTATGCTTAAATAGGAAAGGGTGTTGCATGCATCATCTGTTGACGCCCCCGCCCTACCCATTGTTGCATGATTGTTTAAGATACTTCTAAAGGGAAAAAAGCAACAAAATTCCAACCCCTCACGAAACAGCCAAGGAAGTGACAAAACGAACAGGAAATACTATATTGCAATTGACCCTGCAACGGGCGGACAATGTGTCCATGTGTAATAGCAATGTACATGCGCCGTCCTAGTGGACTGGTAAACGAACCCCACCCAGTTGCTTAGCGCGACAAAATGTGGGTCTTGCCTGTTGGCATCCCAAGCCAGACGAGCAACCTCCCAAAACTCCAGGCCTGGGCAACCGCCAGAGGAGGGGTGACACAGGGGTCATCAGTTGGCGAAACGGCGGACATACATTAATAGCCGTAGGTGGTGCAGTGGGAAAAACCATCCGCCGTGGGGACCGGTTAGGCTAAGAGGGGCGCATGCAAGTATGCAATCCAAAGTTGCAACAGATGGTTTGGGGTGCAACCGTGCCTGAACCATGTAACAATTTTGCCAAAGATATGCCACCACCGCTGCACCCATCCCAACTTGTGCGCCACTGGATGTGACCCACAAACAACATTTACATAAAGCGTGTGCACCGTTTACTCACCAATCACAACCAGCTGCGGCTCCTGAACCTTTGAATATCGGTCGAGGTAAAATTTCAGGGAATCCACAATTTCGTTGAGGTCAACTCGATCTTTATTTGCCGTGGGGACAAACCGTTGGTATGCGTGGAACCTCTCTGTACGGACAGTCGAACAATGGGGTATTAGTAATTATAGCTCAATACGTTGTTATGTACTCCTTGGCTACGTTCGCGGGGTAAGTTTAAATACTAGACACTCTGGACACGGGCTTGGGCTGTCACTCACCTGTTAGGCAGTAGTTCGGCTCTACTCCAGCCAAGGGAACGCTACCGGTGCGAAGACATGGCATTGGCGGGCACTGAACGTCTCTGGTAATATTGATGTGCTGCTCCCGGGCATACTGATTACAGATGTACTCAAGTGTATGCACGTCATTGCTGTCTCCAATGAAGAAGACGTGGGTACGAGGCTTAATAGGTGTGGGCGACTGGTCGAATATATCGGCACGTAGCCTATTTGATAGCTTACAGTCCTTGTTGTAAAGTGACCAGCGGCCACCGACTTTGTTCTGTGGGAGCTTGCCATCAGGGATAAAACTGACACGCTGCAAGGGATACTGTCGCAAATCCGCATTGCTAGGAAGGTCCAGCCAAGTTCCAGGCTCCTCTCCGTAGCGACATAAGCCTGATACTAGTGGCGGGTTAATAGGCGCCTCGTAACCCTCCAGTAGCTGAGGGCAGAGCGCTATCAAACTAGCAACGATGAGCCATGCACAGAGGCAAAACGACTTTTGCCCAAGGCTTATCTCCCTCTTCATTAATGGGTCTTAACTCGTTGTAAAAAAAGTAGTATGTGTCCTGTCCTGACCTGTCTATCCTTTAGCACAACTTCGCAAAGAAAAAGCAGATTCGACACCGTTCCCTTGCGTTAAAAGGAAATACAGCTAACGAATATACATTATTGCGGAAGGGGCAGTTCCACCGTTTAGGATGGCACAAGGGGCGGGGATGCAAAGGGACACGAACAGACACCAACAGACACATACGGTAAGTTGTTGAGCTACTCAGAAAGCGCCGATGAAAAAAGCCTACAATTTATCTTTGAAAAACGTTTTTGTATCAATGGGTCAAGTCGGATAGCAGCCAACCTGTGCAACTCAGCGGGACCCTGCATGCTTGCATTTACTGGGACACTGACCCGTGCCTGTGGCCCTATGCTGCCGAATTTGTAACCTGCTCCATAGCGTTAAATATAATAGCCCACCTTGAGCGTGGATAAGCCTGACTTACGATGTTCCACTATCTTTGGTGTTCTTGCGGCATGCCAGTCAGCCTCAACTAAGCAAGGGCGGGGATTACCAGCTCGTTACATCAAGCAACTGATACAATTACTGCTTCATGCAAGGGATACAAAACAAGGGATGTCAGCTTCCAAGTCAAGGTTTGCCAGTTTTCAAAGCAAGGGGGGTCAGCTTTCCAGGCACACCGGTAGCTTCTCCAACAGCTTCACCGTTGAGGGGTCTCGGCTCAGCTGGTGCCACAACACACCTCACCACCGAGACAATAGATAGAGCGCCCCCGTCAATCATGCTTGCGAACCTACAGTGTTAGTGAGTCAAACTACCGTGTTCAGGAGCAGCCAATCACCGCATCCACCCCTCCAGCACCTCCTCCTCTCCTCCATCCTCACTCCTGCTCCCCTACACCTCCCTCTTCCCCCTCGTCCCACCCTCACCTCATCCCAAACCTTCCTCCTCCTCCTCCCAATCCGCCTTCTCGCCCCAACAGTCTTCCTTTCCCAATCGTCACCCCCTTGCCGTCACCCTCGTCACCTCCATCCTTACTCGAACAACAGCTGCTGAAACTGCATAGCCCCCATCACTTGTGCATACCCCTCCCGCTGCCACCACTCACTACCACCATTGGCACATAACCAATTCCACAGCTGCACCGCCTCATGATACCCCTTAGAGGCCTTCTGGTAAGCCGGCTCCATCACCCGCAGCCAGTCCACCGGGCACCCCTCATCCAGAAGCAAGCGCAGCACCGCTGTGTCACCGCCATCCTCGATGCATTTGGCGAAAACCCACCCGTGCGGGCCCCAGGGGCAGCCCAGCCGCCGCAGGCAGCGCAGCATGTTGACGTCATTTTGGAGGGCAGCCACCAGGCAGGGTACACCGTCATCCTGCAGGGGGAAGCGGTGGAGAAGGAAGGTGCGCTCCTGGGTGCACTACAAGGAAGCAGCTTGGGTAGTAACTGACAATGCATGGTGCATGGTAAAGTCCCATGCACACAAAGCACAGGGATACTTGTGCGTGGCTTGCTGTCTTCTTACTACATGGCAATGCCATCTACCAGGAGGGTTCCTTGCAACACATGCCTGTGTGAATGTGTCACGCACCTGCATGGGGCAGCCCTGCTCCACCAGCCACTCCAGCGCCTCCTCGCAGCCCGACCCAGCAGCAACCGTGTACATGTCGTCTGCCCAGCGGCACCCCCGCTCCCGCAGCCACCCCATCAGCTCCAGGTTGCCCGACAGGACTGCTGCCCGCATGTTGCGGCTTTTCTGCAGCGCCTCCCTCCCCAGCAGCTCCGATAGCCATACCACCACAGCCAAGTGTCCACCCTGGGCGGCAACGCCGATAAAATTTCCCACTTCATATCCGTACTCATTCAGCAGGATCAAGATGTCCAGGTGTCCATCAGATGCTGCATTGTAATCCTCTCCATCGTCCGGCTCGATGTCGCAATCCAATAGGAACTCCAGGGCTTCCACGCGGTTATTGTTGATCGCTGCCTCGGCTGCCCTTTCCGTGAAGGGATAGCCCCTCTCTCGCAGCCACATCAGGCGGTCAAGGGCCTCCGGGCAGGAAGCTGCCCAGTTGGCGACATAACTCGAGCGGGGGAAGCCCCGTGCCTCCAGCCACTCCACCTTGGCCTGCCAGTCGGGTGTGGGGCTGCCGGCTGCGGCTGCCACAATGGAGCAAGTGTTCACATCTTCCTTGTCCAGCAGCAGTTGGCCTTGCAGCCGTTGTGTCAGCTCCACCACAATCGCCAATTCGCAGCCCTGTGCTGCAGCCTCCAACAAGTCCACCAAGTCAGACGGAATCAGGTTACCGTTGGGCCGCTGCTGCAGCTGCTGCTGCAGCAGCCATTCCATTAGCTCCACATGACCTCCTTGGGCAGCAGCACACATCGCCTTCTTGACGTTCAAGTCCCGGTCCCAGCCGTTTGCCAGGCCCCATTCGCAGATGGCTCGGTGTCCGGCGCCTGCGGCGTCCTCCAGGGCTGACCCTTCAAGGCAATTCCGCTGCTGCAGCCACTGACACATCTCCAGCTGCCCCGCAGCAGCAGCAGCGGGCAACACAGCCTCGTATGACGAGGCTATGGAAAGGAGTCCCGTGCTTGCAACGGCTGCCTCCAGGTTTGGAATGCTGCCGCTGCGGGCTGTCAGGCAGACCAGCTGCTCTCGCTGTTTGAGTGTCAGGCTCCGCGTGACACCAGGACGGCTCCAGTGCCGCTGAAAGGCGTGGTGAGGCACGGGCGAGGATAGCTTCACGGTGGTGTAGCGAGGGCCACTGAACTGCGCGGCCGCGGCCTTGTTGATCAGCCGTACGGTGCAGGCGACCTCGTTGGGCGACAGGAAACTGATGATACGCTCTGCAAGCTCTGGCTGCAGTTGAGGCCAGATGCCGGCTTGCCGATGTTGCTGACGACTCATCGTCCTGTCCAGCTATATGACAGTACTAATGAGGTTTCGCATATAAAGAACGATCAGCACAGTCGCTAGTTGCTCAATCCTTGCAAGTGTTCAAATACGAAACCCGGCGGGGTTTATAGGGAAACGGGGCGATAGAGAAGGTAACATAAGACTACAGCCATCCGCTTATCACCATGATGGCTATAGGTATATACGTGAGGTCTAAATAGGTAGCATCGCCGATTGCCGTGAGAAGCAGCAGTGGTACGACTCTTCCATGATGAAACGTCGGTGTGAGGCTTCCGTTAGGCTAAGGCGCGCTAAAGACACTCCCTCTTGGACGTGGCACTGTATTGCATCTGATAAGGTACACCGCGCATAATTTGCCTGCCTCTAGAGCGGCCAACTGCAGCAGTTTCCTGGATTACGAGGCCTGACATGCTAGAAGTGAAGCATTGAGCTTTATATAATTATAAAAACGTTTAGCGGATCGGTAAAGCTCAGTGTGCTGCTAGCTAGAACATGGGCGACGCAGCTACAACATACTCCTTGAAGTACCAAGCAAGAGTGCTGGTTGCTCTACCTTGCGACACCGTTACATCTAAATGGCTCGTAGGAACGACAGCATTGCGCGAAGAAAATGAGGTAAGTAGGCATATAGTTGCGCACCAGGTAATTGAAGCTCATTCACCGTCTAGCTTGCAATTCACCGATTACTCTGCAGATTCGTCTACTCCAGTATGATCAGGACAATGAACAGCTGGTCTGCAAGCGGGCGTACGCCCATCCAGCTGAAATGTGGGACATCGCCCCATGCCCCACACGCGACGACCTACTCATTACCGTATGGGCCAAAGGTGTGCCTCGACCGTCGGAAGTGCTTGACAGCCTGACATCCCTCGCACTGCGCGGGGCTAGGACGGATCCCAGAGAGCTCCCTCAAGCCGTACATGGTGGTGGCAAAGGACGCTAGACGGCAGACCACCAACCGGAATAGGCATGCGGTTATGCAAGGGCCCCCAGCCCTTCCTTAGACCGGGATTGTCCATCTTTCCCATCATGCCCCTCACATGCTTGTCCACCTCCCCCAAGACACCTGTGGCCCCCTTGCATGTCTCCCTCACCTCAACCCCTCCCTGCAGCCGGCAGCTCCAGTGCCACCCTCTGGCGGGCTCCCGCGGGCGAGGGCGAGTCCGGGCGGGCGGCTGCGGGCGGGCAGCTGCAGCAGCAGGCGGAGCTGCCGGGGCACAGCAGCGCCATGAGATGGTACGACACACCCGCTACGCGCTCTGATGTCCTGTAATGATGAATAAAAGACCGCGCACCCCGTTAAGGAGCCGCGTCAGGGAACCGGAATTCAGACTGCCGGGGGTGGCCCGGCTCATGGGGTATTGAAAGGCCTGGGGGTAGTCCTGGGGCAACGAACATTGTGCGGTAACCATGCAGCCTAATGCGGAATTTGTATCCCTGTAAAACCCCCCCTCCCCTCAGCGCCCTGTGGAGCTCCCTGCAGCCGGAGACGGTGGTGACGGTGGAGGAGGGCAGTCTGCGCAAGTGGGCCATCACGGAGGCAGGCGCCGAGGTGCGGGGGGCATGAGGGGAGCGGGAAGGGTTAGGGAAGGGCTAAGGGAGATAAGTAAATGAAAAGGGCCGGGGGCGGAGGTGGGGGCTCAGAGGGGCAGGCGCGGATCTACGTTTCACGTGTGCCCCGTCATCGGCCATACCTCATTGGGGAGACACCTCCAGGTCGCCGGTATCGATTAACCTCCCACCCGTCGCCACCTCCTCCTCAACCCCTCACCTACACCCCCCCTCCTCTTTCCCCCCCCCCGTCGCCCGCCCGCAGCCCGCCGCCAGCTGTCCCGCCGGCGAGATGGTCCAGCTGTGGTCGGGGGCGCTGCACCCGCGGAACGCCTCGCTGCTGTGCACCGCGGGGAGCAACGACGTGCAGGTGAAAGGCAGCTGGGGAACATGGGGACATGGGGCTGTGACGGGTGGGTTTTGAGATCCTGTTGCAACCGTGCCCCTTTCCGTGCTTACCGGTAACTTTTTCTCCTAACATCGCCTCCTAACACCGCCCCTCTGATCCCCCGCCCCGGCGTCCAAACCCTGATGCTGCCTTCAGACTTGGGATCTCCGCAGCTTGAGTCGGCCCATGGGTGAGATCAAGATGGCGCACAAGATGCCGGTCCGCTCCATCAGCTTTGCGCCGCACAATGACACGCGGATACTCACCGCGGGGGATGATTGCAAGCTGAGGTTCTGGGACCTAAGGTGCGAGGGCGCTGTGACCCATGGGTCACCTAACGCAACTGCCGCTTATGATTAAGGCTAATTGATGTATCTCAGAAGTAGCGCTAGCTGCCTGCCCACATGGTGATTAGTACAAGCAAGCATGCCCAGCCTACCTTTGAAACCCCCACGCGCCTGTCTTCCCCGCACCCACCGCACCCCTCTCACCGCCCCCTTTCTCCCTCCCTCCCCCCCTCAGGAACCCCGGTCAGCCGCTGCTAGAGCTCGGCGGCCACCGGCACTGGGTGTGGCGCGCCGCTTACAATCCCGTGTACGACTCGCTGGTCGCCTCGTGCTCCTCGGACTGCTGCGTCAACCTGTACTACACACCCAACCTGACAGCGACGGCGGGGGCGGCAGGAGGGGGGGCAGCGGCGGGGGCGGGTGTGGTGGGGGAGCCGGGAGCTGGGGGGGCGGGTGCTGCGGCTGCTGCTCCGGCAGCGGGAGCGGGAGCAGCAGCGGCCACTTCGGCACATGCTGCGGGGGCGGGGGTGGGCAGCAGGGTGCCGCACAGGTCGGGTGACTTGGACGGTAAGGTGGTGAGCTGGGACGAGCACGAGGATAGCGTGTACGGAATGGCATGGAGCGCCGCTGACCCCTGGTTGCTGGCGAGTTTGTCGTTGGATGGTCGAGTGGCGCTGAACAAGGTCCCCAAAAACATCAAGTACAAGATTCTGATTTGAGGAGCGGACACGGTGGGGGGGAGGGTGCAGCTTTTTTCGTAATTACTTAAGGGAGGAGAAGGGGTGTGCGGGTGGTGCTCTGCTGTGGTGTGGGAAGCGAGCGTACATTGTTGGGAGAGGAACGTGGGTTAGGGCTGGATAGAGGCTTAGTGGGCTTTTGCTAGGGGGCTGTGGTGTGCATCTCACCCTTTTGACGCTGTGGTGAGCTGGTTAGGCGGCTTCCCTGTCTTGACACGTCTTGATAGAAAACACGTCTGTGAACCGCTTGGGTGCTAGCGATGGTGTGGGTTGAGCACGTCCTCCAACAGTGGTATGCACCGGCATGCTGGTCTGACTCCTTTACTGGACTGTCAGAGACAGGGGTACGGTGTGCTTCCTGTGCATGTGGAGGCTGTGCAAGTTGCTTCCGGCAATCGTGATCCCAGTTGACAGTCTAGCGGTGCCTGCATGAGAGGCCATATGGCCAATGTCCGCCAGTGCCTGAGCTCGTGCTTTAATACCGGTAAACTGGTCGCTCAGAGCGCGATACCTGCTACCGCACTTGTCTTGTTACCCCGCACTCATGCGTGGCTATACATTCCAGCTCTACATCCAGCGCTGCAGGGGGTAAGGGCCATGACAACCATATCACGCTTAGCTGGAGGCCAGTCGCATGCCTGGAGGAGCTGATGCGGAGCTGACGGGCACTTCCCTGTTCCTTTCTTTCCAACAGCTGACGAGGAGGGCCTGATCAGGTGCCGTACGCCCCTACCTGCACGGAAAGGATACCGCAGTAATTACTTGCTGGCCTACAGAGGAATGTTCTACCGAACGCGTATCATGCATTGTTTAAGGCCTAGTGATATATAGGATGCAAATTGAAGTACGCAGTTAAGATGCGAGGCAGATTGGTCGTTGCAAATTAGTGAAACATCTTGTTAGGGACAAAGCAAGCCGTTCTTCGTTTTCAAATAGAGCTTGGTTAGTAGCGTTAGACCTGGTGTCAAGACTTTGCTACGAATGAGGAAAGGGGCCATCCGAAAGGTCCTTTCCAGGAAATCAGATTTAATCAGGTATACGAACCGTGGGTCAGCAAGTGCCAGATGAGGCAAGCATGTCGAATGCCAAGCGCAGCTTTCTTAGTTAAATTTAACAACTTGGATACATTGCAGTCTATACTATTCAGTTAAAACGCCCCAAGAATTGTACCTTTTCACCTCGGACCTGTTTTGCCTTCCCGACGTCATTTCTCCCCCAAAACACTGCTCCTCAGGCTTGCTATCAACCCTAATATCCTCATCGGGCAATCAACAATACTGTAACCTCACTCCCCATGCGGCGCGCAGCCACCCAACTCCTCCTCGCATCCACCAAAAGCCTCCCCCTCCCCCCGGCTGCTGCAGCAGCAGCAGCAGCGCAAGCACCTTTCGCCAGCATCTCGCTGCCCCTCCTCAGCTACTGCAGCTGCAACGCCATTGTCACCACCGTTCCCTCCAGCGGCCCCTTCCAGCGGCTGCACCAGTTCAGCAGCGCACAACGCAGCGGCGGCATCCGGCAGCAGCATGCGGCAGCAGTTCAAGGAACTCCCCCTCCAAACAGCCCTGCCTGCACCCCCACCCCTACCTCCACCTCCACCTCTGCTTCCGGGTCGCTGCTAGGAGCGCTGCTGCTGGGGAGTGCGGGCGCTGCCGCCGCCAGCAGCCTGCTGGCTGCTGGCCCCAGTGGGGGCAGCAGCAGCAGCAGCGTCAGTCTGGCGGATGAGCGGGTGGCCGACACGGAGTTCACACCGGTGGAGGAGCACGGCTGGGGCAGGTGGGGAATGGGAGAGGGCCCCGCCAGCCGAACGGTGGCCCCGCCAGCCCCCTCTATGGCCCCCAGACGTGTCGTACCCCTGCTGCCAACTCCAGCTGCACCCGCCTCGCTCTACTCCCCTCCCTCTCCTTCCTCTGTCTGCTGCTCCGCTCCTCTCCCCCGCCCCTTCTACTAAAAGCTACCCTGGCCCTCGTCTCAACCCCTCAGGGAGGCCTACCCGGTGCCCGGCCAGGCTCCCGAGCAGAACCCCTACTCGCATGACAAACCGGAACAGCAGCAGCGGGATGCGCAGGGTGGGGTCGGGCGGGGAGGGGAGGGGAGGGGGAGGGGATGGGGCAGGAGAGGGAGGAGAGGGAGGGAGGCGCAGGGTAAGGGGCGGCGCCGGGGGCCAACAGAAGCATCAGGAGTTGAAGCCAGGAGCGCTGCGCCTGACCCGGTGTGCCTACCTTGCTGCCCTGTGTGGGACACGTACAGGTCCCTCATGTACGCTAGCTGCTGTCAAGGAATAGATTGCGGCGGCTGCTGGGAGCTGCTGCGTCCCAGCTGACCCTGCCTCCCTGCCTTCCCTGCTGCACCCTCCCACCCACACGCACACCCCTCCTCTCCACCCCTCCTCACTCCCCTCCCCTTTCCCACCCCCAGGCCTGCCACTGCTGCCCGCCCCCAAGACCTCCGCCCCCCGCGTGCCCCCGCCCTGCTCCCGCTCCCACCCCGCCCACCTCATCGCACAGCTGGAGAGCCGCACCGCCGACATAGCCGTCAGCCCCATGCACAAGTTCACCGCATGGACTTTCGACGGGGAGGTACCGGGGCCCATGCTGCGCGCGCGGGTGGGGGATGTGTTGGAGGTACGGCACACCAATCGCGACCGAGACGGCATCGGACACAACATCGACTTCCACGCGGTGTCGGGGCCGGGAGGCGGGGCGGCGGCGCTGTATGCGGAGGAGGGGGAGACCAGGGTGGGTGGAGGAGAGGAATGCCCGAGGAGATGGAGGGAGGTTGCTGGGTGGTGGGGTGGGTGGTGGTGGTGGGTGGGTTGTCTAGGACTTGACGGCAAGGGCGCTGTTGCTGCGGCGGTGGCCTTAATAACTGTCCCAACTTAACCCGGCTGCCGCAATGAGATGCGGTGCGGTGCATGCAAACCCACCGCCCCTTACCTTACCCCTCATCTATCCTGCCTCCACCCCACTTTGCTGCCCTCTGTCCCCCTTCCTCCGCCTGCAGCGTCTCACTTCTTGCTCATCCCCCTCCCTCCCTCCCTCCCTTCCGCCCCCCCCCCCCAACCTCCGCTGCCCAGGTTGCCACCTTCAAGCTGCTCCACCCCGGGGTGTTCATCTACCACTGCTCGGCCGCACCCGTACCCACACACATCTCAGCCGGCATGTGAGCTCTCGCTGCGCGCACAATAGCCGGCAGTCTGCCTGGCTGGTTCCGGTCTGCCTGCTTGCCTGGTTCCTGTGCGCCTGCTTGCCTGGTTCCTGTCTGCCTGTCTAGTTCCTGCTGGGCTGGGGAGGGCGGGGGTGGGGGGACAGGGCAGAGGGCTGGGCAGGGCTGCACGGAACAACCCATTCACCACTCACCCTAACCCTCCCTTCACCCTTCACCCCTCATCCCTCACCTCCCTCTCCTGGTGCCAGGTACGGTCTGATGCTGGTGGAGCCCGAGGGCGGACTGCCCCCCGTGGACAAGGAGTTCTACGTCATGCAGAGCGAGGTGTACGGAGAGGAGTCGGAGGAGGTGTGGGGGGGCGGGTGCGGGGGGGCAGGGAGGGGGAGGGAAGAGAACCCAGCTGCGATGGCCACCGGTGGGCAAGCCAGACACCCCGGGACCAGAGAGCCTGAGCTCCTCATCCTCCTGCAATGGCACTGCCTGCGGCACTAATACGGTACCTTATGGTGCTCAGGTGCCAGGCTGTGAGGACCTCTTTCAAATAACCGCCTCCCTGCCCACCCTCGTACCTCACTCTCTGAACTTCCCTCCCCATCGTACCCCCCCTCAACCCCCCTTCCCCTCCCCCTCTCCTCCCCCCCAGACCCGCGGCCTGCTGGACTACAGCTACTCCGCGGGGCTGTCCGAGCAGCCCACCTACGTGGTGCTCAACGGGGCGGTGGGGCAGCTCACGGAGCGGGCGCCGCTGCTGGCGGACCAGGTGCGTAAGGAATTATATGAGAAATGCAAACAGGTGGGGGGTGGGGCGGAGGGCCGGGTTAGAGAGAGTGTATGCATGCGTTTAGCAGTCAGTGCTAACATGTACATCAGTGCTAACACGCCGCCTCCTCTTGCCTCTTGTCCCCTCCCCCTCCCGCGTAGTGGGTGGGCTGGGCTTTGTTAGACCCATGGGTCATTTGCGAGGGTCGGGCAGGGTGGGATGCTTTGGTGCACACAGCCGCATGACAGCCCCAGCTAAGCAGCGGAGCTTACATACGTTATGCTGCTGACAGCATCGCAGCTGAGACATCAGGTCTAGCGCCGTGGAGCCAGTTATCACAGTTGCAGCCGCCTTTATTCGCCAATGCAGAGTGATCTCAGATCACCCCAGCCGCCACGGAGCTTACAATACGGTTTGTTATTGATTGATGCTACTAACTATACAACAACTACAATTATTTGATATCCCAACTATCCAGCGTAATGCGGAATCTGTTTGCAAATTTCCCCCTCCCGCCATGCCTCCCCTCCTCCTCGCCTGCTCCCCCCCGCTCAACAGGGTGAACGGGTGCGCATCTACTTTTGCAACGCGGGCCCCAACCTGGTGTCATCATTCCACGTCATTGGAACCATCTTTGACAAGGTGAGCGGGCCCCAGCACGGATCACGACACACTGCTGGGAGTGCTGAGCTTCCTGCGCGCCAATGACAATATGACGTCACGACCCATGGGTCATTGTCAACCCACGTTGCTTTCCAACTTGGGCGACGCTTGGGTATTGTCATGCTCGCTGGCTAAAGGACGAGGAATAGATTTCGCTTGCAGGCTACTAAGCTTGGGAACATAGCCGCACACCGAAACCAGGTTTGCTACCATCAGCGTGCTCTACACCCACACCTGCCTCCTCTCCCCTCTGTCCTCCCCTCCTCCTCCTCCCCTCCCCTCTCTCCAACCCAACAAGTTTGACTACCTGTACACAGTCCAAAAATCCAGCCTAATGCGGAATATGTATCCATATTAATCCCCTTCCTCCCTCCTCCCCTCCCTTCTCTCCCTCCTCCCCGCCGCAGTTGTACCGGGAGGGGGATCTGGTGTCGCCTCCCGCCCGCAGCGTGTCAACCACCCTGGTGCCCGCGGGTAGGGCAGGAGGGGGGGAGGGCGGAGGGAAGGGGGGAGGCTGGAGGGATTGCGGGTGGGGGCTGATGCGGATGTTCCAGTTGCTTCGCCCTAACCTGGGGTCTTGGTATGTCTCCCCCCCTCCTGCTCCCAGGCGGTGCGGTGGTGGTGGAGCTGGAGGTGCCAGTGCCCGGCAACTACACGCTGCTGGACCACTCCATATACCGCATGGACAAGGGCTGCGTGGGGTTCCTGAAGGCGCGTGGGGGTGGGGGTGGAGGCCGTGGGCTGCTTCAGCCCTGCGAGCGGTTCTGGGTTGGTGGTGCTGGTGGAGCCGGTTGGTGGTGAAAGGCGATCCTTCCCATTGGCCCCTTCATGCTTACATTCTTCAGCCCGGCGCCACTCCCTCCCTCCCTCCCCCTTATGAGTTGGGACATGGGATTGGAACTCCAGTCCTTCATTTCCCAAATCGGGACCCATTGCTTCACTTCTCACTAACGTTTCCCTTTCCCTCCCTGCTGCCCCAGGTTCGGCCCCGGGGTGGGGACCGGCGGCGGGACCTGTACGACTCCCTGGAGCCGCCCGTGCCCTGCCCGGGCTGCAAGCTGCACGGCTGATGAGAAGTAAGGTTGCTGTGCCTTCCCAGCTGGGTCCCTTTTGGCCCTTTCAATTTTTGCGGGTTGTTGCGGGTTGTTGTGTCTGTTGCCTGTCGTTGGGTGATCTCAAGAGTGCGTGTTGAGCTGATGTGGTGGTGCTGTGTACACGAGCATGTGGCGTTTGTTGGAAAAGCAGGCTCCAGGATGGAGTGGCAAGGTTGATGTGCGGTTTTGATTGTAACTGGTTGACTTGTTGCGTCTGTTGATTGACCCTGAACACCTGAGTTGCACAGTACATGTTGTCTTGGCATGGCATTGGCCAACAGTTGGGTATGACAAAGTTACCGCTTAACCTGGCTATTGAGCTGTTTCTTGTATCGGCCCTGTTTAGAGATGGCGTAACGGGGCGAGACTGTGCCAAGGCGCTTCTTCTCAAAGTTGGCAATCGGGTGTGTACTTCCATGTCTCATCTTGTCCCACGGGTCCAATCGGGTTCCAACGGATGCTTCCTCTGAGTTTAGTTTGGGGGCAAGGTTGACTTGTAAAGATAGGAGTTGCTATTTCATGGCGTGGCTATGTTCCTAAAGGATGCATATACTCAAAGGCTGCAAGCATGTTCGGGCTCACGCATCCCAAGTGTCCCATGAAGAGTTCCTAGTTATCTTGCTTCCCATCCTCCAACCAAGCTCAAAGTAAAGTTAACGGCACTCCTATAACCCACTAGGGGTTTGCGAGGGCGTAGTGGCTAACTAACGTAGGATCGTACTGACGGACAATGAATAGCACAGGTAGCGGATATACAAAGATCTATGCATATAATTGACACGCCTAGCATACTAGCCGCTGGACTGAAGTCGATAATCCCATCAGACTGTGTACGACGGCGGCTTTGCCACAAACTGAGCCAGGCTTCACTCCTTGTTGGCTTACTTGCGATCGTTTTCTTCTCGTCGGATTAAGTTAGGAAGAATGGCAACCCTCCAAATTTCGCGTGGTGTCTTTTCTGCGCGCACCTCAGCGCCAGTCAGGAGCTTGGCCTCGGTCCGGACTGTGGCTACCCCTGTTTTGGTCAGCCCTCGTAGCTCACAAGCTAGCTCTTTCTTGGGCGGTGAGACTAGTATAATTTGCTGCTGAGATAGGACAGTCTTAAGACTTATCGTGTGGGTGTGCTTTCAGAGGCAACGCTGGTCGCGCCATCTTCGGGGATGAAATGGACCATGATGCGCCACGGCAACAAGGTTAAGCATCTTGGTCGCCCAGCTGACCAGCGCAAGGCGCTCATTCGGTCGCTAGTGACCGAGGTGATTCGCCACGGCGCAATTCGCACAACAAAGGTATAACAGGTTACAATGCGAGTAGGTTAGTGCCTGACATTTTCGGTGAAGCTGGAGGGTGGAGTCTTGTGGGCTTCCTAGCGGATGCCACAAGTTATATGCTAAGCCGCGGTCCCCTTGCAGGTGAAGGCAATGGTTATTCGCAAGTACGTTGACCACATGATCACCCTGGCTAAGAACGGCTCCTTGCACGCTCGTCGCCAGGTACGCACTGGTGCCCTGCAATTCCTCCCAATCGCTCGTGCCCCAGAGAAGCGGACGTTCGCACCGCGTTTTCCGCTACTCGCTGACCTCCTCCCCTCTCATACCGTTAACCTCCCTCTCCTCCCCTTGTCCTCTCCCTCGTCACCTTCCTTTCCTTCCCCCCTCCCTTCAGGCTCTTGGCTTCATCTACGACAAGGACCTGGTTGCCAACCTGTTCGACAATGCCCCCGAGCGCTACGCGGACCGACAAGGCGGCTACACGCGCGTCAAGACGGAGCCCATGCTCCGACGCGGCGATGCCACTGAGATGGCCATCATCGAGCTCGTGTAGAGCAGCTGCGGCAGCAGCAGCGGCAGCAGCAGCGGCAGCAGCAGCGGCAGCAGCGCCTTGTGGCAGCAGCCGCGGCAGCAGCGCCTTGTGGCAGCAGCTGCGTTGGGGGCGGCAGGAGCAGCTCCAGCTGTATCTTGCGGGGGCGGCGGCGGCAGAGGAGCAGCGGTGGCGGCAGAGGAGCAGCGGTGGCCATTCAGCAGCAGGAGAGCGTCAGGGGCGGCGGTGTTGCTTGCTGGCCTGCAGCAGCGGCTGAGGCAGCAGCGGTGGCAGCAGCAGCAGCTGCAGCGGCAGGCAGAGGACTAGCCGGGGATGCAAGCTGCGGTAGCAGAGGCTGCGTTCTGCGCTCAGCTGGGACTTGCCGTGGAGGAAGCCTGCCTACCTGTTTACGGCTGGAGCGGCTGTGTTGCTGGAGGACGATTGCTGAGGGGCTTGGTGCTGAAGATGAGGACGATGTGCAGCATGCTAAGGGAGGCATGGAGTGGAGGGTTTTCCCCGGTCAGGCATGGGAGCTGGGAAGGGGCGGGGCTACCGGCGGTTAGCGGTTTTGCGGCTGTGGCGGACTGGGGGGCATTATAGCAGCAGCGGGCTCGGCAGCGGCGTTAGCATGCATGGTGCTCTCCCGTAGGGTGGCCTGTTGAGGAAGGAGGAGTGCGCTCTGAAGGGTTGCGGCGCTCTGCGGGTGCTGGTGCTGCTGGGGGGTCGCGCCCCTTTACAGCCTGTTGTTGGCAAACACAGACCTGGCATCAGACCTGTGGGCCCCCTGGCCTCGGTCACGTCCCAGGCCGCAACCCGTTTCATGAAAGGGGCCGTTTTGACTTATTATGGATGTAGATGTGGGGGCTGGGAAAGAAGACGAAGGTAGGGTCCTGGTGACGGGGTGGTTGGGGCCGATTGCTATTATGACTGCGTTTCTGAGAGAGTGTTCTTTGCCGACACGCTAAAGGCGATGCACAGGAAGCGTTGCGAAAGGCGAGGGAGGAGGTGTGAATGTGTCGTAGAAGTGGCGACGCTTGGTATCCACGGTTTTCGGCAATTTCGTGGGGGCTGTGTATGCTGCCAAGATTTCGGGCTGCAATGCAAATTTTCCCGTTTGCACGTTTTGCTGCTTGTAATGGAATTGTAATGGAAGAGCAGGAGAAGATAGCAGGGTGGAGGGGGTAGTGCGATGTGTTTGGGACATCACACTTTTAAGCAATTATCCCTCCACCCTAGCTTTGTGCGGTGCGTGTCCAGGCATATAAGCCGCATAACCACTACACAGCGAGAACGGTCTTCAAGCTACCGAAGAGTAAGGTAAAGTAAAGCCAGCTGGTCACATCCCGGACTCACGCAAGGGGCTGTCACATCCTGGGTTCACATCCATCCTGATATACACATACATGGCCACACAGAAAGCTCATACGTAGTAGCAGTAGTGGTAGTCGCCTCGCAGCACTCGGGAGGAGTGTAGGTTGAGGCTCGCCCCCACCAATCTCACGTGAGGAGACGCCCGGCTGCCACCGTCAACGCACTCGCTGCTGCTGCCGGTACCCACAAGCCGTAACTCCTGATGCGCACACCTGCCCTCCTCAAGCGTTCCTGCACTCCCCGGCAACCCATCTCCCCTAACCATCCCTCCTAACTCACAACCCCCTCTCGTCAGCATCCTTCCTCCTCCTTACCACCCTCACCACCTCCCTCCTCCTCCTCCCGCCCCTCACAGCGGGAAGTCCGGAAACACCGCTGCCAGCTCGGGGCACGCCGCCGGGTCCAGCGGCGTCACCCGCCCTCCCGCCGCCACATGCGGGATCCAGGTCATGGGCTCCTCCGGGCACCGCAGCGGCAGCAGCGGCAGCTCCTCCGCCCTCACCCAGCAGGCGCCCGCGGACTCCACGTCGGGCAGCGTCTTGCAGCGGTAGCGAGTGGGCGGGTGCGGGGAGGCGCCTGGCGCAAGGTGGTGATGAGCTGCTGCTGCTGCTGCGGAGGAGGAGGAGGAGGAGGATGCATGGATTGCTGTTGATGGTGAGGGTGAGGGTGCGGGGCCAACAGGACGCTGATGGGGATCAACAGTGGTAGCAGCAGCGGCAGTGGTGGTAGTGGTAGTGGTGGTGACAAGCGCTCCGCAGCTGCCGCTGCCATGCGTTACGGCAATGGCAGCAGCTCCGGCTGTCGTGAGCGCTGCACCCTGCTGCTCCTGCTGCAGCACTGTCGCAGGGTGGTCGAGGAGGGGTTCCGCCAGGAAGATGATTCGGCGCCACATGCCCCGCCGCAGTGACTCCACTGTTAGGATGCCCGTGACCTGGGGGAAGGGAGGCGGGAGGCGGGAGGCGGGGTGTGGGAGGGGTAAAAAAATTAAATATGTAAGGGGGAAGGGGGAAAAAAGAAATTCCAAAGTGTGGTGTGATAATGATATAAGTTGCTGACAATCCCTTCCCAAGGGGGAAGGGGGAGGATACTTCACCAAGCCCATGCGACGCTGACGTAACCCACAAGTTACACACATCCGGCCCCTCAAACAACCCATCTGGCGAACGGGTATTTCTTCTTCCTCTTCTTTCCCCCGCTGCTGCTCCCCCTCCCCTCACCACCCGACCCCCACCCCGCTACCCACCACAATGTCCAACCCCGCCTCCTCCCGCGCCTCCCGCACCACCCCCTGCCGCAAGCTCTCCCCCGGGTCCACCCCGCCCCCCGGCACCCAGTAGCCCTCGTGGTAGCGCTCCTGGGGGGAAGGGAGGGGGGAGGGAGGGGGGAAGGAGGGGGGAAGGAGGGGGGAAGGAGGGGGGAAAAGAAATTCCAAAGTGTGGGAGGGGGGAAGGAGGGTTGAAAAAGAAAAACACATGTTGGTAATGAGGGGGAGGGGGGCGGAGGGGTGAGGCGAGGCAGCAGGAGGCTTGCCAGATGCGGACGAGGGGTGTAGGGGTGTAAGGGAGGGGGCGGGATACCGCTATACGGTGAGAGCCCCAGAGCCCCAAACGCTGCCGGTAACCCTCCTCGCCGCTAACCCACACACCCAAGCAGGCTCACCTGCACTAGCAGGAACTTTCCGTCGGAGGGTCGTCGGATGATGGCCAGTGCGAACACGCCCGTCCGCTCGTCCACCAGCGGCGCGGGGCCGTGCGTCAAGTTGATGTGGCGCGTGAGGCGCGAGGTGGGCTTGCTGCAGGCGGGGCAGGCAACATTGCCCTTGTCCAGCTGAGGCGGGGGGAGGTGGCACAGTTTGGGTGGGGAAGGGAGGCGGGAAGGGAAAGGAGGGAAGAGGAGGGGTGCGGGAATTAATGGTACTGGGAGTAGCAGTTTGCAACGGGTGTTAAGGAAGCTACGTGCGTTGCTTGTTGCGAACATCAGGGCAGAAGAAGCTGCAAACTGTCCTAACCGGAGGTATACCGTAGGTTTGAGCGTGCCGCCCATCCATCCGCAGACCTGTTCCCAAACAGCGCAAACCTTTCTTTTCCCCCTTTCCCCGTACCTCGTAGATGTGGTACAGGGGCTGATGCTGCCAGAGCTCCAGGGTTGACAAGCCTGACAGCCCGCACCAAGGGCATTGCAAGTTGCCATTGCCATGCACGCCTGTGATGAGGCGAAGCGCCTCTTGTAAGTGTTCCTCGTCATTGGTGACCATGCGAGCTCCAGCTTCGAACGCCTTGATGCGTGCTATAGGATCCTCCGTCGCGTCCGGATGCCAAACGACGATGAAGCATGTGCGAGAGATGTACGTAAGCGCTGAGATAAGCCGGAAATCCCAGTGTGGCAACGCTATAATCACTGTTAGCAGGTTTCTTGGACTGGTGGAGACCCACTGTTGAAGTTGTGCTAGATCTGCTGGCAAGACTTTGAGGAAACCTGTTGAAGATGCTGCCGGAAGAGCCCCAGCTGTTGGCCAAACGCACAACCCGTGAGCGTAGTTCGACATAGCTTTAGCACTAAGGTTCCGACGATATCTAGAGACACGAAAGCAGGCTGGAAAGCAAGGTGGTGCCAGTTGCTTGCTCAACGGCAACGAAGCAGGCCTGCGGCTAAGCATGTGTGCCGGTTGCACCCGCTATAATCACTGCTAACATCCTTGCTAGCTCATCCCATTAGCGCTGATTGTTGCCCTATTCACTAGGTTTTGCCGTACCTTCCTACGAATGCCCTCAATGGCGATGTTCCATCAGCGATGGTCATTGGTACTCATACCCTTCTTGCTACATACGTTTTCGATAGGCCAATCAAGGTACAAGCCTGCAACCAAAGGACGTAAGCGACACAACAACATACAATGCATGTTACATTCATCACCACAGGCGGAACCATCTTCCAAAAGCATGACCCCACAACAGGGCGTATGTTAATAGCCGCAAGCCTATCCGATCTACTATCTCAGTCCTGGCTGACGACCCAGGGCGTCTCGTCCTTCCATCACGTGGATCTTGCCGTACGAAGCGGAGCCGAGCTGTCGTACGAAACCATCTTCGCAGCTCGCGATGCCATCACCGCCAATCTGAACAGCTCCTCAGCCTTTGTCCTGGTTACCGGCACCGACACGCTCGAGGAGTTTGCATTCTGCCTGCAGCTTCTGCTGGGCTCCACGCTGGTCCGCGCATCCGCCTCGCTGGTGGTAACAGGCGCCATGAAGCCAGCGGACATAGAGGGCTACGATGGCATCGCTAACGTACAACAGGCAGTACAGGTACGGCAGTGCACATGCCGTACAAGTGCAGGGAGAGCGTCGTGAGAGCCGTACATGCAGACCTGTCCATCATACCCTTTTCCCGCGCTTTCCCAACTCTACGGGTCCATTCCCCCCGACCATCCACCTGAGCTGCCATAGCCATGTTACAGTAAGCACAAGCCGCCATGCGAAGCACGTGTATGTGTCGACTCCGCACCTCCACACCTACCTGTCACCCTCCTGCTACCCGCCACCCGCAACCTCTCTATCCACCTAATCAACCCTCCCCCCCCCCCAGGTCGTTGTTTCACTTTTATATAATCCCCCCCCCCCCAGGTCGCCACATGCCGCCACTCCGGCGCCTTCGGAGTGCTCGTGTCGCTCAACGACTGCATTCATATGGCCAGATACGTGGCCAAGGCGGACAGCCAACTCATGGGCGCGTTCCGGTCGCAGCCTGCCGGACCCGTGGGTCAGGTACGGTACGTGTGTGGCCAGGTGCCTACCCTAATTCCCTTTGCTTCCGTATCCCCATCCCACAACCCCGCACCCCATACCCTACCCCCTGCTGCCCTGCTGCATGCAACAGGTGCGGGAGGGCAAGGTTCGCTTCTACTACGGCCCGCCTCCGCCTCCATCTGCACCTCCACCTCCATCCCAGCCACCCTCACCACTTCCATACACCCAGGAGAAGGATGAGGAGAGCGTGGAGGCGGAGCAGCTCGCCCGCCTGACCGCCTCCGCAGTCCTCCCCTGGAGCCGAGTGGGCATCTGGGTCACTGGCGTCAGCGGTTTCTTGCCCGAAGCTCTGCTTCAAGGCGTGTGCGGTCTTGTGTTGGCAGCTCCCGGCACCGGCAGCCTCTCAGCAGCCCTCATGGAGCAGCTAGCCGCCTGGACTCCCCGCATCCCGATTGTCCTGGTGTCCCGCTGCGCAACCGGCAATAACTATGATGACTGCTACTATCGGGGCAGCAGGGAGAAGTACGAGCGGCTGGGGCTGCTGCTGGGTGGGTTCGAGCATCTGAATGCCTTACAGGCGAGGAACTTGTTGGTGTTCAGGTTAGCGGCGGGGTTGTACCCAAAGTACGGCAGGGGAGTCATGATGGGGGAGGGGAGGGAGGGAGGTACAGGGGGGGTTGCGGGTGGGACAGAGGGGGTAGCGGGGAGTGAGTGAGGTGGCGGGTGGCGGCCCGCGATGGCAGTTAGCGGCGGTTAGCGGAGGGTGGTGGGGCGGTGGTGGTGGCGGCTGAAGGAGATGGGAACGGCAGCGGTGGTGGTGGCGCGGAGGGTGGGCCGGATGGCGCAGAGGGTTTCCAGCGGCGCTGTTGCGGCACGTAGGAGAGCATCACGGTCGCTGCACGTTAGGCGGTTTCCTGCAGCAAATCAGAAGCGCTACCGGTATACAGCAGTTACCTGAGCACCATACGGCAGACATGCTCGTCTGTTAGCGTAGCGGATCAGGCACCGCCTAGGCTGGGCTGGGCAGGCCCCAAGCGGCGGCCTGTGAGGAATTATGGCCCGGCCTGACCTCACTTCTGGCAGTGTCCTTGGCCCGCTGGCTCGTACGGACACACTGTTCGCGTTTAGAGGGTAATTGCAATCGGTTGCAGTACAACCGGAGTATAAATGTACTGCATGGCAAGGAAGCTGCTGCTGGACGCGAGCTTGTCTAGCCGAGGGAACACATATGTCACATCAGGTGTCTCGTCTATAGTTAAGTGTCTTGTCTAATCCCCCGACAAAGCGGTCACGTAATACTTCATAATCACTGAACACTCATTAGCAGCGGCTACAACCACCCCACTCACGACATTCCTCGCCTATTCTCCCTAATCAGCACTCTGCTCTCCTCTGTTCTCTTCCCCACAGCCCTGCTCTCCTCTCCCCGACCAGCATGTCGTAAGCCTCACAACACAACATGCGACAACCCCCGCACCGCCCCCCGCAACAACACCCCCGCATTCGCATCCGACAACCCCGCACCATACCGCCCCCGTACCACTCCCGCGCAACGAGCCGCCTCCACTCTCGCCTGCTCGCTGTCCTCCCCCTCGTTCCCTGCTTGCTGCTCCCGCCTCCGCCTCCACACCTTGACCGCCAGGTACAGATGCAGGTCGCTGTTGGGCGCGACTGCCGCACACACATCCAGCTGTCGCTGCAACGCAACCTCGGCCTCCGCATGCAGACCCAACGCCTCAGCGAAGGCGACATGCTGGCTAAAAAGGTCGAAGGCGCTGGCACGAAGCCACTGTTGCTGCTCTTCCGGACACGACCCGTGGGTCGCCGAGCTCTGCAGCAATGGCTGTTGCTGCTGAATGAGCTCCTCGAGGAGGCGCATGTCGGCGTGGACATCCAGTAACGCACGTTCCAAGTCGGCGTGAGGTGCTTGAGAGGCTCTACCTCTACAGGACGGCATGCTGGACGACGATGAAGAGCTGCTACTGCTGCTACTGCTTGGCGCCGCCCGCTCCTGCTCCCGCTCCTGTTCCTGTTCCTGTTCATGTTCATGTTCCTGCAGTGTCTGCCAGCGCTCCTCACAACGACCCAGGATGCCCTACACACATACAAAGGGCCCGGTTAGGCCGGTTTAGCGTATGTAACTATGAATGTACGGGTTGGCGCCCAGGCGTGCAGGAGGAGGTAGGTGTGGTCCAATCCCAGCAGCAGCAAAGGCAGCGGCAAAGGGGGCAGCAGCGGCGCTTGACAATGACGTCACCGCCAGCAAACTGAGTTTGGGGGCTAAGTGCGTCGTACGGCAATACCCATGCTATACGGCCCGGCTCCCTGCCTCCCAGCTCCCACCTGCACGCCCTCCGCAAAGCCGTTCGCAGCACCCTTCCCGCCGCTGCCTCCACCGCCGCTGCTGTTACTGTTACTGCTGCCGCTCTCCCCGCATTCACACAGCATCTCAGTCCGGCAGCGCGGGCAGTCGCAGGAGAAGAGGTAGCCCGCAGCTAGCGCCGCCTGCCGCTCAGCCACGGGGCGCAAAGAGGCGCGACCCAGGTAGTTAATCAGCACCTCGCCGCCCTTGGGGGGGAGGCAGGAGGGGCAGAGGCGTAGGGGAAGGAGGTGGCGGAGAGGGATAGAGAGAATCAGGGCGTGAGGGAAGAAATAAATGGAAGGTAGAGAAAGGGACGCGCAAAGTAAAGGTACTCAGAGAGGAGGTCGTCGTCAATCCCCAAGCTGACGCTGTTAACACCGCCCTTGAGGGCTGCTTGATGGGCCCGCCTTCAATGCCCTCAACGCTCCTGAGCATCCTCCCAATGCCGCTACCGCGCCCCAGACGCCATGCCCCAACCCCCTTTCCAACCAGCGCCCTTACAATCCCAGGCAGCAAACACCACCCCCTACTCCGCCAACCCCTCCGCCCCCTCCTCACTACAACGTAATGGCCCTAATGGGTACCTTTTCCCCTGCTGTCGTACCTGAGGCACCTGCTTGGCCGCCACCACCGCCATGCTCCCCCCGACCAGGAAGTTAACCGCGTTGGGCAGGCAGGAGTGGTTAAGGCGGCTGAAGGAGGGGAACAGACCCAGATGGCCGAGCTGCCCCGCAGCAGCATCCTCACAGGCGCTGGCAGTGCTGATATCGTCAACGTTGGCGCCGCCGCTTTGGTTGCTGCTGTGAATGGATTCCGCTTGAAGGCTGCCAGAGCGCGCGAGGTGAGAGGGGAAGTCCGTGTGCTCCTCACCAAAGGCATTGCAGCCTGCAGCTGATGGCATTGGGTAAATGGAACCGTATCGTTTAACGCCAGAATCACGCGTATCGCCATCCACTAAAGCGCACCTATTATGCCATAAAGCTTGTCGTCGTCCAGTTCCCGTTCACGGCCTTCGTCGTCGGCTTCGTCGTCATCGTTGCCCGAATACAGCGAAGAAAGGGCCCTCAGTTTTTCAGGGCTCAATTCAGATGAATAAATCCTACATAAGGTGAGTCATGGTTACGCCGCGTTCCGAGGGAAAAGCAAGCAGATGTTGGGCAATGGACGGTTGAACTCACGCGCTCACCAGCTCCTCCGGCGACGGAATGCTGCCCATAGGGCATTTTACTAAAGCAATTGGCTCGGATACCAGTACAAGCTGGCCGGGCTGAAGGTCTGCCGTCGCGACGATTCCCTGACCACGACCGGGGATGTCGACGACTTGCACCGGTCCCTGATACTCGCGGGGAGCTGGTGCTCCTGGCTGATACGCATCTTCAAGCGAGTATAATTGCGGTGATGGTGCACACAGCGCAACACTAACGACACGCCCCCGTGGTCGAAAAGCTGCTCGCCCTTGATTGACATGTAGATGCCTAGATGTTGGCTGGAAACACCTAAGCCTCATGCCTGATAAACAGTGAATATTAAGTGCAAAAAGTGAAGCCGGTAAGATGACTTCCTTCCTAGTGCTTGTACATGGAAGTCCACGGTCGTACACAGCCATATGCTGTTATGCAGCATGCCACTATACTTTGAGACTCCCCAGCTCTACTGGCTAACAAGCGCTTTACGCCCGGGGACTGGAGCCAGAGGAGGCACCTGCGGAGCCACTGAATGCCTGTGTTTACCATCCAGCAGGTGGTTGACGGTTTGTTGTAATGTTGACCGTTGCAATGTATCGTGTCATAGGGAAGGGAACACGGATAATGATTTGCTGTGTGTATTTCGTTGAATAACCGGTACAGACTTTGAGCTTGTCTGTAGCAACTAGCAAAGCTACGGCACACGAGTCTGTGTGTACATGCTAGACTGCATGTGTCACGAGGTTGCCAAGCAGTGGGCTGCTGCTGGTAGTTCCGCGCAGCTTTGGAGCCCATTGATGCCCGGTGCACGATGCTGGCGGCTCCGTGCAGTGTTCGAGCGACCCTAAGATGCCGGGTGCACGATGATATGCAAGCTGTGCAGGGTGGTGGGTTACCGTCACGTTCCTTGCCGCACTTCACCACAGCCAGGCTGAGTGGCTTTGTTGTTACATAGTTCGTGATACAGCCTCCCTTCTTTGGCCCCTTGAAACATATATATCAGCATTAACCGGTATGCAAGGAGATACCCGGCTACAGCCTGGACCAACCCCTTGCCCGCCACCAGTCAAAAACCACACACGAGGTAACGAGGACCACGCCAGATGCTTACCAGCTCTCTTTCAGCAGCTCTCGCCACAGGCCTTAAGGGGTGACATGAAACCAATGAAGAATGCCGTATCCGCTGTACATGTCACGTACCAGGGATTCCAATCGACAGCAGAATGTACACACACAGGTCCAACCACACAGGTCTTTGCTGCGGTTAGGCATATATACAAATATTTTTCATCCATATATACATACATGCATCAAGCATCGCCCTCTCCCTACACATCCGCCACCTACCCAACATTCCACATCTCCCAACACGCCTCTCTCAAACCGCCGCTACCTTAGCAGCGCCGCATCCCTCCTCACCCACCTTCCTCGCCGCCTTCCAGCCGCCTCACCCGCTCCCCACGCCATCACCACGACCCCCTCCCTCGCTCACCCTCACCCCCGCCCAACCCCCCGCCCTCCTAGTGCCTGTAGAAAAGCTCGGGCCTCTCCAGCCGGTCCGCCATGCACACCCGCACCTCCGATACATCAAAGGGCGCATGCAGGAACTCGAATCCCGCATGCGACAGCGGCTCCACGGGGTGTCGTGCGCCCAGGATCTTGTTGGAGGCGGGGTCCACCACGTGGCAGTAGGACTGCACCAGCCGCAGTCGGTGACCCTGGAGGGGGGGTGGAAAAAAGTATATATGTGAAACAACGAATCCCAATTCCATATGGGGTTTGGGGGGTTGGAAGGAGGAGAAGGAGAAAGAGTGCTCAGAGAGATACACCACAGAACCACAGGCTAGGGCAAAGGGCAAAGCAATGGGGAGATATTGAAGCAGTTTGTGAGGGCTGATTGGGTATTCTTCTCCCTCCCTCCCACCCCACCCCACCCCACCTGGTACTCCACAAAGTTGTTGATGTGTCGCGGCGGGATGGTGGGGCAGTGCGCCAGCGGTGCCAGCTCCACGGTGCAGCGCCGGAAGGCCTCCAGCAGGGCGGCAAGCGGGGGCAGCACCTCGGGGGCGCAGCAACCGGGCTGGGGGGGTGAGCGAGGGGTGTCAGAGAGGGGGAAGGGGGTCAGAGAGAGGCCGAAGCAAGTGAAACCACATGTTAGGGCAAGGCATTGGGGATGGGAGGCGGCAGGCAGGTGGAAGTTGAGAAATTAGATGGTACCGTATTAGCACCTACCCCCGTCCCACCCTCTAACGTCCCCTAGTGTACCGTAATCCGTAAAGCCCAGCACCCATCCCATCTGCTGTGTCCCATCACCACTCCCGCTTCTTCTTACATCCAGTATCGCGCCCATCTTCTGCGTGACGTCCCGCCACCGCGTCAGGAACTCCGCCAGCAGGTGGTGGTCCCCCAGCAGGGCCGGGAAGCCCGCCAGCACGGGGTCGGCGGCGGGCGCGAAGGGGCCGGGCTGGCGCGCCAGCAGCAGCGCGGCGGCCATGCGGTAGGTGGCGAGCGCGGAGGCGAGGTCGGGGGTGGCCAGCAGCGTGGGGGGCATGAAACTGCGGAGGAGGGGAAGAGATGGAGGGAGGGAGGGAGGAGGGAGCAGGATGGGAGGAGAGGAGGAGGGCGAAGGGAGGGGAAGAGGAGCAGGAAGGAGACACAGGGAAAAGGAAGGAGGCCCTTGGCCGCGCCCCTTGCCTTCCCTTGTCCAACCCGTGCCCCCCCTGCCTCCCTGCACACTCACGCGTACGGCACCAGCGGCGGCTTTCCCTCGCTCAGCGGGCCCACTCGGAACTGCAGCACCGGGCTGTCGTGAGACTTGAAGGCGGACAGGAAGGGGGACTGCCTGCAGAGGGGGGGCAAAACAATTATACCGGTATCAGTGAAACAACGAGTCCCAATCCCATATCCCGACTCATGCAGTGAGCGCATTCGAAGACACTGTCCTAGAAGCAGGGGGGGCGGGGAGGGAGGGAGGGGGGCAGGGAGGGTGATTCGTGTCTACCCTTGCCAACGGGACGGCGACTGGCGGCCCAACACCAACCCTGCACCTGGCAGGGCATTGTCCCCACTCTTCTCGGTGCATCACCCCTCCTTCTACCCCTATTGCTTTGCCTTAATCTGTGGACTGTATGGTTTGGTTTATCTTCTACCATCCTTTCTCTGCGCATGCTCGGCCTTACTTGCGCTTTTCCTCGTAGATGGCGGTCATGGGCTGCGGGTTGTAGATGGATCCGTGGTAGAGCGGCACGCTGATCTGCACCTCGCGTTGCAGCCCCGTGCACTTGCGGAAGCTGATCATGGCCCAGCAGGTGTTGATCTCGTCAAGAAGCTGGGCGGACTGCGGGGGGGGGGAAGGGAAAAAAGAAATTCCAATGTGTGGTGTGATAGTTGTAGGAAGGGAGGAGGGTATAGAGGCAAACTAACACTTCACGGGTGCTGGAACGCTTCGCTTCGACATTGCTACTACGGCAACCCCTAACAACCCATGTTTTACGGCCATTCGCAATCGGGCTGTTCCACGCCTGTGCTGCGAAGTACTTGGGGGGCTGCTCCCTCCCCCTCCCCCGCTGCTCCCTTTCTCCTCACCTTTCCCTCGTTCTGCGGCATGTTGAGGGTGTCCATCACGGAGAGGCGGTACGACACATTGAACTCCACGAACAGAGACAGCGCCTCATCCGACACCAGCCGGGTGCCCGCCTGGGGGTCGGACTGCGGAGGGGGAGGGAGGATGGGGGGCGGATGGGTTTCAGGTGCGGGTGGGTGGTATGGAAGGGGCTGGTACGTACCCTGGTCAATTCCTCACTCCAATCCCTCCTCCCTCCCACACATTGCGTATCCTTCTTTCCCCTCCCCCCCCTCCCACCTGCACGCAGCCGCAGCGCACCACCACCCGCTCCTCGGTGTTGAAGTTCCAGCGCTTGTCGTACTGCGACACCCCGCTGGGCCGCAGCCCCAGCACATTGCCCAGGAAGCGGTTGGCGCGCCGGTCGAACAGCGCCACGCGGGCGATGTAGAGGCAGGGCTGGCGCACGCGCTGCAGACCTGCGGGTCGGGAGGGGGATTGGTGGGGATGCATATTCCGCATTAGGCTGGAGGGAAGGAGGAGGAGGAGGGAAGGAGGAGGAGGACGGAGAGGTAACTTAACATCTCCAGGGTTACTTAGAACGAGGTGTAAAGTGCCACCGTACGGGAAGGTGGACCGAACCGATGAGGATACTGTTTACCTGCATTCCCCTGCACTCCTGCTTTCCCCGCCCCCAGTCCCCCCTTGCTCACCCGTCTTGCCCACCCCGTCCGCCTGCACCAGCGTCAGTCCGAACTGCCACACGCGGGCGCTCTCGGGCTGCAGCGCCCCCTCGGGGCTGTAGCTCAGGTCCACGAAGCCCTGGCCGCCCGGCTCCAACACCGGCTCTAGCAGCTTGCGGAGCCTGAGAGGGGGGCGGGGTGGGGGTGTAGGGGGGGGGGAAATTATGTAAAAGTGAAACAACGAATCCCAAACCCATAGCCCGACTCATGCAGTGAGCGCATTCGGAGGCACTAATAACACGCATCTCAAATTACTCAAATTATTGTAGGGGGGGGGGGCGGTGGAGCATGGGAGCGAAGCAGGGAGAAGGAGGAAGGCAGGGAGTGATGTGTTCGTAGGGTTAGATAGGTATATCAGGTGCATCACAGTCGAGCAGTTAAGCACGGAGTTCGGAAGTGTAAGACAGCAGCAGCAGCAAAGGAGCACCTCCTCCTCCGCATGCAGTCCTGCCCTTTCCCTCGCTCCACCCCCCGCCCCCCACTCACCTGTTCTGCCCCGCCTTGAGCTTGGTTTGCAGCAGCGAGGGGCGACAGTTGGGTCCCAGCCGCTGCCCGGGTGCCGCCCGCTCCACCGCGGCCAGGTAGGCGAGGCGGGGCGGCGCACTGGCGTCCAGCAGCTTCTCACGCGCCTCGCCTGTGGGCGGAGCAGGGCGGGGCGGGGCGGAGCAGAGGGTGGTGGGGGGAGGGGGAGGGGGTCCAGGTTAGTTCGGAGGAGGGTTCGCGTTCACCGTTTTCCACCTTCCCCACCCCCATGCAGCGCACCATCCCCCATGCGGCCCCCCTCTCCCCCGTTCAACACAGCCAGCACACCGGGTCTTCGTTTTTTTCCCTCCCGCTGGTTCCAGTACTTTGACACCTGGGACGCCATCATCCTCCGGCGTACTGGTATTACGGTCAGGGCCACACAGCAATTCTCGCGGCTCCGTTACGTATCTACCCCACCACCACCACTCACGCATTCTCATTCAACACATTGGATATTCTTCATTTACCACTACTCACGTATGTCGACCACCCTGGGCGCCACCCCCTGCTGCGCCAGTCCCGTCATCACCGCCTGCGCCTGCCGCGCGTTGAGCTGCAGCCAGGGCCCCTCCCCGGCTGCTGCTGCTGCTGCGGGTCCCAGCAGTTGGTCTAGCGGGAGGGCGGTGTCGGCAGGCGGCTGGCTCCAGTACTGGGAGGAGGGAGGGAGGCAGGGGAAGGGGTACGGGGAGAGGAGATTTGGAGGGACGCAAGGAACAATACCGAGGAATGGTGATCTCAGACCCACTCACGACCTAAGAGGGCTGTGCAGTGCTCTTCTACCCTGTGCCCTTCCTCCTGCGAACCCTCCTTCCAAACCCAAATCACTCCATATCGCCCTCCTCTTCCCCAACACCCACCCACCTCAGCGGGTATGCCGCTCAAGAGCTGCTGCTGCTGTTGCTGCTGCTGCATTTCCTGAATCTCCTGCTGATGCTGTTGTTGATGTTCCTGCTGTTGCTGCTGCTGAGCAATGTCGTTGTCAAGTCCGTATCCCTGACCGTACCCCTGGGGCTGCACTCCCGGCGCCCGGGGCTGCGGCGGCTGGGGCCCAGATCCAACCTCAGCTGCAATGCCGAACCCGCCTCCCGGCTGCTGCTGCTGCCCCGGCTGCTGCAGTTGCTGCCCCCATGCCCCTCCAGGCGCCACCGCCGCTGCCCCCGCCCCTGCCACATGCACGTCTTCCGCCAGTCCGTACCCACCGGAAGGCCGATTGAAGCGCTGCTGCTGCTGCTGTGGCAGTGCCGTCACCGCCGCCGCAGGAGGAGGAGGCGGAGGTGGCCGCTGCAAGCCGCCTGCTGCCGCCGCGGCGCGCACCTCATCTCCCAGGCCGTAGCCACCTCCCGGCGGCTGCTGTTGCTGCGGGTACTGCGGGTGCTGCTGCATGGAGCCGGGCTCGGGTAGATGCTGCTGAGGCCGCAGCTCGTTTGCCAGACCAAAGGCAGACTGCGCTACTGCTGCTGCTGCTGGCGGTGGTGGCTGGGTGCTGGGCGGCAGTGGCGCAGGCAGCGGTGACATGAGGTGCGACGGAGGCTGCTGCTGCTGTTGCTGGTGCTGTTGCAGGAGAGGCTGGTTGTTGCCGGGGTTGGCGATGCGCGGGGTATCCTCAGCAGCCTCTGCGGCGAGTCCAAAGGCCTGCTGCGGAGGCGGCGGAGGCTGGGCCGGTTGCTGTTGTGACACCGGTGCAGGCGGGGGGGCTCCGGGGGGGCGCAGGGGAGAGAGGCCGGGTCCGCGGCGGGGGGGAGGCAGGGCCCTGCCAGGGCCGCCGAGGGGCTGCAGGCCGCGAGTCAGGGGACCTGGTGGGGTGGCGCGGCTGGGGGAAGGCGCAGACGCGGGTGGAGGTGGGGGTGGGACCTCCGCGGATAGGCCGAAGGCTTCTGACGCCTGGTGGTGGGGTGGTTAAGCAGCGGGGGAAGATCATTTAATAAGGGTGGGTTGACGATGGCAGAATGGATAGCGGGCAAGGATAAGGAGGCGCCCCGAAGTTAGACATCGTCGGGTTAGGACGAACATAGGTGGGCGATAGGACAGGGAGGTATTGCTGGCAGCGGCCTGCCAGCAGTGCGCAGGAAGACGGAGGCTTCTGATATATGTAATTAAAGATGTGCTCGGTCATTGCCCGGGAGCGCTTGCCTGCGGTCTGGCGTCCTTGAAGTCCAGGCGCTGCATTCCCGATGTCAGGCCAAATGCTTCCGCAGGCTGCGGCAAATTTGCGGGCCTGGAGTCACGCTCCAGTTCACTGTCAAGGCCGAACCCTCCTTGGCCCCTGCTGACACCTGAGTTGGAATAACGCACGCGTGTTGCCCATGTTAGTAAGGGACATTGTCAGTGTAGGTCAAGGCGTCAACTACCTGCAGCTGGTATGCGGAAGTCGTTGTCTGCACCTCTCCTTGAAGACACTCCCCGTAGAGCGGAGTTAAGGTCCCCATTCTTGCCAAAGGCAGCCCTGCTCAGCGACATGAACCTGTTATAACATCGCGTCGATAACGTGCATAACAGCACGCTGCGAGTTCCTACCTCTCCCTGGCAATCATCTGCGCTGAAGTGAGGCCGACGTCATCGTCGTCAAAGTCTTCCACTTCCATGCTTCCTCCGGCCGTTAAAGGGAATACCCGCTTCCTTGCAGAGGTTGACCGCGACTATACAGCAAAATTTCCACTTGGTTGTGCTCGTTAATGCTTGTAACCCAGCTACGCTTCCACGGCTGCGAACTCTGTTACCGAAACAGCTGCAATGGTATGTGTGCTTTGTGTGGCCCAATTGGGTACATAAGCTAAACGGTCCATTTGCGAAGAGCAAATGTATCTCCTTCCAGGCAAACGTTTGCCCAAGGAAGGCACACAAGCTTGGGTTCTGGATCCGCCGTACCTCCTGCTGAAGTCGCTGAGCAAGGGGAAGTAGAATGCAACCCGTATCCACCAAGACCAAACGTGTTTGCTGAGCACATTCAAGGTCGTTCTTTCACTTTCCTTACGTCTGCTTTAACACTTAGGCCGCCGGCCCTCTGAGCAAAAGTAAAGAAAAATGGCGACTAAAGTACAGAAGATTATGACCCAACCCATCAACCTAATGTTTCGCTTCTTACAGAGCAAACAGAAGGTGCAGATTTGGCTTTACGACCAGGCAGACCTACGTGTAGAAGGCCGAATCATTGGGTTTGACGAGTACATGAACCTAGTCTTGGATGAGGCAGAGGAGGTCTCCATGAAGCGCAAGACGCGGAAGTCGCTGGGCCGGATCCTGCTGAAGGGAGACAACATTACTCTCATCCAGACGACAGGCCGATGATCAGTACATAAGGATGCAGCAATGAGTGCTTCCGAGCGGATAGGCGCCTAAGCCATCGAAGCTGGAGTTGTCCCGCCGAGCTGTGGAAGCAGTAGTACTTCAGCGGCGAGTGGAATAGACCGTGCTGCGGCGGCAGCGTCTAGGGACAGCACAGACATGACCTGCTGGAGTATGTGAGAGATTCGACTTGGAGGCCATGCATAGCGTTGGCACAGGCTGGCTACGCAGGCGGTGCTCACCAGGGGGGGTCATGGAAGGGGTGAATTGGCGGGCAATGTACAATACCGCACATGATGAACGTGTAGGGTAGTGACGTAGGGGTCTTGGGGCCCGGACGCGGGACTTACGGGTTACGGCAATCGGGAGGAAGCTACGGCTTGGGGTGGCGCAACATTGGCCATGTGCGGGTTACGTCCCAACTGAAGATTCGGGGCGCAGGATATATAACATTAACCACGTTTCTTGCGGCTCTTGCCGCGCTCGGACCGACTTTAGAGGTTTGGCTTTGGCACGACGTTGACGGGGGTTGGCGCGCGCGGTCGCCTGGCGTGCTGATGTGCTTTTGTCACAAAGCACGAAGCGTGGGTGCTAACAGGCACTGGTGTTTCTGGCTACACGTGGCGTTAGTGAGGCAGGTTCCAGTGTTCCCGTACCAGTGTTGTACACGCGGGCATATGCTCCGGAAAGGCCTTTGCGGAGGCATCGGGGTGTGTATCACAATGTTGTGCGTGTTTGTGGTTGCACTGATGTGATGCAGCTTTCATTGCCGTTGTGCAACTAATGACTGTAGTAACATGAAACCATGTGTGCGCCCATGCTCGATTAGAGTCACCGGCTGGCGTTACCTCAGCTGCTACTTTTCATCCGTGCCCCTCATTATGACGCATGGAGCGCACCACCTGCCGTGTCGTTTCAGATTGAGGAGCGTCAGGGAAAAGGCTTTCGCAACGTAAGGAAGCAGAGTATTGCGTGCTAGCACCATGTCAGGACCTTCGCGGACTGCCGGGTTTCAACGTACGTTGATGTTACGCCAAGTGCTTTCAGTTAACACGACGACAGCCCTCCCAGCCACACAGTTCATGTTGCCGTGTTCTTGCAAACACTACACATGGTGTCATGTATACATGTGAGATGTGACATGTCAACAGCACCCAGCCATGCCGCCGTCCTAGTGACTCCTCAAGCCGCCATTGTCCCTTGGGCCATAAAGCCGTTCTTGAATATCAGCAAAACGTTAAACTAGGAGTTCTGCTGCCCAACCTAGGGAGGAGCACCCACCCAAACGACAGCTCTACTGGGGTGTGGGTGCTGCATGGAGGTCCTACCATGCCCTCACTCTTGCACCTGGCACCCTTAGCGCCCCCTTCTCATAACTTACCATGCAGCGGTGTTGTCTATCAAATCATATCCCTCGCAACAGCTTCCCGTCATACGGTAACCTAATAACACTCCGCATGCACCACAAGACTCCAGCCCAGAGCGTTAGGTCTTTGCATTTGCTCCGGCGAAACCCAACTGAAAGCCAATCAGCCATGCAATCGCACACGCGCCTCAGCTCATGGGTTTTTCTTAAAACAGGAAACCCACGTCTTACGTGCCCGCATGCAGAGCACTCCCACACCAGCAACAACAGCACTACCCGCTGCTTCTTCCATTCGACAGTCCGCCTAGTCATTAAATGTCGAACAAGACAGCTGTGAAAATCTACATGCCAATCTGCCTGTGTGTCAATAATGCCAAAAACTACCATACTACAATGTGACAACGGACAAAGGGTAGTGCATGCATGTCTTGGGTCCGTTCCTGGACGTGTACCAGCACAATTAATGGGCGCGTGTCATGCGGTTGTCCTTCTAGAAGATCTGCGTACATTTCATATTGCATGTGGTGAACGATACCAAAGCCGTCTGCTGCTCTGTACCTAACTAACAGGCCCACCCAAAATCCCAGCAACAAGCGTGGCCCTGCCCAAAACGCAGCCAGCAACCCTCGACTCGCTGTTGCGGGCAGTGTTGCTGCCGGTGCCAGTTGGCTGACCAGCAACGCAAAGAGGCGTACGGGACGTACCGCTACCCTGCTACCCTCTCAGCGCCAAGCCTCCCTGACCACATCGCGCAGCCATGCTCCTATGCACGTTGCTCATCCGCCTCCACTCAGTAAGCAAGGGCTAACCAGCCGCTGCTACATGCTCTCTGAACAAACCTGCATGCCGGCCGCCTCTCCAACGATACCCTCCAACGATGCCCTCCTTGCAGCTACCAAAGCACTCCGACACAGACGTCAGCAGCAAGAATGTCAGCCAGTGCTACACCCCCCCCAGCGGAGCCCCAGAAAGGGCCAAAGAACCCCCAAAAGCAGGGTGCTGTGTTGTGTTGTGATCGGCGGCCAGGCGCGCCCCTCCTCTTTAGAAGAGCCCTGTGATAGAGTCCAGCGCCTTCCTGGCCAGGTTGACACTACCCATCAGGTCCCATACGCCGCCCTCGTAGCCCAGCGCGCCAATCCGAGCCGCCGCCACCACCGCCGCCGGTTCCACACCCGGCCCCGACACGGCGAGGTTGAGCTCGCGGGTTTCTGCGGCCGCTCGGCGCCACAGGTCGGCGGCTGTCATGAAGGCCTGAGGGGGAAGAGGAAATAAGAACAGTGCGTTGAGTGATAGACTGAAAGTGGCAGGCTAGATGGCGTGTGCTATTGAAATTGGACATCATATGTACTGCGGACGAGGGAGCTAGTATGCGAATACTAGCATGTACGCATTGTAGGATTGACAGGCATTGAAGGGAGGAAGAGACACATGCAGGTGCAAAGCTCAGCCGCCAAGCATCCAACCCCCTTCTCCTCCTCCTCCTCACCTGCACACTGTCCGCCATCTGCTGTATGCTGGCTGTGTACGTAGACGCCGACAGCGCCGCCGCCTCTAACGTTGACGAAGCGCTATCCGCCGCCGCCGTCGGCGATGTACGACGTCCGGCGCCGCCGCCGCCATCGTCACCGCCGTACGCCGCCGCCGCGCCGCCGCCGCCGCCAGCACCACCGCCATGCAGCGGCGACGGCTCATGATGCTTCAGCGCCTGCGTGAGCAGCTCCTGATTAAGCATGAGCCACCTGGTACGGCAGATCGCAGTCAGTTTAAGCGCCAGAAGACGAATCGCCACGAGCACCAGCAGCTCTGAAGACGCCGCCGGGACGTCCGCGGATGAAGCCGCCACCGCCGCCGCTGCCGCCGCCAGCGGCCCAAGCGGCGTGCCGCCGCCGTCAGCCGCCGCGCCACCCCCATGCTGCGGCGTCCGGCCGGCAGCGTGTGACGCCAGCGGCGTGTGCATGCCATTCGCAGTACGAATGGAATCAGCAGGACTGGCAGCGGGCCCTCTGCTTGCCGTCGCCGCTGGCGGCGGCGTCGCCATCGCCGCGCCACCCCCGCCAGCCGCTCCTGCCGTCAGCCTTGGCGGCGTCGCATGCGGCACGCCTTCCGCACCCCCGCCAACCCTACTGCCACCGACACCACCGCCGCCGCCTTCTGCTCCCGCTGCTGCAGCCCCCGCCGCCGGCAGCGGCAGCTGGGCGTGCGGTTTGGGCAGCTGCCGGGCCAGGTTGCGCGCCTCGTGACTGACCACCGCCAGCACCTGGGCTGCGGAGGCTAGCAGCTCGGAGGAGGCCCGCAGCCCCGCCTCGCGCTCCTGACCCACCTGCTCGTGACCGCAGGCGCTCTCCATGCTCTTGAGGGCGCTCTGCGGGCGGGTGGGAGCCGTGCCGGCAGCAGCACGAGACGGGTAGGATGAGGAGTTGGGCCAAACCGTGTCGAAGGAAGCCGTGCATTACGGCCGGAACGAGGGGTTGCAGTCTCACGACTCCCACACCTCACCAGCCCCCACACATCACCGCAACCTGCACCGGACGCCCCTCCCCCGACCGCACCTGCAAGTACAGCGTCAGCAGCAGCGGTGACCAGCGACTGCCGTTTGCCTCCCGCACGCTGTCCGCCTTGCGTCGCAGCGTGCGCCCCTCGTCCGCCAGCGCCTTGATGTGCGCCTTGTTAAACAGCGAGCGGGGTGACTCCACCATGTAAGCGCAGGAGAACTGGGGGCAGGTGGGGGGGGGGGTCAAATTAGATCAAACCATATGAAACCATTGGTTAGGGCAAAGCAATTGGGGGGGGGAGACTGGATGCGGGGGGCGGGGGCGGGTGAGGTTGGGGGTGCATAGCGAGGGACAATGGCGGTGGCGAAGGAGGGTGGCCAGGGAGTGGTGAGATACGGGCTATACAAGGTACACGCAGCAGCAGCACTAGCTATGATGACAAACACGCAGAAAGAAGGGAGGCCAGGGAGTTATTTTCCAACCCCATTACCTCCGTCTGTAGTAACCGCTAACCCTTTTGGTTTGGTTTCTCTCTGACCCCTCCTTACCCCCCCATCCACCCCTCCTTACCCCCCCCCCCTCCCCCGCACCTGTATCATCGACAGCGACATGAACCCCAGCAGGTCCGGCTCCATGCCCGCAGACAACGGCGCGTCGTCACCCACGCGCACACTGCCGGGTGGGTCGGGCGCCGCGTTGGCGTCGTACAGTCGTGCGCCTGTCCCGGCTTCCCCTCCTGCACCCGCACCTGCGCTGCCACCACCGCCAGCAGCAGCAGCAGCAGCTGTTCCTGCACATACTGCAGCATTTGTAGGAGCAGGTCCCGGTGGTGGTGGTGTGGCGGCGGCGGCAGCAGGAGGGGTAGCCGCCGCCGTACCTGCAGTGGACCTGCCACCAGCAGCATTACCAGCAGCCCCAGCAGCAGGGCCATCCCTGCCCTGTCTGTCCCTGTCCCTGCCTCCGAACTTGAACCCAAACGGTACTCCTCCACGACCTGCACCAGTACCACCACCGCCCGCTGCCCCTGCTGCCTGCGGTTGAGGTTGTTGTTGCTGCTGCTGTGGCGGCAGCGGCGGCGGTTTGCCTTGTCGGTCTTGTTGCAACTTGGCCAGCGCTCGCTCCGCCTTGCCTTGCAGTGCGGCGGGCCTATTGGGTGGCTGCTGCTGCTGCTGCTGTGCCGCCCCCGGCTGCTGCCCCTGTCCTTGGAGACGCTGCTGATGCGGACCCAGCGGGGCCGGCCATTTGCTGTTGTTGCTGTTGTTATTGCCAGGTTGCTGCTGCCGGGAGCCCTCCCTGCCCGCCAGCCCCTGCCGCGGCCCGCCGCCAGGTGAGGTGGCGCGGTGCTGCTGCCCCTGCCACTGTCCTTGCGGGCGGTGAGGGGGTGGCGGTGAGGAGGTCCGGCCCGCCGCGGGAGCCGGACTGACACGCCCCGCGGACGCGGAGGCGGGACTCTGTGGGGTGACGTCCGCAGCATGCACCGCACCCGCAGCAGCAGCTGCAGCAGCAGCAGCTGCACCACCCGATCTGCCGTACTGCCGCGGAGGCGGAGGTACCGCCGAGGGGACAAGGGGGTGCCCCGCCGCCCCCATCATGCCACGCGGGGGCCCTCCTGGCGCGGGAGGGGCGGAGGCGGAGGCAGGCGGCGCACCGAGCCCCGGAGGCGGGGGCCCAGGCGGGGGAGCAGGCGGCGGGATGGTGTGGTGCGGCAGCCGCTGGGAGGCCGCTGGCAGCGGCCGCCCTGCTCCCGGCCCGGCACCCTCCTCCTCCTTGTCGGAATCGTCTAGGTCCATGTCAGATCCGGAACCTGCTCCTCCGCCGGTAGATCCTGCACCGCCGCCGCCGCCACGTGAGTAGCCGCCACCGCCACTGCCGTACTGCCGCTGCTGGCTGCCGCCGCGGGGCCCCCGCTTGTGGGGGTTGATGCCTCCCCCCGCGGCTGCTGCTGCGGCGGACTCGGACTCCACCTCAGCTGCGGCGGCTCCTCCGCGTCGTGCGGCAGCCGTACGACAGCCGTCGGGAGCGGCACCACCCCCCGCAGCAGGGAACGGCCGGCGATCCCGCTGTCCTGCTTGCGATTGCTGCTGTTGCTGTTGTTGTTGTTGGGATGAGGTTTGCATGATGGAAGGAGGCTGTGAGGGTGGTTGTTGCTGCTGTGGCTGCTGTTGAGACGGTTGGGCAACCGAGGGCTGTTGTTGTAGCAACTGCTGCTGCTGTTGTTGCTGCTGCTGTGGGTCGCTGCCGCTGCCGCGAGCTCCCGAACCTCCGGAGCCGCCTCCCGACATGCCACGATCCCGTGACGCCTCTCCTCCTCCGCCGCCGCCACCTCCGCTGGCACCGCCGCCGCTTCCACGATACTCACGTCCATCCCGCCCGCGATCCGACGAACGCCCGTACTCCCGATTACGGTATCCATCATACCTATCGTACTTTTCGTAACGGTCCGCGCCGCCTCGCCGGTCCTGCTCACGATCCCTCTCCCGCGCCCTGTCCCGGTCGCGGTCCCGTCCACCGTACCTATCCCGCTCCCGCTCCCTGTCCCTCTCCCGGTCTCGATCCGTGTCTCGGTCCCCTCGGTTGCGTTCCCTCCCCCCGCGATCCCGCCTCCCTCGCCAGTCGCGCTGCGGCGACCGACTGCGACTGCGGCTCCTGCTGCCGCGCCGCCGCGGGGAGCGACTGTAGCGCCGTCGCTCCCTAGATCTCGACCGTGAGGATCGACCCCAACTACCGCCGCCTCCGCCACTGCTCCGCCTGGTGCCGCCACCAACTGACCCGCTGGGGCCCAGTCCCTCCCCCACAGCCGCAACATCCGACGGCGCCGCCGTCCTATCCCAATCCGCTCCCCTACCGCCTCGACCACCACCGCCGCCGCCGTCTGCGCCATCCTCCCCGGGTCGCGGCGGGGATCTGGAGCGGCGCTTGCCCGTGGTGGTTGCGTTGTACGGCAGTTGACTACTGAGCTGCGCGCTCATCTGCTGCGCCGCCGCCGCGGCCGCCGCCACCGCCGCAATCGAACCCGGCGCGATCTGCACCCCCGGCGGCAGCAGGTTGAGGTCCTGCAGGGAGCCGTACGCGGAGAGATGCGCCGCCAGGTCCTTGGCGTACGACACGTCGAGCTGCATGGCGACTCTTGGAGTGGCGCCGCCGCTGCCGCCGCCGTCGGCGGCGGCGGCCGCCTCGCCAGCTCCGCTGGCAGTCGCATTGACCGGCGCGCCCCACCGCTGTCGTCGGCCGCTGCTCTGTATGGAAGACAGCTGCCCGCTACCGCTGCCGCCGCTGCCCCCCGCACCCACCGCTGCTGCTGCCGACCCCAGTCCCGCTGCTGTCGGCGTCGCAAAGGTAGCGGCGTCCTCCTGCCCCGGCCGCACGCTCGTGCCCCTCCCACCCGCTACCTCCAGCGCCGGCAGCAGCTGCAACTCCCCAGCTCCTCCTCCTCCTCCTCCACTACGACCACCACCACCGCCTCCCCTGCCGCCGCCGCCGCCACCTCCTCCCAACAGCAGCGCCGCTAAGGAGCGTGTGCGCTGCGGCCCGGTGGTGCCGTGGTGGCTGTGGCTGGGCGGCGGCAGCAGCGCTGAGGAGGGAGTGCCGCCCAGCGGGGTGTCCTGGCAGGGCAGCTCGCCGGACTCCAGAGTCTGCAAACACACACCACCAGACCACACCATCATACCGCACAGCACGACGTTTAGGGCACAACACACCGTAATGGCATTGCAGCACACCTCTTCGCAGGCGCGGGAGGTGCCATAACCACACCATGCAGGAGGTAAAGTGCACCGAACACGTAATACTGCCTTTCCGGTTGACCTCGGGGGATTCCTGCTGTATCCGTGGACTGCGAATACCTTATCATGGCTGGTAATGATAACCTAAATAGCGGTTATTAGCCGGCAAACGGGGACCATGAACCACGCACCTGAAGGGACATGGTGGAGGTGCGCCGACCCACGGGTCCCTGGTAGCCCTCCGCGCGGGGCTGTGGTTGCGGAGGCGGCGGCGGCAACGGCAGGAGAGCCCCCGGGGGCGGCCTGCTGGCCCCTGGTGCCGGCGAGGTCGCCGCCTCCGCTGCTGCCGCTGCTACGGCCGCCGCAGCAATGTCGGCAGTGAAGGCCTGAGGCGGCGACAGTGGAGCGGCTGCGGCCTCCTCGTTGCCGCTGTCCCCAGCAGCAGCAGCAGCCGGTGCTGAAACCACTGTTGCTGCTCCTGCTCCTCCTGCTGTCGTGTCTGCAGCTTCCGCAGCCGCCTGCCCCTCCTCCTCCCCAACCGCTCCCTCGCTCATCGCCTCCCCTCGCAAGCTTGCCTCAGCAGCTGTGAGCCCCGAGGCCGCATCAGCCCCCGGTTCCGACCGCAGTCGCCCCTCAGCCGCCTCCTCCCCGCCCGCCGGGTCATCCTCGACCTCCGCTTCCCGCATGGAGGTGTCCCCGAGGCCTTCTGTAACGCCCGCAGAACCACCAAAGCCCTCCGCCGGGAGCTGCTTCCGTGCTTCGTCGTCAGCGTCTGGGAGGGCCAAGCCGCCGGACTGCTGCTGCTGCGCCTCCTCCGGCGCCTTGCCAGCAACAGCGTCTCCGCCAGCCGGGCCAACAGGGCCCGGAGGCTCCTCCTCCTCTTCCTCCTGCTGCTGTGGTTCTACTGCAAGGACGGCGGCCTGCGAGGGCGCAGCGGCACCCACGTCCACATCCATGGCATCTGCATCCATGCCTACATCCGCATCCGCAGCCTGTCGCTGTGTGGCCGGCTGATGTAAAGACCCGGCAGCCTCCCCCCCGCTCCCCGTACGCGGCCCAGCTGGAAGGTCCGCAGCCGCACCCCCCATGCCGCCGCCGTCCGGTAGCAGGGAGGCAGCTGCTGCTGCTGCTGAGGGCGCCGCCTCAGCTGCTGCTGGAGCTCCCTGCCCGCTTGCAGCGGTTGCTGCCTCGCTGCTGCTGCCCATACCAGCGTCGCCACCATCCACGTCCATGGGAGCGGGCTCGGCAAGCTCAGCAGCACCAGCAGCGGGAGCAGCTGGGTTGGCAGCGGCAGTAGCCGGTAACCCTGCCGGGGGGCCAGGCTCCCCATCGCCCTGGGGCGCTTCGGGTACGGCCGCCAGCATCCCCGGGGCCTCGTGCTCAGGAGGAGGTACGGCAGCGGCAGGCGGCTGTCGTGGGTCCAGATCTGAAGGCCCCACACTTGCAATGCCGGCGGGAGCTGCAGCTGGGGATGGTGACCCACGGGTCAGCAAGGCCGCCGTCGCAGGAGCACCTAACGAGGTGGAGCCATGCAATGGCGCGGCATCCCCATGGGCTGGAGGTACAGCTGCGGATGGCCCAGCTGACTCCAATGCGCCTGCTGCCCTGCTTACAGACTCGGGCCCTTCCCACACCACGTCATCTGCGGCTGGTGGTCCCGCCTCCGCTGCTTCCCCCGCCTTCGCTCCCGCAGCCTCCGCTTCAGCCCCCCCACCCATGCCCGCCACTCTCCGCCTCCCTGCCGCTGCTCCTGCACCTCCACTCCCGCCCGGTGGCGACGTAGGCTCCCCCTCACCCGCCGCCCCATCAGCAACGCCGTCGGTTACCCCCCTCGACTGCTGCGCCTCCTCTGCATCACCCTCTCCGCGACGCCTTCCCAGTCCCCCTCGGCGCTGCGCAGGGGAGTGCTGCTGCCTCGCAGCCCCCGCCGCTGCTGCCCCTGGCGAGTGCGCCAGCTGGGACCCAGTGGGCGAGGGTCCCGAGGTCGCCCCGTCCTGGTCCGGTACGGCAGAGAGGGGTGCCGGCCGCCGTACCGCAGGCCGGGGGATGTTGAAGCCGCGAGGGCCCTTCCGCTGCTGCTGCTGCTGTTGCTGCTGCGGGGGCGGCAAGGCAGGCTGCTGCTGCTGGGGTGCCTGGCTGGGGGAGGTGCTTTGCCGCTGCGGGGCGGCGCCACTGCCGGGCTGCTGTGCGGCCGGGGTGGGGGTGGGGGTGGGCGACCCGGCGCCGGGTGCTGCTGCTGCCGCCGTGGGCTGCTGACCGTCCCCACCGGAGGAGCCTGTGAGGGAGGGAGGGTGGGGGCCGCAGGGTATGAGAGGGGCAGCATGGGATTGTGTATGGGGTTGTGTAGCGCGGCGTGTGGGTGTCTGCATGGCACACCGCAGCACTGGGGGAGCGCCGGCCCTGCCGTACTGGTAGCGGCTGGACCCGCAGCCGCGGGAGCTACCGTAGAGTGAGCTTGGAAGCCGCTATCGCTATGCAAGCCCCGGCTGCATACCGGGTAGCAATCTGGCCTTTAACGTGCGCATAGTGCATCGCCACGCCCTTGCTACCTTCACCGTGGTCCCACACGAATCAAACCCACCAGGTGGAGGAGAGGTGGACCCAGGCTGAGTCGCGCTGGGGCCAGCCTGTGTGTTATCGACCCGACGATTGCTCGCGGCATCATAGAAGGTGGCGTAAAAGCTGCCGTAGGGGTTCAGCTTGGCTTGATAGGCGATTCGCGGCCATCGGAGTACCGGGGCCAGCTGCTCCAGACGCAATATCTGTGGCAGTTTTTCATGCCATGCATCTCTAAGACGGAACTAGGTTGAAATTGAGTTCGCGCTCAACCAAATGGTCCGGAAAGGGCAATTGCCTAGGGTGAACCTGGTGTTCAAGCCCTCCTATTCGCACTCTTGGCTCTTTTATTGTGACCATATGCCTCTGCTGCTACTTTGGAACTGTAGTGACAGCCTCGAGCAGACAATCCTTGTCCCTCACGTCGAAAATGCTTGACTTACGGTTTGCTTGATGAGCTCCTCCGGATCTTGAGCTTGCTGCTGTGCCATTATAGCTTTCAAGCGCCAAAGAAGTTACGAAAAGCTCCTCCCCTCAAGCACCCGGGGGAGTTAGCTCGCACGGCTAGGACATAAATAGCAAAGCCATCGTCCATGTGTGGATAGAGCGTTGAACTACATCCTGACAGATGTACATGCTATCTCCGTGAACGCGACCACAGGTGTGAAACAGGAAAGGTTGCAGCACGTCAGGTCGAGAGTCGTCAATTAATGCCTCATGTGCCGTGAGGACGTGACCTGCACGCTATCACTTGCTTGCGAAGCGCAACACCAATTGCCGGAAAGCGAGTGCAGGGCGAAGGTTTTGTCGTACGCCATTCTTACTGAATCACATATGCCGTCCCTTTCGCAAGGATACAACACTCTAACCATAGCCCTAAGGTAGTGATCTTGGAATAACATGCCACTAAAACCGGAGGAGGAGGCAGAGTTAAGATACACATACGACGCGTTGATAACATTGCTATCAGACGACAGCGCCTTCGACGCCGTGCTGCATGCCGTGTTTACGAACATTGACTCAAAGCGAGATGGGACCCTAGACCACAAAGAGCTTCAGCGCTACATAGCGGAGACATGTGAAGAAATGGGCTTGGAAGCCCCGCACCGCTCGCAGTGCCGAGGGATCTTCAGACAATTGGTACGAGTTTGGGTGTTGGGTTTGCGAACGTGTAGGACGGGTTCATGGGTTACGAGCTGCGTTGACCTTGGTGTAGCCAGGCTCCGAGCTCCTTTTGCTAACTAAACAGAAAGGATCCTGCAACCTCCCTTTGCTCCTCTTTGCCAAGCTCGCCACAACGGAACCTTCCGCCTCCTCCTGTAGGACCTCAACGACGACAACGCCATCAGCACGGAGGAGTTGGGCGTCTTCTTGCGCCACTTCTTCCAGGAGCAGGTGGCCATCTGTGCGCTCAAGCTGCGACCCCCTCGGAGACCCTGAGCGGCCCCTGCACGGTGGTGGTGCCGTCCCTGGTGCGGTGGTGCCGTCCCACAACACCGGGGGGCTTGGTGCGGAAGCAGCAGCGAGAGCTTAGCGGTGGTGGCTTTGCACAGCAGCTTGGCGACCCAGCCTGGGACATTGTAGCGTCAGCGGTGCAGTGAAGGGTGTACATCAGGCGTTGTTTCGCCGTCACGGTATGTCGTATGTGACGTGCGGTTTGAGCCAAGGCAGTGGCCATGGGAAACGGGCCATACCTGTGGAAGAGGTGGATCAGGTGTGTTGTGAATGGGCTGCCCCGCCACTGTTGGATGTCCCCTAGTGCAGACGCATGGGGACGTAGAGCTTGTGGCCTATGTGAACGCACACGACGGCACATGGTGTAAGGCATTCTGTTTGTGTGGGGTGGATCGGAGCGAGAGCTTACCCCGATGGTTCCCTGATGATTTACATTACCAGCTCAGCCAACCAGCTGGCCTACATGTGACTAGAACGTCGTCTGCCGGGTTCAGGTCATGGGTGTAGTAGGTGTTGTGTCTTGGGGTTGGGAAGGGTTAAAGGATATGGTCACGCGACCAAGTTAGGACTGGATGTCGCGACTTGGATACAGGCATGTAGCACTTGTGTGGCGTTCGCGCGCTTTGCTGACGCCTCTCCTGCAGGTAACGTGCGGGTGGGCCCAGGCCCTTTGTAAGAGCCCGTTCATACGTCTTTCTAATGCACAAGTCCTATCCCGCTGCGTCATGGCATGCGGTACGTCCGTACGCGGCCCCAGGCACGCGCCGCCCTCACCACTACCCTGAGAGACAAGGTCTCGTTCCCGTGGTGACTGGTGAGAGGTGTATTTCGACCACACGAGGCCATAATGGGGCGTGCACAGCCTTTATGGCGCTGCGGAGGTGACAATGGAAGTCGTGGGCTCCCTAGCGACTTGCCATGTCTCGGTGCGAACAGCGCGTTTTGGCTACCACACATGAAGATACAGTAAGGAAATACTACAAAGCGAGGCGTAGGTTCCGGTAGAAAAGGACCGCAGGTTCATATTGAAGCCTCAGCCATGGTCTTACGCATGGTCTTACTACGGTACATGCGCAGGTCTTCGGCTTGGCGGCAAAGTTCAAAGCAGAGTTGTCAGCAGCCGGGGATACAGAGGAATCTAATAAAAGCGTTTCGCTGCTGTGCAGAACCTATCTTGCAGCGCCGGCGCTGTGCGTGAACTACCGGTCGGGTTCCCTAACCTCACAGCGGTATGCTATCGTCAAGTGCTATACCAGTACATGTATCCCTTATAGACGATATGTGGTTAGACATTTCAGCCATTAGGTGGTTCTCTGTGAAGTTCAGACAGGTCGTAGCAGTTGGTTGCCTAGTGCATAGGGCCCAGGTAGGTCAGTCCAGGACCTAGCCTCGATTGCTTCTGCTTGTAGCTTGCTACCACAGCACAACGAAGCAAACCACGAAGCATAGCTACTTAGCAGTCAATGCAATTGCACCCCGCTGTTTAATGCTTACCTGCTGAAGAAGGGAAAAACGACATGAGATGCGCCTAGCCGACCGCCTCAAGTGTTGGCTTCGCAAGCTCGTCTCGCACAACGAGGCAGCAGAAGCACCATCTAAGTTGTTACATCAGAGCAGTGTCAAGCAGGAGGCTGTGAACGGGCATCACAAGGCAGGGGTAGTGGCCCAACCGTTAGCGGCCGAACCCGAGCCCGTCCCGCCCCAGCCACCGCCACCAGCAGCCTCTCAACAGCCCCTTCCAGCGGGCTCTTTGGAGCAGCAGCCCCAGAAGTCCTCTCAACCTCCGCCGCAAGTACGTATCAAGTTGCGAGTTTCGCTCGGCAGCGCGTTGGCAGTTCTTACAGCTACCAATTTAATGTGTCTGAGCTTTAGAGTACATCGGGTAGCTTAGTGCAGGCGGATCTTAGTTGCCGTTCACCGGACGCGGAGTTACACCTGTCGAATTCCCACGAGACTGGTTGCTATAATGTAGGCTCCTGCAAACGGTAGCAACACGAAGGCTATGGTTGACACAAGAGACTTCTTCGCGGAGGCGGTGCATTCTGAAGCGAATAGGTATACCATTAAGGAGGTCATTGGCAAGGGCAGGTGAGCTTGCGTGGCAACGCCAGATTGCATTTTAAGCGCGCTACGAAGCTTTGGGACTGGCTAACGCTGGTTCGGCCGTTTCCGTGTGCGGTGCCACGTGCGTGGTGCCACGCAGCTATGGCGTTGTCTGCTCCGCGGTCGACAATTTCACCGGGGAAAAGGTGGCCATCAAGAAAATTACAAATGTCTTTGAGCACGTCTCCGATGCGACTCGCATCGTGCGGGAAATCAAGCTGCTGCGGATGTTGAAGCATCCAGGTGCGCCTAGGCCCTAGCGCTCCGCAAATCCAACGCCTTTCACACCACCCAACCTTTCCAACTTTGCTTTCGTTTACAGACATCGTGGACATAAAGCACATCATGCTGCCGCCCAGCCCAAAGGACTTCAAAGACATCTACGTGGTGTTCGAGCTGCTAGAAACTGACCTCCACCAGGTGTGCTGCGCTGCGTCATACTTAGCACACCCGCCCCTGCAACAACCCACCTCTCCACACCCATTCGCACAAATTGAAAAAACAGCATGCGCCCACGAGGCAGGGTGGTGGGCTGTGTGGTGTAAACAAGAGCATTTCCGGAGCATAACAAGGGGCGATCAGGGTTGTATGGGTCGACTGGGTTTTGGCTTATGGGTCGACTGGCGTGTCACATGGGGCTTATTAAGGAGGCCGCCGCACTTGACACCCCCCACCCCACCCTGTCCTCCTGACAATCCACCACTTCACAACACCTGACATAAGCATATGTGCTACCGCCCCTACCGGTACCTGTACGGCACCCGGTGTACAACACATTGCCCCGCCCAAACTGCCCAACCGCTTGCCGCATCCCACCATGCCCCCCCACCCCCCTCCCCTGCCTAATAAGTAATTTGAGATGCGTGTCTTTAGAATAGTGTCTCCGAATGCACTCACTGCATGAGTCGGGATATGGGATTGGGACTTTAGTTGTTTGCATTTGTTATATAATTTTTCCCTCCCCTGCCTGCCTGCCTCCCCCCCTTCCCTGCCTCCGTGCTTCCCTCCCCCCAGGTCATCAAAGCCAACGACGACCTGACGCCCGAGCACCACCAGTTCTTCCTCTACCAGATGCTGCGGGGGCTCAAGTACATACACTCGGGTGGGGCAGGGAGGGGCAGGGAGGGGGGAGGGTGTGTGTTTGTTAAGAAAACTGGCGTGTGTGTTGTTAGAAGACTGGCCGCGAGTGGGGGTAAAATGAAAGGAGGTTATTGACGAGCTGTATGACGAGGCTGACGGGGGGAAGGGAGGGGGGGAATGGGAAGAAGAGCAAAGTCGAAGGGATAGAGCGAGACCATCCCTGGGGTTGGAGGGACCAGGAGGGGCGAAGGAAATGAGGTGTTAAGCTATGCGCCTATACCCCCTCCTTCCTCCTCTTCCTTATATTAACCCCTCCCTCCTCCTCCCCTCCTCCCCCTCGCGCAGCCAAAGTGTTCCACCGCGACCTGAAGCCCAAAAACATCCTGGCCAACTCGGACTGCAAGCTCAAGATATGCGGTGAGGGGGCGGGGGGCGGAGGAAGGGGGATTGGAGTGGAGGAAGGGGCAGGGGTGGAGGAGAGGGGCGACCGGACTTCCTCCCAAGAGTTACCGTATAATAACAATTGAAGCGAGACCAACAATCTTGACACGTTCCAGCCCAGTGCGGAATACTAAACCCATGCATGTTACATCCCCACCCACCACCCCTGGACCCCCCCAGATTTCGGCCTGGCCCGCCCCGCCTTCACCGACGCGCCCACCACCGTCTTCTGGACGGACTACGTGGCCACTCGCTGGTATCGCGCACCCGAGCTGTGCGGCAGCTTCTTCGCAAAGTACTCACCCGCGATAGGTGGGCGGGGATTGGGCGGGGGAAGAGAGGCAAGGGCGGGCGGGGGCAGGGTAGGCCGCAGCGGCAGGGCGCATGTCTTAGCGGCACTCCGAGGAATCCGAGGCGAGGCGAGGGGGCTCCTGGTAGGCCCGGCGCCGCCGCCAGGTGCGCTGGCAGGCGTTTCCATTGCGGCCCCAAGTGCTTCTCCTTCTCAGCTGCCCCCCACCTCTTTCCCTCCTTCCCCGCTCACCTCCCCCCATCCCCAGACATCTGGTCGGTGGGCTGCATCTTCGCCGAGGTGCTTGCGGGTCGGCCGCTGTTCCCGGGTCGCAACGTGGTGCACCAGTTGGAGCTGATCACCGACCTGCTGGGCAGCCCGCCGCCAGAGGTGATCGCAAAGGTGAGGAGCGGGAGGGGGGGGAGGGAGGGGGCAGGAGAGGGAGGAGGCGGGAGGGGAGAGGACGGGGGAGGGAGGGAAGGGAAAAGGGTGGGGGTGCACAACGGCTGATGACGGTAATGAGGACAAGTGAACAACCTGGTCTTATCTCCGCCTCCTCCCTCACCTCACCTCCTGACCTCCGCCCCTCCCTTCCCCCCCCCCTGCCAGGTCCGCAACGAGAAGGCCCGCCGCTTCCTGCTCTCCATGCGCCCCAAGACCGGAGTGCCCTTCGAGAGCCACTTCCCGCGCGCCGCCCCCGCCGCACTGCGACTGCTGCGGCGCATGCTGGCGTTCGACCCGGCGGAGCGGCCCACCGCGGAGGAGGCGCTGCAGGACCCATACTTCGAGGGTGGGTGGTGGGGAGGGGACGGGGAGGGGAAGATGGCCCACTGGACCCATGGCAACGGCCCTGGGACCCCACCCACGTAACCCGCTTCAGGGAAAAGCAGAAGACCCATGCGTTGATCAATACCGTTAATGGCATAGCGGGTGAGGGGTGACACCTGACGCCTAGTGACTGGAAGGAATCCCCTCACCCCTCCCCCTTCCCAGGCCTGCACGCCCCCGCCCGCGAGCCCATCTCGCCGCCCCTCTCCAAGCTGGCCTTCGAGTTCGACCGCCGCAAGCTCTCCCTGGAGGACGTGCGGCACCTCATCTACCGCGAGATCCTGGAGTACCACCCGGGCCTGCTGCGGGACTATCTGGCGGGGGCGCCGCCGCCCGCCTTCACACACCCCTCCGCGCTGGAGAGCTTCAAACGGCAGTTCGCGCACTTGGAGGCGATGGGGGGTGAGAGCGGGGGGGGAGGGAAGGGAGGGAGGGAGGGTGAGAGCAGGGTGCTGTTTGTCGTGAATGCGTTGAGTAGTAAGGCAGCTGTGTTATGCAGCAGCAGCCGCTGCCGCTGCCGCTGACCAACTGCTACCACCGCCCCCGCACCCCCGCTGGCCATCGCACAGGCGTACCTCACGTGGCCGGCGCCTCGGCTGCTGCATCTTCCGCTCCCCGCATCTGCCCCTCCGCCTCTCTGCCCAAGGAGTGGGTGGCGGAGTTCCAGTCCGAGGCTGCCAGGTACTCCTCCGCCTCGGGCCTAGCACCCAGCAACAACACCACCAGCGGTGTCACGTCCACCACCACCGCCGCCGCCACAACCCACGCTTACACCACCACCGCCGTTAGCAGCAGCAGCAGGCTGATCGCGGCCAACAGCACCACCGGCACCACGACTGCCACCAGCACCACCACTGCTAGCAGTACGGCAGCAGCTACGGCGGCCATGCTGACATCTGCCGCCTCCACCACCTCCTCCGGAGGCCTACCCGCACCGCCTGCTGCCTCCGCCACCGCTGCCGCACCTCCGCCGCCGCCGCCGCCTGCTGCTCCCCCTCCACCTCCGCCTCCCCCACCACCACCCTCAACACATGCAGCCCGGCCCACCTCCTCTTCTTCCTCCTTGGGGGCAACAGCAGCAGCAGCGCCGTTTAGGCAACAACAGCAGCAATTTCCGCAGCAGCAGCAGCAACCACAGTACCCCTCACCACCCCCACAGCGCAGCTCTGCCCCCCAACTGCCCTACCCGCAGCTCCTGCCGCTACCCCAGCAGCAGCAGCACCCGCAGCAGCACCCGCAGCCCCCTGCAGCCCGGTCCGCACTCGCAGCTGGCAACCCGCATCCCCACCCCCCGTCTGCCGCCCACGCCCAACCCTCCTTCAACCACCCGCACCACCCTCGCCACCACCGACAGCACTCGCATCCCAACCTGCTCGTCTATTACCCGACCGAACCCGGGTTAGGAGCAGCGACAGGAGGACCAGCAGCAGGAGGAGGAGGAGGAGGAGGTGGTGGTGGGGGGCTAGCCGCAGATACGCTTATGATGGATGCTGCTACAGGGGTCGGCATCTCCCACCCCAACAATCCCAACAGCAACCCCCACCACAGACGCGGTCACATGGGAACAGCAGCAGCAGCGGCAGCAGCAGCGGCGCCAGCTACCTCCTCCTGCGCCTCCTGCGCCTCCTCCTCCTCCGGCATGGGTCCTGCCTCGGGAACCGGCATGGGGGGCGGGGGGCTGGGCGGGGTTGGGGTGATGGGGGGAGGCGGCTTGGGAGCCGCACTGCCGGGTATGGTGCAGCATGGGGGGTCGGGTGCAAGTCCTCAGGGGCCGGTAGGGCTCGGGCAGCAGCAGCAATACGGCAGTGCGTATAACATCATGTATCCGCAGCGGCCGCCACAGCAGCAGCAGCAGTTGACAGCGGGGTCGCGGCAGCTGAGTGCGGAGCAGCTAAGTGTGCTGAGTGCGGGGCAGGGTGGGGACGAGGAGCTGGAGAGCAACAGTGTCAGCAACGGGCCGCTGTACCGCTATGACATGGGGGGCCAGGGGCAGCAGCTGCAGCAACAGTACGGAGGAGGAGGGGGAGGAGGAGCAGGCAACGCGATGATGGGGGTGCAATACCCGCAGCAGCAGCAGCAGCAACACCAGCACTTGTTGCCAGCTGCTGCCACTGCTGCTGCTACCCAGGGTTTCTTCGGTCCCGCGGGGGCGGCTGCTGCGGCGGCGGTCATTGCTGCCCAACAACAACAACAACAGGCGCACCACCACCAGCATCAACGCTACTCAAACCCCGGCTGCCTTACTTCTTCGTCCCAACAGTACCTGCAGCAGCATTTGCAGGCGACGTCGCAGCAGCAACAGCAGCACCCTAGGTGGAGCAGCAGTGGCGGTGTGGGTGTGGGAATGGGTGCTGCGGGGTCGTCAACCACAATGACTGCCGCGGCCTACCGGGGCCATGCAGCACCTGCGGGGCCAGTAGCAGCTGCAGCAGCGGCTGCAGCGGCTGGTGCGGACAATACGTACCTCCACCACCACAAGTACCACCCATAGCTGTCACATGTGACGGGATGACCCATGGGTCTGTGCCCCGAGAGGTTGGTCCACGGGGGATGAATTGCGGGCTGCTGCTGCTGCTGGGGCCGTGGCGGAGGGATAGGAAAAAGGGCAGGAGGAGGAGGAAGGGCAGGTTCGGGGTTTGCTGCTGCATGTGTGGTTCACCCTGCACGTGTCATCGCAGCGACGTGTCATCGCAGCGACATGAAGGGCAGTGCCCGGTACATCGGCAAGTTGTGTGAGGCGGAGATGGGGTGCGGGCCCTGGTGTCGGGGGCGGCTGTGAGGGGGGCGGCACGAGGAAGAGGAAAAGAGATGAGAGGAGTGGGAGAGAGTTATGGCATGGTTCATAAGCGGTTCTGGGAGGCGAGAGGAGAGCTGCTGTGAGGTGTGCGTGTGTGTATGTGTGTAGACGCACAGAAGAGAACTTGCAACCTTGCATTCTGTGTGTTTTCATGGGGTTATAGTCCTGTAACACGGGTTACTGAGGAGGATACACGAATGTCTTTATGTTCTCAGGATACACGCACCATGACATCAGTTGCACCGTTGTCATTGTTACCTATGTGGCTTCTCCGTGGTAGAGCAGTAAAGGTGGTGGGGGGCGACACTGCAGTCTACGCTTTGGGCGGACCCATGGGTCTGATTCTCCGTGGGACCGGTACATGGGCCGCCCTTCCTCCAAGGTTGTTTCTGGCTGGTTCCTCAACTCCTCCGCCATGTCTTCCAGGCCCCCCCTACTTCTTCTTGGGGCTATCCTGGGCTATGACTTAATTCTATGTGTCCTTAGTTTCTGTCTGTACCCGTTACTTGGCGACGGGTGATGCGCCCAAGTGTGGAGAGTATAAGTGCTGAGGTGGGTCTGTGTGGGCCACTGGGAGACTGCACGGGCAGGCAGGCAGGGAGCGCTGCTTGGGCGAGGGGCATCGCCGCTTCCTGCCCGGTTGGTGGTTTGGGCGCTGAGATGATGCGCTTGGAAAGTGTCTGTGGGAAGAGTGTGGTGTCCGGCTGTTGAGGGGGAGGACTGCTTTGGCCCTTGCCTTCCGTCACAGAGCCCTGTGGGCGCTTTGGGGGCGGGGCTTCCGACTCCTCGGGCACAGCCCCCATATACATACATACACATAGGCTGGTTCGTAGCGGTTTAAGAATGGTTTCGGGCGGTCCCTGGCAGCTAGCCCTGTGTTTCATTGTTTGGGGGGGAGACCGAGGAGTGGGGTTACTCCCTCACACACGCATGCATGCATGCCTGGTTGCGAGAGACGGCGTGGTGTGGGGGCTGCTCCGAGGGGATCAGTGTTCATAGTGGACATAGCTTTTTATGCGGCTGTTAAACTGGCGCGGTTTGGCCTGTGGGAGGTTGGCTGCCTTCCTCTCTGCTGCCTGGTTGGAGTTCCGGTGCCGTTGTGCCTTGAGTGCTCGCACTTTCTTACGTGTGCCCCGTCTGCGCGTGTGTGTGAACGCTGTTGTGGTTGTGCGACGTGTCTCACGCACGGCACGTAAGTCCGGTTGCCTTGCGTTCCCTCCTTTCTGTACATTACTATGGACTGTGTGGTCCCGGCTAGTCGCCTCAGGACCCCTTCCGCAATGTTTGTGTGTTTTCGTGTGTGGCAATGGGACGCCGGCTGCTGCCGCTGATGTTTGTTGCTGCTGCTGCCTTCGTGTGTGTCTGGGCTGGGATGAGACGGGAAGGGATGGCGGCACAGAGCGGTAACGGTGCCCGAGTAACCGAGTTCCTGTGCCCTGTCCCCCCCGCAAATGCGCTGTTAGGCCCTGCACTGCCGCACTTGAAGAGGTGGGGGATGAATTGTCCGATGGCCCCTTGTTGGTTTCTTTTCTGTAGCATGGTTGGTTGTTGACTGTATTTTTTGTCTGCTCTGTAGCGCAGCAAGATATATATAAGCAGCACTAACTGACAGGCAAAGATTAGTAGTAATTAACCCTGATGGGCATACATACATAAGTGGAGAACAGAGGTTGGAGCAACAAAAGAGTGGATGTGCGGTTTGTTCGGTGGTTTCTTTGTTTCGGTATGTTATGTTATGTGCAAGTGCAAGTGCGGTACACTGTCGTTTGCCCGGGGCATTGCAGCCTAGGCGGGCTGTTTGCGCATGGGGTTTAACATAGGCATGTGTCTTACTATCCTATCTGCAGCACAGGAGTTCCGTTTTGTAATCCCCAGTTCCCGGATGTGCAGCGCGTTTCTCATCGTGGCCGTGGCAGCAAACACGCCTTGTTTTCGCGTCCTGCCCAGTCCGTCCAGTCGTGTCATCGGCGGTGTGAGCTGCTTTGGTGCGCGCAGGGTGTGGGAGCAGCGGTGAGGAGTGTGAAAGGGACCCCTGCTCCCAGGGAGCCACATGCCGTGCAGTGAGGTGGCGTGTATGCATGCGCAGTGTTATTGTTGTTGGTAGTGGTGGTGGTGAAGAGGCGGTGGGGCGGTATGTGCCAGCAAGTGCACATGGAGAGGCCACAGGGGGAGAGTTTTCCATGACGCCGTGTAAAGGCGGCACCACGAAGAAGCCGGTGTTGGGGAGGGTGTGCGGATTGAAGGATGCTGCGGGGGGTGCCGTTTGTGAGGCGTGGTGCGCTGGCCAAAGAGCCTTACGACAGCTGGAGGAGAATGACTATATGAGGCTGGAATGTGGAGAGGGGGAGGGAGAAGTGTCAACTTTTCGCGAAGTGGAAAGTTCACTTATTGCGCAAGCTACCGATCAGCGTGTAAGCGATGTCGTACATTTCAGTGGTCGGTGGCTGTGCCTGGTTGTGCTTTCTCGCAGAGGCTGTGCCTGGTTGTGTGAGCAATAAGCGAGGAACACACTGACCCGAGCTGTGTGGCTAGCTGGTAGGCACGTCATGGAGGCATGGTACGGGTGGTGAGGTTGGCATGCACGTCGGTCACTGGTATATGATGCATAGTGGCGAGGGCAGGGGGCCGCTGAGGTGTGCAGGCGGCGGTTGGATACCGGTATCCAGGATGTTGACCAGGTGTGGACTGGGCTGTAGATGATGATGACATCGGGCTAAGGACGAAGGAACACAGCTTTGCGCTGGCGCGTTAGGGTTTGGGCAGAGGAGCTAACCCGTAGTTATGGGTTACCGGTAACGCTCCCTATTTGTAGGCCCCATATGGAATTCGGCGACTTGGATGTTACTTGTATGTTGCGCCCTCGAAGGAATGGAAAGCAATGCAAGTAAAGTAGAGTTCATGAGCATGGCCGAAGGTTTCAGAGTGTACGACCAATCCCGTCGTTCTGCACATTCACGACGGCACATTTTCCTATCACGTTTTACCCTTCACCTTCACAAACAGTCAAAAGGTTGAACGTTAATCTTTTACTTCACAAGGCACTAGCTTGAGACACAGTAGAGGCGCATTACAGCCCTGCAGCCAAGCCCCGAACCGGACGGCTTCATATACCCTGATCATGCCTTCATGCGGCAATACACCCCTGCCGCATCCCAATACACCCCACCCGCCGTGCGTTCCAACTGCATGTGTCGCAAAAGCTCTCCCTTTGTCGAAACCTCATCCGTCCAAACCTCCCAGCGCACCTCTCCAGCCTGCACCGCAACCAAGCCCTTTATGCCTTCAATGCTTTGTCTTCCCTGCCCTCTCCGCCATCTTCCCCATACCCCTGCATCCCTGCTACCGCAACCAGCGCCCCTCGACCCGCACTCCCAAACCCCTGTGCATCTACTTACTTCCCCGCATCTCAGTTGTTCCTGAACTCCCATATCCAGCTTGAACGTGTTGAACGGGCTGAATAACTCCCATGTTCTTACCGGGAACTCCCCTGCATGTTCAGCGTTCATTAATGCGCTGACATCAATACACACAGCCCCGCCGTGAATCATCCTATCGTATTCCTGCACTCCATGGCCCCTACCGCCCCCCTTCTACATGTTCAGCAGCAGCCCAATGGCTTGCTGCACGTCATTGTTCGCGAGCTGCAGTGCCCGCTCCGCCGCCCCCTCCGCGAACCCCATGCCCACCAACTGCTCCACCGCCTCTCGAGAAGCAGCCGGCAGTGCATCACTACCGCCACCGCCAGCACCACCAGCACCCGCTGCCCCTGTTGCTAGGCCGCTAGCGGCTCCGGCGGCCCCAGCAGCCGCAGCCGCAGCAGCCCCAGCTGCTGCGCCTCTTCTCCCACCTGCAGCGGGCCCTCCCTGCTGTTGCTGTTGTGCTGCTGCGGGGGGTTGCGCGTGGGAGGGAGTTGCTGCTGCTGCTGCTGCGGGGCTGCTGTCGCTGCTGCCCAACAGGGCTCCCAGCGTGGAGGCGAGGAAGCGAGTGAGGAAGGCGGGGAACTGCGAGCAGGAGAGCGGAAACGATCGGAGCGGAACAGGTGATGCGAAGGAGGTCATGCGTGGGAGGTGTCTAGCGGTTGTGTGGCACAACGGTTAGGGGCTCGGCAGCATGCACACCAGTTATTTATACCAACGACTGCAAGGCTTGTACCCTCCTTCTCCTTCTCACCACTCCTCACCCTCCCCTCCCGCACCCTCCCCTGCTCCTCACCCTCATCCTCTTCATGCCCAGCAGGTTCCCCCGGTACGCCAGCCCCGCCACCAGCCCCGCGCCCCCCGCCAGCAGCGAGGCGGGCCCGCCGCTGAGCAGCAGCTGCATGCCGATCAGGTACAGGAACACCTGGGGGCGGTGGGAGGGGGGAAAATTATATAAGAAATGCAAACAAGGGAAGGGGCCGAGGGAGGGTGATGGAACAAGGACGTGCTGCGGGTAGTCAAAGGAAGCAAAGGGGATGGTGCATGGGTGGAATGAGGGGTGCGTGTTAGGGTTGTTGTATGGACGTTGTCGGGACACTCCTAGCCCCAAACCATGTGCCCCAGGGCCCCCCCCAGAGGTCGCCGGCCCCAGGCGCCCACCTTATCGCTCAGCCTCCAGCCCAGCACCGACATCTTGCTGGCGGGCGGGACCTGGAAGAAGTACTGCACGAAGCAGGCAAACAGGAAGCCGTAGGGGCCCGAGGCGGGGGCAGCCAGCCGCAGCAGCCCGCTCCTGCCGGCGGCCCACTGCAGGGCTGCGGCTAGGCCGGTGGTGGTGGCCGCGAAGGCACCAAACTTGGGTGAGCCGGACTCGCTGGGATGGTGGAAAGAGAGGAGAAAAGGGGTAGGGAGGGGAGGGAGAGGCGTGGGAGGTCTTGGTTTGGAGAGGAGAGGGCGAGACGTGAGACCGCAAGGGAATGGAAAGGCACCGGAACAGGCACGCGATGGCCTGCGACAGTCTGTAGCACTCCAGCACAAGCGCGGCATAACGCCCGGATACCTACCGCTCTAAGATGCGGAAGTAGTACATGACTAGAGCTCCAAAGAAGAGCTCAGCTGGGCTGCGGAAGACAAACGCCTGAGCCAGGATGCCCGGCAGCAGTTGCCTGCGCCGAGATGCTCGCGTAGCTTGAGCTAAAATAGATGCGCCCGCTGTTATGAGTACTAGCCCTTTACTGACGGGAGCATGGCCTGCACAGCCAGATCACGGTTCCTTAGCGGGCATGGAATGGGTGACCTTCGCTAAGCAGCATCAGCCAGAACTTACGAAAGCCCGTCATGGTTGGCATTATTAAGAATTGTCCAGAGCGCACAAACCTGTCCTTATTTCAAGATATCTCTACAGTGGTTACTCTTCTATGCTCGCTGTATTCAGCCTTTTAGAGGAGGTTAAGTGCAAGCATTACATATGAGTCATTTCTATCGACGTCCTTGTGCAAAGTAGAAAACAAGTATAGCATGGAACTCCAGCTCCGCGGGTCATCAAATCATCATGAAGTCGGATGCTCTTCTTAGGCTGGCATGGTCCGGGATGATTGCATACAAGATGGTGTAACACATATACCGCTTTGCTTGCTTTACTAGTAAAGGCGTACCAGTTTCGTCTGCCAAACTTCCTAGCAGCTTGACAAGCAAAGTGACGTGCACAGTCATGAACACGATGGTACCCTTCCAGTTATCCAGTGACGGTAAGCACACTGCACGGTTAAGGGGACCAATGCATCGGCGTAATGCATCGGTCGGATCGTGTGACCTGCTAGCAAGAGGGCATGCAAGAAGGGTTCTGCAACGTCCATTGTGCACAGGGCGACGCGTCACAAGCTTCCCGCGTCAAAGCCAACTCAAGTACCTACGTAGTCCACCAACGACACAACTGCATCTGCTTAGGTGCTACTACCCAATGTTCACGCTATTTCCATTCCAACTCGCCGTCTCACCATGAGGTACGCGCCTCATCAATACCCCGTGTGTTCCATCCCATTCACCGTATCCAATTCACACACCATGGAAGCAACAAGTGGCCAGCACCTACCGTATAAACCCCCGCGGAAACCTCCTCCCAAGCTGCTACCGGTATTCCCCCTCCTCAACCTCCCTCCTCCCGCAACCCCACCACCGCCCCACAAGCGCCCTCACAGCCCCAGCCCCAGCTCCCCAGCCGGCGGCAGTGCGGGTTGCAGGATGAAGCTGTCGCCGCTGACGCCCGCCCGCAACCGCACGCCACAGTAGAGGCAGAAGGGCACCGCGGGCGAGATGGGAACCTGCGGCCGCCGGTTGGGGGCGAGGGAGTACCTACACAGGAGGGGGGGGAGAGGACGCATGGGGGCCATGACGTTTGACGTAGGGAGGGGCATCAGGCTCCATGTGCCTGGTGTGTTGTTACATGGTAGCATGGTATATACCGGTAACGACATGTTGAGAGACAGGTAGAGACAGCGGATGCTTCGCGCGCTAGGACTTTGCGCCTCGTGTTTATCACTCCTCACCCTGCACAACAATAACAAGATCAACACACCTCACTCCTGAGCGCCGACGGCGTGTCTCCCCCTCTTCCACGCACCTCTTCGTTGCACCCCTCGCCCTTCCTCCCTTCCTCCCATGCCTCCCCACCCACCCACCTGCGTGCACACACCCCACAGCTCCACACGTCAAGCGACTCGCACAGCACCAACGTGGCCCCGCAGCGGGGCACCGCCAACACCAGCCGACTTGCTGCGGCTGCGCCCCCTGCTGCTGCTGCGCCCCCGGCATTACCACCACCGCCTGCCCCTGCTGCTGCTCCTGCAGCCCCAGCCGCAGTAGTCAGCTGTTGCTGCTGCTGTTGCCCTGCCCCCTGTGTCCCCTCATGGCCTGCTGCGGGGGCACCTCCGGGCGAGCCGCCGCCGCCGCCGCCAAGGCAGCACTCTGCGAGTGCCGCGCTGTCTAGCATGCCAGCACCGCTGAGGGGCACCGGCAGGGGGGACAGTGGGGAGGTCTCGCGGCCGGGCAGGGGGCAGTCCAGGGGAGGGCGCAGGCCTGCGCGAGGGGTGCAGGCGGAGGGGCGGGGCAAGCATGGGTGAGGGAGAAGGAGAGGGCGACCAGGTTGGCGGGTCCAGAGATGCGGGCATGTACAGTGGTGCAGGGGGTATCGCGCGGCCGCAGCAGGGAGCGTGTTAAGGGGCGCGTGGGAACCCAGAGTGGGGCCCCAGACACCCGCTAGCCTCTGCTACCTCTTGTCATCTGTTGACCCAAATCGACTTCTTCCTCCACCAGGTCCCAGACCCCCCTTCCTCCCCTGCGTACGGTTTTACGGTACCCCCCACTCCCGCCCCCGCCCCAGCTGATACCCCCCCACCTGCTTCCACATACACCTGTGCCGCCAGCGGCAGCAGCTCCGCATCTCGCAGCTTGGGGTGCCGTACATGCAACACCACCCAGTCACTCATCAGCAGCCGGTGCAGCGAAGCAGCAGGGCCAGCAGCAGCAGGACCACCAACGCCGCTATCGCTGCCACCGGCGCCAACGCTGTTCGCGACATCCGCCGGCACCCTATCAACGCAATACTGCAACCCGCACGATAACGTCTTCCAAATGTGCGCTTGCAGCAACTCCACCTCGTTCCGCGCCGCCGCGTCCTTGCATGCAGACAGCACCCCCGGCGCCTCCACCGCCGCCGCCGACGCGCCGCCGGCCTGCCGCAACGCCGCAATGACCCCTGGGTCGACCTCCGCGAGCTGCTCTTGCGGCGAGGCGCCTGGGGGCTCCGCTCGTGCGGCGGCATACGCCAGCGCCATGCGACGTAACGCTGTCGCGCAGCGGAGGCCGTCCCATCCCCATGCCAGCGGACCGCGCATGGCGGTGTAGATGGAGGAGGAGGAAGCGGGGGAGGAGGAAGGAGACGAGCCGCCGCCGCTGCCGCCGCAAGCGGCTGCAGTCAGGTAGGGTGACTCCAGTGGGGCGAGGTAGCGCTCCAGGTGTTGGAGGGAGATGGCGGCGGCCGTCAGGTGCTGCAGACGACTGCATGGGGGACGCGGTAAGGAGGGGATTGGGTTGGGGGGGTTCAACAGAGACTACCGGTGAAACCGCCACGAGTCAGGGCAAGATATTGGGGGATTAAGGCGGCAGGGTGCCACAAGACAAAGGAAATGTGGTAATGAGGAGGGAGGCAGGGCATGCGAGTAAATGGGTTTATTGTCCGGGGCTCGGGGCAGCTTTCCGGCTTGTGAACAACTAACGGGAAGATCCCAAGCGGCCATATCCCAAACCTGCCCGCCCCGGCTTTGTAGGCCCCACAATGGGTCGCAACCCCCCAACCCCTCCTAGTACCCCCCCCACTCCCTACGTTGTGAGCCTCGCCCTGCGCCGCTCCTCCGCGTCCTGCCGCACCAGTGCTGCCAGCCGGGCCCGACTCAGGTCCATGCCGCCCCCACCACCACCGCCACCGCCACCGGCGGCAGCAGCCCCCGCGCCCTCATCGCCCTCGTCCTGCAGGCGCGGATATAAGGTGGGCGAGGTGGAGTGGGGTATAAGGTGAGGGCAGGCGAGGGCATACCGCCAAGGAGGTCATGCTAATTAGGAAAAATAGACGAGAGGAAGACACTGTTTTGCTTCAACCTTCCGTGTGTGCCGCGCCACCTAACGGCAATCTCGCCCACCACACGGCCTGGTTCCCACGATCCCATGAGACACGTGCGATTGCGCCTCCAGGGCAAACCCCCAAGCCTCCTTAGTCCTTACCCGGCCCTTCAGTCCTACGTCTCCCCCTGACCCCGCCTTACCCCGCCCTGCAGCTGCTGCAACGCCGCTGCGTCATCCGCCGCCGTCGCTTCCCTCAAGTCCTTAGCCTCCCAGGCGTCCTCGGGAGGTGGTGGCGTCGCCGCCGCCGCAACTAGACCCGCCCGCAACATCAACGCATGCACGTCCCACAGGCTGCTCGCCGTCGGCGCCTGGTACAACAAGCCAGCGGCGAGCTGCCCTGGCGGCGGCAGCGCCAGTGGCGCCGCCGCCACGGCATCCGCCGCCGCCGCCGCTGACTCGACTCCCATGCCGTACGGCGTCAACAAATGTACGGTGCCGCCGAGGACGCGGCCGTGGATCATGACGTTCTTGGCAATGTCGAGCTGACGTGGCGAGGTGGTTCGCAGTACGGCAAAGACCAGGCCGTTGCCGCTGGCGGCAATACCATGTACGGCTTGTCGGCTAAGCGGCAGCGTCCGCACCTGACGGGACAACGCGGGCAGACCCGCGCTGCATGGATCCAAGCGATGCATGCCGTCAGGCACCTCCGTCAACACAAGCGCCAGCGGCCGTCGCCGCAGCGACGGCGGCAGCGGCGCCGCCGCCAGCGGCGACGGCGGAAGCTTCAGCTCCGAAACCTTCCAGCATTTGACGGCCCCGTCGACGCCGCCCGAGACGACCAGCGGCCTGCCGGCGGCGAGCGCAACGCCACTGGCGTGGTGGGTGCCGTGCGCTCCGGGCAACAAGCAGCTGGCGCCGCCGCCGCTTGTCGTACAAGCCGCCGCCAGCCCCGCCGCCGTCACAGATCCGTCGTCCTGCTCCTCTCCATGCTTTCCGTCCGCCGCTGTGCCAGCGACGCCGCCGACTCGGGCTGCTTCCCAATGACACCCGGAAGGCCGCCGCCAGACGCCGCTGCGCCACACGAAGACAGCGCCGCAAGGCTTGGAGGCGGCGACAAGCAGCCGCCGACCCATGGGTCCCTCTACGGGGGCTTCTGAGGCCCATGTCGCATCATCCCACTCCTCGTCCTCCTCCTCTTGCTGCTGCTGCTGCACGGTCCTCTTATCGCCACCGTTAGCCTCACCGTCTACGTCCATCGGTGCGGCACCTCCGTTAGCCTCCCCAGCAGCACCCTGCTCCTCCACCTCCACCTCCGCCGCCTGCTGCTGCTGCTGTCCCAGCCGCCGACTCCTTCTCCGCTGCTGCTGCTGCTTTTGCTTCGGGGTCTCGCCGCCGCTTACCACAGCCGGTGATTCCCCTGCTCCTGCCCCTCCCGCCGCTGCCGCTGCAGTACCGTGTTGCAAGCCGGTACCGTCATCCCCCCGCCGCACCCTGCTCAGTGGCAGCCAGGTGCAGTCCAGCGAGGTGGGCGCCAGGCCGTCCGGCGGACACAGCTGCGCTAGCAGGGTCATGTCGCTGGCACGTGTGAAGGAGGCGGCGGGTGCGGACCAAAGCAGGATGGAGCCGTCGCTCACGCCTGCGGAGCCGGGTTGGGACGGGGTGACGGAGAGGTGGGGTGGGGTAGGTAAGAGGGTGATAGCGGCAGGGTGAGGACGGGCAACTGGATGTGAGGAAGAGGGGCGGGACATGTGGAAGCGCGGGGGCCAGCAGAGAATGTGAAGAGGACATTGGGTTGACCACACACCAGGCTACAACCCAACACGCACCCCTCCCCGCCGGTCCCGCACCTGTCAGCAGCATGATGCTGTCCCGCGGCCCGGCGGAGTGCGGCTGCGGCACCCGCCACTGGCACCACTCCGCTCCCGCTCCCGCTCCCGCTGCTGCTGTTGCTGTTCCTGCAGCTCCCTCCGGCGCCACACACCATGCCGTCCGCAGCACATGTGCCCCCCCGCTGTGCACCTGCAGCGCACCCATCCAGTGCAGCCGCACCCCGCTACCACTACTGCTGCTGCTGTTCCCGCTGCCATCACCCTCCGCAGGCGGCTGTTGTTGCTGTTGTTGCTTGTGCGAGTAGGATGCGGGCAGGTCCAGACGCCACATGACCACCTGCCCCAGCTTGTTAGCCACCGCCAGCACACAACTGCGAGCCACACCGTCGGGTTGGGCAGCAGCCGGCGGAGCAGCAGCAGCAGTGGCGGCAGCAGCAGTGGCGGCAGTAGCAGTGGCAGCAGCTGCGAGCACTTCCGCCGGTGGCGGATGATCTTGTCCACTGGTAGTAGCAGCTGCGGCAGCGGCAGTAGCAGCAGCTGAGGTGATTGCCGTGCAAAAGGCGGGTGACCAGGATATGCAGGTGGCCGAGAGGGCGAGGGAGCGGGCCTCGTAGGCTGGGGTGGGGATGGCGGTGCCGCTGCCCACTCCGGCCTCGCAGATGGACAGCGACATTTGCTGTGGAAAGG